TCCACACGACCGTGTGGAAATCACCGAGCCTTCACACGGGCAGCTGGGAAAGCCGCACGACCGTGTGGCCTGGTCGCGTGATCGGGAATTTCTGTTTAAAACTCGATTTTCAGCCAAAGGAAAGGGGAGAGCTGGGTTTTTGGTTCCCAAACACCCAAGGGACGAACCCTAGAGAGAAGTGACTTGGGAACATTCTTGGAGCTATTTTGGAGGATTTCTTCGCCATTGGAGCTCGGGAATCAAGCTTGGAGATGGAGAATGAAGATCTAGATTAGATTTCTACCGTCTCTCTCTTCTCTATGGAGTAACTTCCCTTCACTTAGGTTTTGAGGAACCCTAGTTCCATGTGTTAGGATCTTTCTTGTATGAAGTTTTGGATGCTATATTGTTCGATTATAATCGATTGAGGCATGATTTATTGAGTGAATTGAATCTTGATCAAATTCTCTTGATTTCTGCTTTAACCTATGATAGATAGAATCTGATTAGGTTAAGAGAACTTCCTTGATTGATGGTGGTGAATTGGTTATACGAGAGTTAGTCAATCTACTGCTTTGTACTGGAATCCAATTTCGGTAGTGGAGTTCTGTGTTTATAGCCTCAGCTTTCTATCCCGGTGAAGGTTAGTCGCCTGCCGGGTAGTTGGACTGAGAGGGCTTGGTCAGCTTAAGAGATTCCAAGCTACTGTCGGATCTTCCGCAGTTTAATCAACAGTAGATCAACCAAAGGTAATTGCAACTTGGACCTAATTGAGGAGCTAGGGGGAATCATACCTAAGTGAGTTCACAACTTGTAATTAGTAGAGTAGTCAGTGGAGTAGTTTATAAATCAATCCTTAATCTAGTTGCAACTTGGACCTAATTGTAATTGCAACTTGGAGTAGTTTATACCTAAGTGAGTTCACAACTTGTAATTAGTAGAGTAGTCAGTGGAGTAGTTTATAAATCAATCCTTAATCTAGTTCACAACTTGTAATTGCAAAGCTAGATCAACCAAAGGCAATTGCAACTTGGACCTAATTGAGGAGCTAGGGGGAATCATACCTAAGTGAGTTCACAACTTGTAATTAGTAGAGTAGTCAGTGGAGTAGTTTATAAATCAATCCTTAATCTAGTTTGCTAGATAATGAACTGAAGCTGAGTAATAGTAACTCTAGAGACCCGTGGATTCAATATTTATTACTTGTGCCACTATACTGCAGTCCTTTTCATTGGTTACACTTGGCCATTGTTAGGTGTTGTGTTTTAGCGTGTCAGTTATGGCGGCGGAATCAGAGGAAGTTCCTGTGATGACCGGAGCAGCGGAACCGGTGCGCGACTTGTCCATCGTCCCGGTGGAAGCGGGAGAAGCGAGAGAGGATATCAGTGATGGTATGATAACGTAGTGGTGTTTGTAGTGTTTTTGCATGGAAGTGTGTGTAGTGTTTTTATTGAGCGATGGTGTTGTTAATTTGTAGTGTCAGTAGTGGTTTGATGGGCACCTATGATACTCTTTCTGCTGAAGTTTGAACTGTGCCTATGTAGTGTTCTCAAAATGGAGGTGTAATATTTTGGTAGTAGTGGTTATTAAGAATGCGTGTGTAGCGCTTTTAGATTGTCGTGCTAACGTTTGTGTAGGGGTTTTGCGTGTGTAGTGTTTCCAACTGAGTAGAGCTTTGTAGTAGTGGTTCGGTTTATGGGATTTGATGTGTACATATGGTAGTGTTTCTGCTGAAGTTTGAACTGTGAATATGTAGTGTTCTCAAAATTGAGGTGTAATATTTTGGTAGTAGTGGTTATTATGAATGCGTGTGTAGCGCTTTTCGATTGTCGTGCTAACATTTGTGTAGGGGTTTTGCGTGTGTAGCGCTTTTCGATTGTCGTGCTAACGTTTGTGTAGGGGTTTTGCGTGTGTAGCCTTTCCAACTGAGTAGAGTTAAGTAGTAGTGGTTCGGTTTGCGTGTGCAGCGTTTTGCAAGTCAGTAGAGTTATGTGCGATTTTGCATGACTGCATGAATGGGTAATGCATTACTTATGAATCCATGTTTTATAATGTGGTATTTTTTGTCCAGCCTCGGAGACTGTAGTTCGGGCAGGGGATAGGAGAACATGAGAGAACTTTTGTTTTGATGATAATGAAGCATTCCTAAGGTTTACAAACCTTACGCCCACGAACGAGGATTCTCGGTTAGGCAAACTGGGGAGCATTGTAGGAGGAAGGCTTATCTCCCAGGACCAATTGTGTATTATTTTGGTGCATGTTGCAGCAAACAAGGATACTGATACCATACCAACATAAAAGGAGTACTAATCAGAACACGAATCACTACCAACCTAAAAGCCAACACTCATTCATTAGGCTTCGTTTGTACTTCGTTTGTTAGTTTGCAAGCCAAAACCCTCATTTATTTGGTGCTTCTTTTGTTAGTTTTGTTACTACTTGATATGGTAGTGTTCTGAACATGAATCAACATCAAATCACTAATGATCAAAACACGAATTACTATCGATTAGAACACGAAACACTACCAACAGAACACTACTAACTACACTAAAAAAACACTACCAGCTGGACTCTTCACCTTCTTATATGCAAACTGAACATAGTCGGAAACCAAATCGGAGCTGGGTTCCAGAACACTACACTCAACCTCCCTAAAAAGCATATCTTTATTCAGAAAATAAAAACCCATAGCCGGGATGGGACATGCAATCACGCCGACAAGAGAAGAAAGATGATTAGCGAGTTTTGACTACTACATGAGGCGGCAGCCGGAACGAAGACGAGCTCGGCTGAGAGTGAGGTCGTCAAAGGCGCCTACGGGCGTGCCGAGGTCGAAGTAGCGGAGGGGGTGAGACGAGGTAGGAGGATCGGAGGGCGGCGACGAGGTGGGAGGAGCAGAGGGCGGCGGCGAGGTGGGGGGACGGTGGATTGTGCAGACGAGACAGCCCCGACGACGGCTGCTGGTGACAGAGCCTTCAACGTCGGGAAGGACTTCAACATATCGGCGGCTTTGCTAGGGGAAGAACTCCGACCGCTACAGAGGAAAAATGGAAGTCCAAAAACTCACCCCAAAAAAGAAGCTTCTCACTGTTGGGATCCCACCACAAAACCTGCATCCGTATCCGCCTGATTTCCTGGCCTGTCATCATCAAATAAACCCATTGATGAAAATACCCCTGGAGGCAAAACTCCCTTAATCAGCTGAATCCCCAAAACGCAGTTGTACCAGTGGGTCAACAAGGTGCTCACGGAGTAGGGGGTAGCACCCCATCCCATCCCTCATAACACAAGTACATGCAAGACATAAGTTATTTGAAAAATTAAGCCCATGACTCTTTTTAAGCTACAACAAACTTCACTATGAACCAGGATTGTCAAACCAATGATATGTCGACCGATACAACTGGGTTCAACCGATAGTGGACAAAAATTGGTGGGAGTAGTAAAAACTAGTAAAAAATGGTGAAAAGACAAATGGAATGGTCAATTTTCAATCTTGAAAGAAAACGACGTTGTATTGGTGTAATTAACTAAAAAGAAGAAATAAATGTATCATATTCAAGCACGAACATTTATATATGATGAAATATCATTTTGTTAGTAATATAGTGTTTTATTCAAATATGAGTGGAGATTATAGGCTGATTGTGTTAAAATAGATTATATAAATGCATAATTCATTTGGTGTTAATTACTCCCCACTTTTTGGTATATTTTTTATAAGGGTGGTATATGTTTGTCTTTTTAATTAGGTGTTACTTAAGAGATTCGATCTTGTAACCTCCAGGTTCAAGAACAATGACAATATCAGTGGATCAAGTCCTTGTTTAAATATTTTGTTAAAATTGTCATAAAACCAAGTTGTACCTGGTAGAACTGTACCATTTGTTAAACCGACATAACGATATAAACCGGTTTGAAAACCTTACTATGTACTAAGGTTGTCAAACCGATTTATGTCGTTGAGTCGGTCAATCAAGTGGTTGAGGTTCAATGGTTAATCAGGATCCAACCTGTTTGAGCCATTTTATACATATTATATATATATATATATATATATATATATATATATATATATATATATATACAAATAAGGTAGTAATTTAAAATTGTCATCACTTATGGAATTTACCTTACATATATCATTTAGTAAATTTACATTTAAGTATATGTAACCCATTAAAAATCTAGTCTCATCTCATTCGGTCATTCCATCCAAAATGACAGCATATTATCGTCGAATCGAAAATCAAAAAAATATTATCTGACCGTCGAATTTTTTCGATTTTGATCGGCTACCAAATAATTTACTAGAGGGTTTCCTAACATTGCCATGAACACAATAAAGCTTTGTGCGTTGAGCAATTCTACTATGCTATATAGTATTGGTGCTTTAATGTACAACTTAAAATTGTACAATAACATGAAATGTATAAGTTTAGATTGAACCATAAAAGAATTTGTATAATTATGTTATGGTACAACTTTACAACTTGAAGTTGTACCATCACATAAAGGTACAAGTTCAAGTTGTACCATAAAAGAATTTGTACAAACATTATAGGTATAATCCAAAGTTGTACCATAACGTAAATGTACAATTTCAAGTTGTACCATAAAGGCAAAAATCTATAGCACCAATTCTATATAGCGTTGTAAAATTCAACTTGTGCGTTTTCTTTCTTGCAAAGTTTGTGAATCAAAGATAATTCAAAGACTTAGCAAAAGCTAGACTCATTAGACTTTGAGTGAAGAGTAAAAAAATATTTATTTAAAAAAAAACCCTATTAAAAGAAAACAAAGACGAGTAAGAGTAACTCCAGACCCGGCCCTTTTCAAATCCATAACGCGCGACGCACTGCACGGACACGGAACATTCAATCTCTACCCGTCTCTGATCTCTGGAGATCCGAAACCCTCGATCTCTCTGGTGGAAAAGCATCACTGCAGGACAATCGCCGGCGAGATCTTTCAATCGGAAATATTCTCGTTCCGATCGTACTGAAAGACGGGGGATCATGGCTCCAGTTTCGGCGCTGGCCAAGTACAAGTTGGTGTTCTTGGGTGATCAGTCGGTGGGCAAAACCAGTATCATCACCCGCTTCATGTACGACAAATTCGACACGACGTATCAGGTAATTTTCCGCCCTGAAATCCCAGCCCGAATTCTTTTTTTTTTTTTTTTTTTTTTTTTTTTTGCAATCGTCTTCACCTGTTTGATCACCATCAGAATGGAGGTTCTCATCCATGTATACGCTCAGCTGATTTGGATCGTGAGAGTATCTCTTATTCATTCCATTTGAATGATCTCGTAAGGTCTTAGTTATAGGTTGGTCGGATCTTGTGTTGATAGTCCCAGGAATTCCTGTTTTATCAAAGGGGAATTGAAAATTGCACGTAGGTTTTCCACACATCTATCTGTTACCCTATCAATTTTGTTGTTATTTCCTTTGATCCAGTGGTTTCGGTGTTTGCAGAGCTAGTGGCTTTTGTTCCTTGATGTATTGAGGATTTTTGGTTGTTCAACGTAACGTACGATTTGCTTTGAGGGTTCCTCTTTTTGATCTCCAATCTAATCTTGGAGGATGAATGTTTTTGATCTGGTTGTTAGTTGAAGCTTCACAAAACATATGATAATCAGCTACCTACAATGTATAAATCTGTAGTGCTGGTAAGTTAGATGATCGGTAGGCGCATTGCGTCTGCATACCGATTGGTACATTCATGATGGTTCTTGTAATCAAAATTTAAAATTTTGTGGGCATGGTTACAAATTTGTAACCAGCATCATAGTGGATGTGTGTTCGGGAAGCCACTGATGACAACTTGTAATCAGCGCGGTGTAGTGTATGTTGGGATTCATAGGTGTGTTTTCGCCTCTGGCACCTCCTTTGTGCTCTCCAATTGTATTGATTCACTTCAAGGCTCATTGCGCAAAGTACATGAGAGTATCCATACCCATACATAAGCCCTGTGGATAGCTCAAAACCCAAGAGCTGTAGAATCACAGTTATAGGTTATAGCTACCATCAAGCTAACTTTGCCCTGTCTGAGTGCTTATATGTTGTGAATCTTGTTCTCTCTTGCAAAAAATTTATTTGGGTTTGAGAATTGGATCTTGTTTTCGTATACCTTTGTGTTTTGATATTGTTGCTTTTTTATTATTATCAGGCTACCATAGGAATTGATTTCCTCTCGAAGACAATGTATCTGGAAGACAGAACTGTTCGATTGCAGCTCTGGTGAGATTCCCCAAAAGCATATTTAGTGTAGACATTTGAACTTTCACTCTTGCAATCTAATCTTTATATCAATTATCCATCCCTTTGACTTCTGGCACCATACTGAATCTGATTTCCAGTTCATTGGAAATATAAGACTAGGTTTGTGGAATGCTGCTTGTTCAAATTATACTACAAAGAGAGAAGCATGCATAAAGCATCTGTGTATAGTCACCAACATGACTATTGCCATGTTAGCGTTTTTAAGTGCATCCTTGCCTCCCTATTTAATTTCCAGTTTGCACTCCTTGTTAAGTTGGAACAGAAAATGTGGTCCTTATTCGTAAAAAAAGAGTGTGGTCCTTGCTTTTAGGTTGAATGCAGACTTCCTGGTTATCTGATAGATTATACCTGTGCTTTGTCAACTAAAATGTTTCTCGCCTGAAATCTGTTTGTTAATTAATATCAGGACTTTCAAAACCTAATGGACTTTACAATGACGCAGTGTCAGTGCCCAAACTGGTTGATACCCATTAATAAGCTTCACTTTGATATTGAGCATTTTTGCAAGCTCTTCTTTGCCTGATGACAAATGATAGGGATGAACATTCCATGTCTTTTTAATATCGTCCGACATCCTTGGAATTTAGTACAGGGACACTGCAGGACAGGAACGGTTCAGGAGCCTCATTCCGAGCTATATAAGGGATTCATCAGTGGCTGTCATTGTTTATGATGTTGCAAGTATGTGATTTCTTCTTGCTTCTGTTGAACTTACTCCTCATTCATGTGCTCATATTTTGTCATTGCTCTATGGCATGCTCTATGTGGACATAGAAAAGCTTCCTAATCCAACACAATCATCTCTCCTCTGTGCTCAGTTTTAGTATCTACCTGTATTCTGTCCCTTTTTTTTTTAATATTTTCTTGGGGTGAGCACGGTTCAGGCAGACAGTCATTTCTGAACACTTCTAAGTGGATTGAAGAGGTCCGCACTGAACGGGGCAGCGATGTTATAATTGTACTGGTCGGGAATAAGACTGATCTCGTCGACAAGAGGTGAGAATTTCTTCTTTCTGTCGAAATTTGATGTGAAAGGAAGATTGCTTGTGATTCATTAAATTTGTGTTTTCGTATAGGCAAGTCTCCATAGAAGAAGGTGAGTCTAAAGCTCGCGAGATGAACGTGATGTTCATCGAAACCAGCGCGAAGGCGGGCTTCAATATAAAAGTAAGTAAGTCGGTTGTTCGTTGAGAGGCAGGTTGTGCGCCACTATTGAATATTTTAGATTTGCAGAGCCATCCTCTTTTTGCTTGCTGGTTGATTCTTCTCCTTGTATTGTGCCTGTCTATCAGCCACTGTTTCGAAAGATTGCGGCAGCCCTTCCAGGGATGGAGACACTTTCATCAGCTAAGCAAGAAGATATGGTTGACGTGAACCTCAAGTCTTCGAACACAAATGCGTCGCAGGCCCAAGCCCAGTCAGGAGGTTGTGCTTGTTGATCTTATCTGGTCTTGTTCACTGTGACGACAGGGGGTGCTTGTGTTCTTGCCAAGCATTGCGTCACGCTGCTGGTTTCGACTCGTTTTATGGTTAAGAAACTTACTGGGAAGGTGATAGTAATGGTGTTAGGGGATCTCGGTAGTCTATACTTGTGGATGGATGGATGGAAGGAAGGAAGTGTGACTAATGTAAATCAGATAAAAGAGGAGATTGAGCTATGAGGGCGTTTGGTGGTTGATGTTGCGGAACGAACTCTTGGCCCGTGGCTGCCTAGAACGAACTTCTTGTTGGTTGACCCATTTGTTGTTGCTGTTCTTACAGAACAAAATAGATATGGAATTTTAATTAATTGTATCCACTGTTTGCTGGGTAACATTTTAGATTTGTGAGTTTAAAAATTGCAACTTGATTATTTGTTCTCCGTAAACATCAATTGCACATCATATTCGTGAAATTAAGTTCACATGATTAGGATATTTAAGTCATTTTAGTGCAGAAGTCGAATGCACTGTTATGAGTTTGGCTTGTCGATTTTGTAGTTTATCATCTTGCAAACTACACATGCAAGAGATAGCCTTAACAAAGGACTCAAGCATGATTCTTGTACTGATGACCTAGTAATTAATCCTAGAAAGCTTTCGCATCAACGGGAGACAAATCATTATTAATCAATGAACATACATGAGCAGTTGACATGTATGAATAAATATATAAATAACATATGATCTCATCAATATATATGAAATATATTTATAAGCAATCAAGAATGGCTGATTCTATATAACAAAAAGGCTGATGAATGCCAAATTAGAAGATTTTAATTTGACGAAAATCTTTCTATATCGACCGTACTCAACAACCCTCACCAATCACTCCAGATCACCTGAGGTCATCCTGACCACCCATGGGGTACATAACTTCGAGGTCACTCCGACAACCCCCATGATTAATCACCCCAAGTCACCTCCCGCCACCCTCAGGTTCCAGTCACCCCTCAGGGCCACTTTCGGTCACCTCTTGCCACCTCGAGGTCCACATCCCGGGTCACCTCCTGCCACCCTCAGGTTCCAGTCACCCCCTCAGGGCCACTTTCGGTCACCTCTTGCCATCCCGAGGTCCACAATCCCGGGTCACCTAGGCCACCCTAGAGTCACTCCGGCCACGCTCGGGGTCCATAACCCGGGTCACCTCGACCATCCCGAGATCACTCATGCTACCGCTAGGGTCAACCACTCCTGGTTAGGGCTGCAAATGAGCCGAGCTGAGCCGAGTTTTACCTCAGCTTGAGCTTGACTCGTTAACAAATGAGCTGAGCTCGAGCCCGAGCCATTTATTAACAAGCTGAGTCGAGTTCGAGCTAGGCTTGTTTACTAAATTCTTAGATCGTATTTAATACATTCATTTTGTATGCCGTGTATGGTACATGTGATTGATGTAGCGATAAAAAAAATAATAAAATGTTCAACATTAATTAATGGGCTAATACCACTGGAAATACCAACCTTTAGCGAAAGTGTCATTTATATTACGTAATTTTCGATATGACAATTGTATACCAGCCGTTAAGTTTTTCGTTAGTTGTTAACAGAAAATACAGTCAGCAATGACATGGCAGCTGATGTGGAAAATTGTAATAAAAAATAAATGTAAAAAAAAACCCAAAAACATTAAAAAAAAAATCAAAAGCAAAGAAGGAAAATGTCTTCTTCATCTTCCTATCTCTCTGGATCTCTCCCCTTCGCCAACCTCTTCTTCCATGCTCTGTTTTTGGCTGCAGATTGGGGGAATGATTTTTTTTATGAGAATTGTGTTAGGACAACCCTAAATCGATTAATCCTCCCACTGTCGAGAATAGACACCGCCTCCCCTTGTCCTCCAAATCCGACACGAACCCTAAAACCTTTCCGTTTCAGTTCTCCCAAATCCTGACCTAGCCACCTTCTTCCCAATCTTTAATCCGCCGGCAGTAGTTAATCGGAATCGCAGGCTATTTCTTCTTCCTCTTCCTCGTTCTTAAGCCACCCAATTGAGCCATCCCACCAGCCACGCCATTTTCATCGGTCCACCATCGCCGAATGAGAAGCTCGACTCACCGAGAAGGCTGGTTTTGGGAGATTGAAGAGGAAGAAATTCAGAGGCAGGGAAAGGCGTCCTTCTTACAGCAGCGGAAAAAAGAAAGGGTGGGTCATTCTAATAGTCTAATCCTCACAGCGGCTCCCACCGTCTCTCCGTCCTCCACTCCCTTCACTTTGATTCTCGCCTTCCCTCAAGCGCAGATCCAAAACACCACAAAAGGGAATATGTGGCGGTGACAAGGAGCCGGAGACAGAGGAAGCTCCAATCTGTTTCAATTGGAGGGGACCCTCCTAATTCCTTGATTTCGGACGAGGAAGCTTATGTTTCAAAAGCTATCGTGGGATATGAATTGAGATTGGGCAATGATTTTTTCTGTTTTGTTTATGGGATTGAGTGAGAGAGATAAGGTTGATCGACGACTGCAGATCGAGAGAGGTAGAGGCAGAGAGATGTGATTGACGCCGACGACGTCTCAGGCCACTCCCCTACCCGATTGAGTCATCTCGCTATCCTGGTCGTTGCCATCGATCCACCATCGCCAAAGGAGAAGCTCGACCCGCAGGAGAAAGCTGGGTATGAGAGATTGAAGAAGCAGAAAGCTGAATTTTGGAGAAAGCTGGGTTTGGGAGGGTTGAATTAACCTTCCTTGGCACCCGACGACATCTTCTTCCCCAACATAATAAAGCTCGCTTCTTCTTCCTCGCCGGCGGCGGCAGCGGGCTCTCCCCTAGGTGGGTGTGGTCAAGGAAAGGGTGGGTGTGTCAAAGAAAAGTTAATTTCTATTCAATTATTAATTATTAAATAATTAATTTAAATGTTAAATAATTAATTTTTTATTAATTTCCAACATGGCATCTATGTGTCGCCTACGTGACAACACACAGGCGCCACTTCATCAATGGTCAGATAAAGGTTGACCACCGTTAGGTCAACCGTTAGATCTAACGGTCAACAGAAATTCACGTAACACAGATGACACAAACCCCTAATACGTTGGAATATTTTTGTGTTTATTGAAAATACGTAATATAAATGACACTTTCGCTAAAGGATGGTATTTCCAGTGGTATTATCTTATATTATAATTTTTAGGTGTTATATTGTTTAGTTAATAAATTTTAACTAGTTCAAATCATGTTATTTCATAGTATCGAAACAATTTTGTATATAATTTCTTTATAGAATTAAAAATAAGGTATATTTTCTTACATGTTAAACTTCGCATGATGTGAGATATATAATTTAACAATCCTATGAATTATGAAAGTCCAAATTAGATCGATTAGTCCATAAGTCAGTGATCAAGTTGGCCCTCAAACCACAATGTTTAGACATCTCATGAGCTCTAAATGAGCCAACTCACGAGTTGAGCTCAACAAGCCACCGAGTCGAGCTAGCTCGCGAGCTTCACGAGCTGAACATAGCTAGGCTCAAACTTGGCTCGTCAGTAAGCGAATCGAGTTTCGAACGAGTTTTTCCCGATTCGAGCCTTGTGTTGCTCGCGAGTAGCTTGGCTCATTTGCAGCCCTACTCCTGGTAACCTCGACCACCTTGGTGTCGCTATGGCCAGAGTCAGGGTCCATAACACCGGGTCGCTCCGCCACCCTGGGGTTACTCTGCCACCCTGAGCCTGAGGTCATTCCAGCCACCCTTGGGTCACCTCCCGTTAGGGGTGGGCAATGGGTTGGCCCATACCAAATAAAATTGATATTTGGACCAGACCACACCGAATCGAATATAATAAGGTCCAATCTTTGATCTCGTGAATTTATAAATACTAAAGAAAAACAGGCAGAATTGACATTTGGATCGACCCAAAGGGGGCCAAATGCACTATTGGCCCCGTCCTTGATCCTAAGATATCTTTCACGATTGGAGCACAATTCTCCTGAGTTTGCTCCAATCCGGTCTAGACCGGACTGATGCCCACACCTACCTCCAGTCACCCACCAGGTCACCTCTGATCGCCTCGACCACCCTAGGTCACTCCGACAACCCTGGAGTCACCTCCGACCACCCCTTGGGTCGCTTCCGTTTACCACTGTGTCACCTCTGGTTATCTCCGAACACCTCCCCATAATCCAGGGTTACCACGCCCACCCTATGATCACTCCGACAACCCCGAGGTCATTCACCCCAGGTCACCCAGCTTCCTTGGCCACGTACTCTCATGATGTGTCTTCTCTTTACCCCCGAGCTTTAGACGAAAACACGTACCCCTTCATGATCGCCCAAAGGCCTCTATAAAAGGCCACTTTGTCTCTGGGTTAAGGTAAGCACAAATTCTCATACCTAGACTCGTGCACTCTTACTATAATTAGAGTAGATATTCATTCTCAACTCCATTCCCTCATCTATCTTTTCGAGGTCATGTTCATCTCTACTCTAACCACTAACTAACTGGAGCGTCGGAGAGTGTCCCCGTCGAGATCGGTCGGTAGAGCTTTTCTGCAGGAGGCAACCAGAGCTTACATCACGAGAGTAGTTCGAAGTGAAAAGGTGACCGTCAACTGGCTCTGGTGCCCAACATAAAAAAATAAAAATAAAAACTCAACATCCACTACAGTCCCAAACATCAACAATAAGTTTTCTAGCCTACTTGATGTTCTTTGTAGATGGTTTGTTATATTTCTTTTGTTTGTATTTTGTGGTTTGCTTCATGATAGTTATGATAAGGCACGAGATGGATAATAAATGAACAACACAAATTTTCATAATGACAAGCGTATCCTTCTTATTAAAAACCATTAGTAGTGGCCGAAACCAATGAGCTAGCAAGCCAAGTAGCCAACCCATCCCAAATAGGCAAATATGAAATACCCCACTCGGCCAGACCAACGGATAGCGCCAACCATGGTTTCAGTAGATAAGATCGAAAGAACGAAAGCCGCCACGCATGGGACCCAACACTATTGAAAACTGCATGACGTCACAAATATTTGAATTTTCCCATTTCGCCACATTCAATTCTGCCCCTGCTACCTTTTACCTCCCTCTCACCATGAACTACTACACACACAAAAGCACAATTATTCTCTCTCTCTCTCTCTCTCTCTCTCGAACCCTCCCTCTCTGTTTGAATCATCTATTCTCGTCTGCAGAAAGGCCATCCATCCACACCCTGACTCTGTCCCTTCTCCCTTCAAACTCTGTTGTTCAAGCTGAGCTTCTCGTATAGATGACGACCATGGAGAGCTTGATAGGTTTGGTCAACAGAATTCAGAGGGCCTGCACAGCGCTCGGCGACTATGGCGGCGGCGATACTACCTTCTCTTCTCTCTGGGAAGCGCTTCCTTCTGTTGCCGTCGTCGGAGGACAGGTAACAATTGTACTCTGCCTCTGCCTCTGCCTTTTACTTCCTTCTCCCTCCCAATTTTAACCCTCTCCCCCTCAATTCCCCCAACAGAGCTCCGGCAAGTCTTCCGTCCTTGAAAGCATAGTTGGCAGGGACTTTCTCCCTAGAGGATCAGGTTTTCGGTTTACTCACCGCGGGCTCTTTTAGTTTTCGTTTTTGGGGGTTTGTTTCTCTGTTGTTTTATGTTTAGGGGTGAGTGATTTGCAGGGATTGTGACGAGGAGGCCGCTGGTGTTGCAGCTTCACAAAACTGAAGAAGGAACAGAGGAGTATGCCGAATTCCTCCACCTTCCTAACATGAAGTTCTCTGATTTTGGTGGGTAATTCTATCGTATCGAGGCTGTGCTCTCTTTCGGTTTTTCTCCTGCATAACTAAAGAGGCTAGGAGGTTCAATGTGCAGCCGTTGTGCGCAAGGAAATCCAGGATGAGACGGATAGAGTGACTGGGAAATCGAAGCAGATATCTCCTGTTCCGATTCACCTCAGTATTTACTCTCCCAATGGTGGGTTGCTTGTTACTTTTTCTTCACAATCACTGCCTACTGTCTGTTGTTCTTTCGTCTTGCTCAAGGATAATACTTGTGGAGAAGCTTTGATACCTTGGTTCAATTTCGGGGTAACCCAATTGCTGACTTGCTTAATTCTACCTTGCAGTTGTTAACTTAACTCTCATTGATCTACCTGGTTTGACAAAAGTTGCTGTTGGTACGTAGCAGAGTCTACTTTCTCGGTGGTTTGTGTTGAGTTCTGCTATGTGTGGAGCTTCTAGTATAATTAGTTTAACATCTCATTGACCGCTGAGAATGATTTTTTTTCTTTTCCTTTAGAGGGCCAGCCTGAGAGCATAGTTCAAGACATAGAGATGATGGTTCGTAGCTACGTTGAGAAGGTACTCTATGAACCCATCCTCCTATGGAATTCGGAATCCATGCACCTTTGCTTTTGGTTTCTTTTTTATTTGTTGAGAAATATTTAAGACGGTTATTGAGAGATAAGTGGCTTTGCGGAGAAGAAGCAGCCTATATGTAATTTAAAGCTGCCACAGTCTGAAGCGAACGACTATCTAAATATTCTCTTGGAGGAATGTTTTTGTGGATCCATTTGCTCAACTTGAAGGGAACATTCTGGCATAATGCTGCTGTGCTTTAAACTTTAAAGAGTAATCTTCTTTTCTTGCTTTACTTACCTTTTCACTTGGTTTGCAGCCAAATTGCATTATCCTTGCTATATCTCCGGCTAACCAAGATATAGCAACATCTGATGCTATCAAACTTGCAAGGGAAGTGGACGCCCCAGGTATTGTAGTTCCGTTCTGATATCGGTTAAGCTCTATATTACTGGACACATTGTATGTCTTGATTTTAAGTTCGTAAGCGCCTAAGAATGCTTCTCATTGTTGTCAATTTTCCAGGTGAAAGAACATTTGGGGTCTTGACGAAGTTGGATTTGATGGACAAAGGAACTAATGCGCTCGATGTACATGCTCCTTTTTGCTCTTACTCCATCTTAGTTCCTTGCAAATTTTGTCTCGGTGCTTGAATTACACGGATACAAACATGTAAACTTAGTCGCTTACTTGTTTTCCATTTTAGGTGCTTGAAGGAAGATCTTACAGATTGCAACATCCTTGGGTCGGAATCGTGAACCGTTCACAGGCTGATATAAATAAAAATGTGGACATGATAATTGCAAGGCATAAGGAAAGGGAGTACTTCGCTACCAGTCCTGACTATAGCCATCTAGCCAACAAAATGGGTTCCGAGTATCTTGCGAAACTACTTTCAAAGGTGCGATTTAAGGATCCTTTGCTGCTTAAATGGGTGCTCATCTTGTACCTTCGTGGGATGTCGTTTATTATAATGTAATCGTGTTTCACCGGTTTTCAGCATTTGGAAGCTGTGATCAGGGCTCGTATACCAAGTATTACATCCATGATTAACAAAACAATTGAAGAGCTTGAATCCGAGATGGACCATCTGGGTAGGCCTATAGCGGCTGACGCTGGGGTAGGTTGCTCGATTTGAGCTCTTTACTTTCCAATTGCTTTCAATGAAACACTGACCAATTTTTTTCTTATTAGGCTCAACTATACCTGATTCTAGAACTTTTGCGTGCATTTGACCGGGTATTCAAGGAGCATCTGGATGGAGGGTGAATCTCCCATTTGCTTTATCAAGAATTTTGTTGTTGTCATGGGTGTTATTCTAGTTCTCACCGTATCAAAGAAATGTGAATTTGTTGGTTGGTCTTTTACCTGTAGCCGTCCTGGGGGAGATCGAATCTATGGGGTGTTTGACAATCAGCTTCCAGCTGCTTTGAGAAAGCTTCCATTCGATCGACATCTTTCAATGCAGAATGTCAGGAAAGTAGTGTCTGAGGCAGATGGTTATCAGCCACATCTGATTGCCCCAGAGCAAGGCTACAGACGTTTAATCGAGAGTTCTCTAAACTATTTTAGAGGCCCAGCTGAGGCTTCTGTGGATGCTGTAAGTTCAGCTCATTCTTGTTTCTGAACAGTGTATACGACATCAAAATCGTATTTGTTTCTCAATGGGTAGCTTCCTCAACATTGCCATTCAGGTTCACTTCGTGCTGAAAGAGCTGGTCAGGAAATCAATTGGGGAGACTCAGGTTGGGATTGTTTCTTGTTTGTATAACCCCCTCTCACATCTGCTGGCCTCCCTTCCTTCTTCTGTGGTCCGGATGAGTTGACATTCTAACGGTGGTGCGATTTTTGGGAGGCAGGAACTGAGACGGTTTCCAACACTGCAAATGGAGTTGGCAGCAGCGGCTAATCATGCACTGGAGAGGTTCCGGGATGACAGTAAGAAGACTGTCGTTCGGCTGGTTGATATGGAGTCATCATACTTGACAGTGGAGTTCTTCAGGAGGCTTCCCCAGGAGGTAGAGAAAGCAGCAAGCGGACCGGGTGGACCTGTGTCCCCAAATGTCGACCGGTACACAGATGGACACTTCAGGAGGATCGGGTCAAATGTGTCATCATACGTCGGGATGGTGTCCGAGACACTGAGGAACACAATCCCAAAGGCAATCGTGTATTGCCAAGTGAAGGAAGCGAAGCAGTCACTGCTCCACCACTTCTACATGCAGATAGGGAAAAAAGAGGTATGTTTTCGAACGGTATTGAGTCGTTTTTTTTAATACATATAATGTCTGTCTGAGTTTACATTATGCTCCTTGTGGTTGTGGTGCCATGTTCAGGGGAAGGAGCTGGCTCAGTTGTTAGATGAAGATCCTTCTTTGATGGAAAGAAGGGTACAGTGTGCCAAGAGGCTGGAGTTGTACAAGTCAGCTAGAGATGAGATAGATTCTGTATCATGGGCACGCTGACTCTGGCGATGATGATTTGTTGTATTGAGGCCTATACCATGACATGTTATATATTAGCTGAGATCAGACGTAGATATCATTCTTTTATTTCCCTAGTTTTGTACTAGGCTAGAGTTTGAGAGTGCTAATTCCTGGTTTTGTGATCTATTTTGTTTTGTAGCTAATGTGAGACAATATCCACTTTTGTTTAACAGGCCGGCAGTTTGGAATTTATTTATTAGGAGAGTGTTTACGTGTGTTGATATTTGTACCGAAAAAATCAACGGTAGGGTGTTCTATGATCTAATAGTAATTCAATCGTTAGTATAATGAAATATTATCTATTGGTTTAGCGTCCGACACTGGTATTTGTAGTTAAATAGCGGGTAGTTTCATGAACCACAGTTTAGGGTGCTAGAAGAATTTCATATATATCTTATTAATCCTGATTCGTTCTAGTAATTTATTCTTATAATATTACAGGTAAAACAAAGAAACAAAAAGAACCCACTCTTCTTGCTTGCCATGCAAGGCACCACCTTCCCTTCTTCCTCCCAAACTGGATCTTCGGAACACTTCACGACTGTTCTGAGGGAAGTGAAGCTCAAGGGTGCAGACTTTCTGAGGTCAATTCGTCACTACTGAGGTTGTCCATCTGAGCAAGCAGGAGATCATGCACCCTCTGTTTTAGCTGCACAACGCGGAGCACAGCAGTAAGCGTAGTCAGATGGTAGCCGGCATCGGCATTTTAATCCTCGAATACTGTTGTAAGCAAAGACTAGAAGACAGTTTCTCTTCGAGAGAGAGGAAAGCCAGAGACAATGGGGTAACAGGGGCTTTCCCAAATGCAGATGACTGGGATGAAACGGTAAGCAAAGAGAGAGAGACCCTAAAATGTTCATGGACATGGCTTAGAACTTTCTCAATTTGGATGAGAGCTCTAATATAAAAAACAGTAGCTATACCCAGGGAACCCGAAAAACAGACTCAGTATCCAATTTCCACACACTACCTTCTTCGTCTAAACCGAGAACCATCATCAGCATGTGGAAAAAATTTACCTCATTCATCCCTTCCTTGGTCTTGATTGATACATGGATTGCACCAGCAGGTCCCATCTTGCGATAACTTTCCGCTTCAGGAGCAGCATTGACCTCGGCATTATTATCATCAGTGATGAAGAACACAGGAGATCCTTGCAATATATCACACTTGGAGACTACATCCAGCCAAAGATGATTGCTATATCTCTCCTTAATCTCCTTGTATATAACAAACTGTATAAAAAAAAAAAACATAGTCAAAAGCAAATTTCTGAAAGCACATCAACCCGTATTTGTTTTTTTCTTTTTCTTTTATCAGCCAATACAATGGATCTAGATTCAAATCTACTGATGATCAACTCACGAACAAAACCAAGCCACTGCCTTAGCCCAAGCTGAAAATGAAATAGACACCCAGACAAACCCGGACATAGTTGAGAATCTCTTATGCATAAGTAAGATTTGAAAGGCCACAGGGAAGGCAGTGGAATAGCTCGAAGGCCAATACTGATTTGCAGCAGTGGTCAAAATCACAATTCTACGTAGAGGCGTTTTGGTGACCTAGAAGCGTAAAAACGTAAGCTTTAAAGCGTAGATTTTGACTGAAATCGCAAGGGAAAAGCACAATTGTACGTAGAAGCGTTTTGACGACCTAAAAGTGTAAACACGTAAGTTTTTAAGTTAAGCGATTTTGACTGCATTGATTTGCAGAAGTGCTTGTCTGGTTCTTTCTAAATTATCTTTACACACATGTTACCTGATCAGAGGGCGAGGTCCCACATTCCCCTGTAAGATCATGAACATACAGAATGGCGGTTGGAAGATGAGATAGGACAGCAAGAGTCAATTTCTCCAAATTGTTCCTGTCCTCTGCAGGGTTCCAAGAAGAAGATTAGATCTGGTAAGCAGAATCATAAAACACACTTTTACAATTATCAGTGATGTATAGGCAGTCAAGAAGTATTTACAAACTACTAACTGTGAGGGGTTGATCTAAATCACATATTTCGTAATACCAGCTTCTCCGACAGACAGATAAATTCTATAGAAAACATCATAAACGTGGTTTTATCTTGTCCAGTTGTCCTGGTAAGTTTGGTGAAAGCATACGAAGCATGTATGATAGGTTTTACTATCAGAGAGAGGAACCAAAACTTAGGCCGAAATCAGACATATTCTCTGGAAATAATTACAGAGTCCAGATGGCATGGTTCTGATTTGGAAATAGTGAGAGCAAGAAAACAACATTGGGCACCTGTAAAACAATCTTGAAAAGCATTTAATAGAACCAAGGCCTGTCACAGCCATATAATAATCCGTGGATTTATTATGCAATTTATTAACAACACCAGATATTCTTCAAGTTTGATCCATCATAGTAAAAGGAGCTGCATGTTAACGAAACAACAACTACAGCATGAATACACAAATCCCATACCGTCGGATCTCTTCAGTAGACCAGGAGTGTCTGTGACCTGGAGAAAGAACAAATAAGAACAATTGAACAAGGTCAGACAAGAAGAGAAAATAACTTGCTAGCCCATGTACCTTTACTGTGTGCTTGGAGTCATGGGAAAGGGGATTGAGGTTTGGCGGGCATTGGAAGGAGAATGGAGAAGGTTGATGAGAAATCATTAACCTGGAAATGCTTAAAGTTTAGCGCAATGTGACCCATTAAAATTCCTCTAGTCGTGAAAGGGTAGTTGCAGACCTGAAAGCACACAAAAGGGAAGAGCCCAAGAATGTGATTATTGAGAAAACCTTAATCACCAAGATTTATCAAATATTTACAGCATGCAATCTAATGCTAAGAGCTGAAATTCCTGAAAATTAATAATTTCAAAATAACAGATCAACCTCGGGCTTCCCGGTAGATAGTTCCCGGACCAATGATGATTTCCCCACATTGGGTGCTCCAACCAGACACAAAGTCGGTGTTTTTAAATCAACCACTGGCATTGCCCGCAGACTCTGTGAAATAAATAACCATCAGAAGGGACTACTCCACTAAAATTTGAATTAATGAGAGCAGCATGACTAGGGAGGACAAATAGCCAAATGCATCTCCAGTTTGCTAAAAAGAGATTACTGAAATAGACCACCAAGTCAATATAATATGTGTATCCTATATTCTGTTTCCCTCTCAAAGCTAGTGGTTCAACAAGTAAACGTGATAGATACTCTGAATTACCTGGCAAAATATATATTTTAATAACAGATGCCCTCATGAACCATTCTAAATAATCTCATAAACTAACATGATGAGGATGACTAAAATCACCAGAAAGGTAAGAAACCGAAAACAACTACTAAAAAGACAAAATCAACTCTACTGGTACCATGATACCTTTGCAATATTCATCAACTCATCAACTGCCTTCCCATCCGACGTGAAAACACCTTCAAGTTTTTCTAGACCCTGCAAGACATATGTAGAGATATACGCATCAAACTATTACCAGGTGAAAAATCGGAAGCGAATGGATAATTAATTACCTCTTTTAAGCTTTCCTCAGCTTCCCGTTTCTTGAGTGTCTGCCAGGAGTCCTATCTCAGTTAGTGAGTGAAGACATGAATTAAACAGGTAAAGCGCAAATGCATTATTATAACCTAATCATAGCACACTGCATTGCTATGTTAATCAGCAGCACAGAATTATAATAGAGACATCATTTTTTTTCAAGATAATAGAGACATCAAATACAAAAGCACTAGATGACAGAAATATACAAGAACCAAGCAGCCAGCAAACATACAAGCAGAAAAGTGCGTAGCATGGTGGCAGCACAAGTTCCCCTTTTCAGCTTTTAATTTATTGCGGCCAGACTGTTGTTATCGAGTTTGAAAGGGCATACTGATGCACAGACTGGATCTATGGCACAAACAAATGAATCTTAAAAACTGACATTCTAAAGGAAGAATTATTTGCATTCACTATCTATTCATTGGATGCACAAAACAATACATTCTCAGAGAGAAAAACTAAAAGCAGATGCCAAAATAGATACGCACAGTTAATCGACTAGAACTGACAAGAGTAACGTGAATGTACAGTGCTGAGTTTGTTAGTAAAGGCTCTAACCTTAGCACAGAGAGAAGCATGCTCTTTTCCCACAACCACCACCTTCCTTTTTAAAGCATCCACTTTTTTCAACACCTGATAAATCCAGCTGAATGCGTAACTGCAAGATGACTCTAATGTCCGTGCATTCAGCATGCTTTGTACAAGTAGCTAAAGAAAGAACACTCAATCTTTTCGAAGGAACAAGTAGAAACCTATGGAAAAAGTAATTCAAATTGCTGAAGCTAATGACCAACATAAAAAGAATACATTTCGAATTCCCACTCTTTCTTTTGACATGCTGCAGTTCTTTAAAATGTGTTGAAGTGAAGAAGAAATAAAACATTCAAGATTACATATGGTTGCAAATTGCAAGACATCAAAGGATCATTTATATGCAACGGATCAGCAAAATACCTCCTCATAAACTCCATCACCAAGAGTCAACTCCACAAGCGATCGTTCATAAGGATGCAAGTACTTCCTCTTCGGAAAATTTTCAAGATATGCCTTCAAAGGAGCAGCCAATTCCTGGTGAGCGTAACACTCGAATAAGAATCCATGTATATTCCGCCCCCTCTATGATTCAAGTAAAATGGAATTCACTCGTCATTTCCAATATCACAGAAGCCATAGGATTGCTCACTTTCATCAACGCATCAAGCTGCTTTGCACCTCGGTTTCTCTCCCTCCTTGCGATGTTAGCGATGCCTACAAACCATAATTTAAAATTGTGATGTGGCAAACATGAGAGAAAAAGCATTGCTAAATTGTAACCAAGACTCACCAAAAGAGACCCTACAAATCGAAGTCAGATGGAGATGAGTTACAAGAATTCATCGTAATAACACTATCAAATGAGACCGGAAGAATGGCCGACTGATAAATCACCTTTGGTTGGTTCGACTCTCCTAGCTTTCCGCAATGCAGAAGCAAGTATATCAACAGACGGCATCACCATGGGTAACTTCTGGAAGGCACCAACCGTATCAATCTCTGGGGTTGGTTTGACCTGAAAGTTTAACAGCATTTTACAGAGAACTGGTAAAAAAAGATGCTTTGTCTGAACGACGGGAAAATTGAAGGGGGAAAGAGGAAGCACCGTGGTTTGAGTATTAGGTTGAACAGCTTGGGAGGTGGGTATGTAGCTACCCTTCACAATCTGATAGGACACCGTTTGAACATTCCGACAGAAGCAGGTTTCTGGGTACTTAACCGTTTGCAGAAGGAACGATCCTGCAATTTTGAAGCAGCAGCAAAAGAAATAAGGAAAAGGGAAAATGAGCTGGAGAAGGAGAAGAGAGCGAGCGAGCGAGAGAGAGAGAGGGAGAGAGAAGGACCTGGGGGGATTCTGGGGGAACAAGTCCGCCATGACTGGAAGAGGGTAGAAGCTCCCTTCATCTCCCTGCTTTGGTCACTCTAATTTAATCTTACAACACTAACAGGTATGTGGTGGTGGATATGACCTATGGGGCCTGTTGGTAAATGGGACGGCGACCGGGGGGCGGCGGGGGACCGGCGGAGGGCGGGACGGTTGCTGCTGCGGCGGAGCCTTGCGGAAAACAGAATATTTTATCTTCTTTCTTAATGTCAAGGAGGGTTCTGTAAACTCTTCCTCCACGCTAGCCGCTTCCCGGCTCCCGTATCAACCCTTAGCAAATTTTTTATTTTGTTTTCCTGAAAATCTATTTTCACCATTTAATTTGGCCACCATTTTCTTCTTTTTTTTTTTTATGGTTAATTTGGCCACCATTTTCCATTACTTATCGTTTATGCAATTTGTGGGACTTAATTGGCATGTGAAATATTTATTTTATAGTTCTTTCACCGAGAAGATGTGTATTAAATATTAATATTTGACGTTTTATAATTCACTCACTCAAAAGAGAAATTTTACAATGCTATATAGTATTGGTGCTATAGGTTTTTGCCTTTATGGTACAACTTAAAATTGTACATTTGCGTTATGGTACAACTTCAGATTGTACCTATATTTTTTGTGCAAATTCTTTTACGGTACAACTTGAACTTGTACCTTTATGTGATGGTACAACTTCAAGTTGTAAAGTTGTACCATAACATAATGGTACAAATTGCTTTATGGTACAACCTAAACTTATACATTTAATATTATGGTACAACTTTGAGTTGTACATTAAAACATCAATGCTATATAGCATAGTAGAAGTGCTCCACTCAAAATTATTGAAAGTGAGAGTTTATTTATAGATATATATGTTGTGATATATTTTGAGTAAGAAAAGGATATTTTGACCCTGAATTGATTGGAGTTTGAAGACATTGTACTATATTCTAAGTTTCTAACCCTTAAAGATAATAAAAAAAAAATCTAAGTCTTGGATCTATAAATCTCATATGCTAACTGCTAAGATATATTCAGTTAGTTACCATAATCGACAGAATGGTTCATCGAAATACACCGAATAAACTACACGCACCATCTTAGTTTTATGATTTAGGGGTCGTTTGGTTTATGTGATTGTTTGGTTTTGATTGTTACAATACTTGTATTGTTTATAATTCATTGTTTTTCTGTTTTTTTTTTATGCAAAGACAATATATGTATTGTTTACTTGATGTTACAGAACCAATCATCCATTATGAATGATTGTACAATCACAGCTAAAAGATGAGATTGTTTTATTCCAACTTTAACCTTCAGAAATGATCTTTTGCATTGCAAAGAAGGGGTTCAAGTGACACTTTCCATTAAAATGTGAATTTCCTTTTTCCCTATTGAAAACACAAACATATAAACCAAACATTGTAATCTACAATTGATCAAATTCAACAATACGTGTATAATATAATACATCTACTGATCACAATACATCGATTTAACAATCATGTTCCATAATCCGATTAATTCTATGTGTAGATAGCATTTTCTTACCAAAAATATATGGTACCATATAATTACTCGGGGTACGATAGAATGCACCATGTATCTATTAACACATAGTGTAGACAGTACATTTTAGAGTTTGGATTCAAAATGTTGCAAGGAGATCGACTTTTAAAAAACTAGTTTTGAGCCCGCCCCTTGGGCGGGTGAGTTTCATTTCATTTTTCATTAACACGAATCAATTTTAGGACTTTGCTACAGTGACATGCATGTTATCGTAACTTGCACTTTTAGGTCGACCTCATATAGGATTAGGTCAACCTAATCTGCACTTTTAGGTCGACCTAATATACCATTTCAGTTTTGTGAGGTTCAACTAGGGGTGGGCAACGGGACGAGACGGGATACCCGTCCCATTGTCCCATTTGGAGACCAAAGTCCATCCCATATCCCAAACCCATATGGGAAACGGGTACCCATTACCCGTACGGGACGGATAACGGGTACCCATACTACCCATAAATACCCAATGACATCACATTACATATCTTAATAATAACATGCTCTTGCGGGGAATAATAAGAACACGAGATGAGCAAAAACATAAATTCAATCTCTATATACACAAGCATTCATTTCAAAACATGTCTCACTGCAGGCTGTTGTCGCCAAATACATGAGCAAAAGTTCGTAATGGCTGTTGCTGCCATTCTCCCACAGTCCCACTGCAGGCTGCTGTCGTACTAGAATGGAGAGGGACTGAGAGGGAGAGCTCAGAGGCGGCGGCGAGCTAGGTTTCGTGATTTCGTCTCTACTCTCTCATCCCGAAGACGACTCCTCCAGGCTCCAGGGACCAGACAGACTCACAGACTTGAGATTCCAGTCAGTCCAGAGAAGCTGCGTGTCGCGTCTGCTAGGGCCTAGGGGTGCGTCTCACGGTCTCAGTGGGTAAGGGCCGAAAATGAATTTTGAATTGGGTTGGGCGCATCACGCATGGGCTGAATTAAATCTGTCTTTGTAATTTGAATGGGTACAACGGGTACCCATATTACCCAAACGGGTATTCGCGGGTAACCCCCGGGTACCCATATTAGGACTGTACAATCCCAAGTCTCATTCGTTTAAAATATTACGGGTAATATGGGTACTCGTAACCCTTAAAAAACGGGACGAGTACGAGTATACCCAAATATCCGTTTCTCGTTGCCCACCCCTAGGTTCAACGACGCGGTTGACCTTTTATAGCAAATGGTCGACCTCTTTGGGAAGCGAACAAAAAGAAAGGTCGACTCAAATACCTCATAGGTCGACCATTTTGATTAACTGAGGTCGACCTCATAAGTACGTGGTCGACCGCGTGCACACCGTATCCGTATTGGATAAGAATTCCAACACCAGAAAGATAACCCTAACTTATCTACCACTTAATTCGACCCATTCTCGTCCTAAATATCTATAAATACGAATATATGTCACCTTCACCGCCACCAAAACTCTGAATTAGGTTTTTTTTTACGGTTAGAGCTTTTGTGAAGAAGATCCTTTACGGTTGCTGCTATACGTGATTCAAGAGGTCGACCACGTGGAAGTTATGAGTCCTTGTTATCATTATTTATGACTGATTATGTTGGTTTGAAACGTAATGTGTACGAGCAAAAGAACCACCCACATCGACTTACATGAGCAGAAAAGACACAGGGCATAAGTTGATTTTTTTGTATTCGGTCGACTACGAAACCAACACTTGATCTTTATTTTACGTCAAATGACGATGGATAAATGGATACAACACTTATCTTTTATCTAGTCGACCTCTTTCTGTAAATGGTCGGCCATTTTGTTAATGACCGCCATCAAGTGGTCGACCTATATACCTTTACGGTCGACCATTTTGCTTCCGACGCCAATGAAAAGGGCGACCGATGTTTTATTGTGGCCGACCAACAATGACAACTTAAACTACAAACGGTCGATTACTACATTTTAAAGGTCGACCATGATAAGTCATCAGGGTGCCCACATTAGTTATTCGGGAACCTTACAAAACTGAAACGGCATATTAGGTCGACCTAATCCTATATAAGGTCGACCTAATCCTATATAAGGTCGACCTAAAAGTGCAAGTTACGGTGACATGCATGTCACCATAGGCATACCCTCAATTTTAATATGACATTTCAATTATTTGTATTGTCATTCTATAACTTTTGTAAATGTGTTATTCAAAATTGTGCGAAGATTAATATATTCCATATTCGTACGCTTTATCATGTAACTTATAGTTGCAAACTGTTCTTTTCATTAGTAGCATTAAAATAGTTTAATTTGTAACCACTCCCGCATGATTAGTCTACACAATAAATAAAAGCCAAATGAGAAAATTTGAAGCCCCATTTCAAATTTCCTGCATCCAGAGTGAAAGTATGAAGGACTGCATCCAGAGTGAAAGTAGGAAGGACATTTTGGTCTTCACAATTACTTTTTTTTATTCATTAAAAAGACACTTACTAGGATTCGAACCATGACCACTTTAAAGAAAAGCAAAGATCATAACCAATCACACTAAGTACATTTGTTGTATCTTCTCCCATTTCAAATTCCCTGCTCCAGGAGCGTTTGTAGGAAGGGTAGAATAGGGAGTGTCAAAAAAAATTACCTCTGTGGAACGAGCCAACTTACCATACACATTCGGATTTAAACGGGTCCAGGAGTGTCAATTTTTTTCTTTAAGTCCTTTTATTTCTCCGTGGTGGTAAAATATATATGAAAAGGCAAAAGCAATACTCCTTTTTTATTGCTAAAAAGAAAAAAAATTAACAATAAATTAATGCATGGATTCTAATGGGCTAACCGCTAATCATAAAATAAAAGAGTTGAATGGGCCTGACCTACACGGGATTTGCCCATCAAGTAAAACAAATGAACATCATGGGTTTGTCATTCTAAAACAAGCTATTTTCTCTAGAATAATATATATTATGCTATTATTTTATATCTTAGTGGCTAAAATATAATGTATTTTAAAGTTATTCAATGGTTCAACCTCGACCAACCCAATTAGTCCAATTTTTATCATTTTAAATATATATTATGTTATTATTTGATATCATAATGATTAAATTATATTGTATATTATAGGGAATTGTTTGGTATTTGTTAGTAAAAAACTAAACATAAAGATCTATTTAGTTATTTTTAACATTAAAACGATCCTAAACATTTTCAGTTTCCTTTCGAAATTCTATAGTTTTATTCCGGAATCAGTGATGTGCAAATGGCGAATTGCAGTCATCTCTTTTCTTTCATTATTTTTTATTTTCAAATAGAAAGTTTAAAAGTAAAGAATAATTAGAGTTTGACATGGGTCGGTCAAACAAGCTGAATTTCAAGTTTTGGCCCATTTTGATCAAGTCTAATTTATAATCACATGGTTCCTTGATACCCGATAAAAATCTCAATCCAAACCAGTTTGGCAGGTGAGTCCGTGTTTACCACCATTTTCTAGGGATACAGGAACGGTGGTTCCTATCCCAAATCGTGTTGTTCATTCTTGATTTCTTTAGATTTTATCATGGCTTAGCAAAAAACCAGAAAATTTCTTTAGATTTTATCATGGCTTATCAAAAAACCAGAAAACACAATGATGATAAGATGAAAGTTTTATAAAGCAAATCAATCGGCCAACGGGCCGAGTAAAAGCTAGCAACGATTGTGAGATGCTCATTTCCCGAAAACCGGCGGGATAGACTATTTTTTATTCGATTTTCTGGAATTCGATTTCTGTAAAACTTACTCCACTCCACCTCATCATATTACCAGAAACAATATTGCTTCACAAGGTAACAGGTACTTGATTTTGGTTCATAAGGCTGATTTTTGATTCGTTGCATCATTCATGTCTCTTTCCTACTAAAATTCACTATTTTTATCACGTGTTTCCAAAAAAAAAAAACTATAAAACAATAAGCTATACACCCCATTACATTATCAAATTTCATACCTCACCTTCCTCCGACCAAATGGCCGGGGGGCCACACTAGTTGTATTTGTAAACGCATCATCATGCTCACTCACTTGATGATAGTCGACATGCTTATGTGTATTAACCCAAAACTTTTGTGTGATCGTAAAAATTGATTAGGTTGTACGGGTTAAACCACGAATTTAGCCTTTCAATAAAATATCCTCCTGTTTGGGTCATAAAATTTAAAACTTGAATTTTTATTTACTAACATGTACAAATTCTTATATGAACAACCACAAACATCTGAATTAAAATGTCTTTGGTTCAAAATATTCATAAAAATGGGAAAATGCCAATTTAGATTTAGTTATAGTAATAACTAATAATTAATAACATAATATATCCTAGCCCATCATGCCACAGGCGCACCCCTCTGGCCTCTATTTCGGTTTTTCTTTAAATTGGTTAATTAAAACTTAAAATTGTAAAAGGAAATGAAAAAGAGAATGAGGGGAATCATTTATATAGTTTTTTCGGGGTAAAATATCTCGGGTGCCACTTAAGTTTGAGAATTGGAGTTGGTATACCACTTAAGTTTGAATATGGCGTCGGGTACCATTTAATTCTATTATATGTGCACCGGGTACAACTTAAGTTTACTGTTAAGTGCATTCCGTTAAAGTTGACAAAATATTTTTGGAATATTCTGTTTTCTAAATTTCATAATTGGTCCTTCTATTTTTCTTATTGTAAAAAATCATTTGGACTTATGAAAAATATAATTTTTTATTGTTTATTTAGAATCCTCTTTTGAATATTTCATACCAAACCAATTTTTGAATAGAAATTTTAGAACCAATTATCATTATAATTATTTTCAATAATGTTCTAAAAAATTGAATTATTTCATGAATGTTGTAACTTTTATAGTCACATTTTCTTTTCTACATTTTTTACTGAATGTTGTAACTTTTATATTTTGGTTATTACTTGGTTATTTTTCATTTCTTTTTTTTTTCTTAATTTTTTCAATTAGTGAAATATGTGTAATTCTTTCTGATTGTGTTCCATTTATTCTTTTTTATTTTGATGTATTGATGATCGATTAGGTTCTATTTTAACTATTTTGTTTTGGTGAAGCTATTTTAACTATTTCTAATGGCGTTTCTAATTGAATTAGGGGTTTTAAATAGATATTCTAATATTTATTTTACCATATTTATTATTACATTTTACCATATTTATTATTCTTCTTGATATTTGTTTACTATTTTTACTAATTTATCTATTTTATTGAAAATATTTGATTAGTCAATCTAGTAATAATATGTTTAGAAGATTTTCTAATTATTATATTAGATAAAACTTGTTGAAATATAGTTTTGCATATTTTTTAAAGTTTTGGGTATCAAAAAGTAATTAAAAGTTTGGGTTGGATAGAAAAGTAGACGGATGTACATTTTGGCAACTTTAATGGTACCCGACGCCTTATTCAAAATTAAGTGGAATGTCTACCCCAATTTTCAAACTTAAGTGGTACCCGAGGTATTTTACCCAATTTTTTCGGCAAGCGTTGCAATCTTTCGGGGTTTTGGAAAACAAAAACGGGAAACATTTGTCTTTTAGTGATGCTGACATGATGCATAATTTTAGTTTAAGACTTATGTGGCAGGGGTCTATATCTTAAAGCCTTTTAATATTTTTATAGATAGATAGAAGATAGATTAACTTATAAATTAGTTTGTCAATTTAGAAATTTATTTTTCAAAATCTTCAAATTTAAAAACTAACTTCATCTCCGCTTCCTCCCCAACACCATCCACTTTCTCATGAAAAGAGTCGATCGTTGTGGGAGTACGGAAAATGATCTTGTAGCTCTCTTGGCTTCTTCTCAATTCTCATACGGTGGAATTAGGGTTGCGTGGTTGGTATTCTGTCATTGGGGTTCTTGGATTAGAACTTCGGGATCGGGGTTTGTGAGTGGGGTTGTGTAAGAAATACGGTTGTTCGGACACATGCGATTTTGTGACAATATACGATAGAGGGGATTTAGGAATTGTGAAGATGAATTAGGAATTTAAAAGAGAAATCATACAATTGAGAATTGAGGATTGAAGAATAACATGATAGAACGACTAGGGAGAATAGATGGGATTGCAGAGGATTGAGAAGAGAAATTAGAGTTAGGGAAATGCTATTCTTATTAATCTATGTTTGATACTGACATAATAACATAAGTACATATTTATATAAAAATATTGGAGAAACTAATTGACGCGGCGCAACTGGAGGACAAAGTCAAGGAAGCAGCTCGGTTGGAGAGGGAGCTGACGCCGCAAGCATGAGCCGACTTGCATTGCTGGACGTTTACTATTCATTATGTTTTTAGTATAAGGTTTTGCTATTCATTATGTTTCAGTATAAGGTTTTGATTTTTGTTGTTTTCATAATCCTTTTCGGAAGGGATTAGTCGGTCTATTTATAGGCAGCATGTAAACGTAAGGGAATTTTTTTTTTTTTTTTTTTGAGCTTTTATCAAATCATTGAGACCTTTGGGTTTTGTCCAGTGGATTCTGGTTTCTTGAGCACGAGTTTGCCGCTTGCAAGCTCCTGCGATCTCGGATTCAGCGTTTGCTAATCCTTTGAGTGTTTTCCGACTGCGTCAGGTGGTATCAGAGCAAGGCTTTTCCTTGTCTCTTTTCGAACTTCATCAATCATGGGAGACCAACCGGTCACGCGAGGAGACATCGAGGGTATCACCGCGGCTTTTACCACGGCCCTTGCTGCTTTGACGACTCAAGTAACAACATTAGCAACGCAGGTAAATGCCATCCATGCGGGAAGGAATAGGGACAGAAGGAATCAACAGCAGAGGCGACCGCGAGGCGGCATTCACGGCCAAGCCGATTCCGACTCTAGTTCGGAGGAGGAGGTCCGGGACGATGAGGAAGATGATGATCATCAGCGTGATCGCAATGATTATCGAGTCAAAGCGGATATTCCGTTGTTCCATGGGACTATGGGCGTTGAGGAGTTTCTAGACTGGCAGATTGAGGTCGATAGGTTTTTCGACGTAATGGAGGTACCTGAGCCCAAGCAAGTCAAGATGGTGGCGGTACGCTTGAAGAGCACAGCTGCAGTATGGTGGGATAAACTCGTCGTGCAGAGACAACGACAAAGAAAGGCCCCGATAAGAACCTGGAGGCGAATGAGGCAGTTGATGCTTGAACGTTTCCTCCCGGAGGATTATGAACAAATTCTTTACAAGATGTATATCGACTGTGTTCAGGGGAGGAGGAGCGTCACTGAGTACACCGCCGAATTCCTGCGTTTTTCGGAACGCAACGAGCTGAGGGAGACAGAGAACCAAAAGGTCGCCCGTTACATCAATGGTTTGAAGGGTTCAATCCAAGAAAAGATCGGGTTACAAACCGTTTGGACGGTGACGGAAGCCTCCACACTGGCATTAAAGGCAGAACTAATGGAGAAATCGCCCAGGAACTTTGCGCCCTTCCGTCGCTTTCCTTCGCCAGGGCAATCCGAAGCATTGATGGAGAAGGATAAAGGGAGTAATCCCAAAGAAATCCATCCCGCCGCTAAGGGACCTCACGACCCTGGGAGCTCCAACGCTAGCAGGGGTCCAGCCCCAAAAGCTGGTAATCCATACGCCAGGCCAACGGGGGATAAGTGTTATCGATGTGGAGGCCAGAGCCATCGATCGAATGTGTGTCCGTCAAGAAAGATGGTTGCGGTGATGGAGGAGAACCCAAAGAACGTTGAGGGTCACACCGAAGACGAAGAGTCCGACGAGTATGATGGGGTCGAGTTCGCGGAGGAAGAGTCCAAGGACGTCGTGAATATCGTCCTACGGCGAGTCCTCCTGACAGGGGCTGACGAGGGCCAACGCAAGAATCTCTTTCGTACGCATTGCTCCATCAACAACAAGGTATGTAACCTCATCGTGGACAACATGAGCACAGAAAATCTAATTTCTCAAAAACTGGTTGCGTATCTGGAGCTGCCAACTGAACCACATCCGCAACCGTATGCATTGGGTTGGGTAAGCAAAGGCCCTCAGGTTAAGGTAACGCAGACCTGCAAAGTTCCTATTTCTATTGGGAAGCATTACCAAGAGGTGGTGGCTTGTGATGTACTGAGCATGGACGTATGCCATGTACTTCTAGGGCGTCCATGGCAATTTGATAATGACGTTACCTATAGAGGAAGAGATAATGTGATAGTATTTACCTGGAAGTCGCATAAAATAGCAATGGCACCTGTGTCCGGCCCGGCCAAGCCGCTGGGGAAGGCGAAATCCAACTTTATTACGTTGGCCCAGGATGATGAAGACTTGCAGATGGCACTTCGGGAGTCCGAGTGGGTGTGCCCAATTGTAGTCAAGGGGCTGCTGAGCTCATCGCAACCTACTGAGCAGGTTATCCCCGCAGAAGTACAAGAGATACTAGGGGATTTCAAAGAGTTGATTTCAGACGAGCTGCCGAGCACGTTACCACCGATGCGAGACATACAACATCACATTGACCTGATCCCAGGATCCAGTTTGCCGAACCTACCACATTATCGCATGAGCCCTAAAGAAAATGAAATTCTCCGTGAACAGATCGAGGATGTCCTCAAGAAAGGCTTTATCAGGGAAAGTATGAGTCCATGTGCCGTTCCCGCCCTGTTAGTCCCAAAGAAAGGCAATCAATGGCGCATGTGCGTGGACAGCCGGGCCATCAACAAGATTACCATCAAGTACAGGTTTCCCATTCCCCGCTTGGAAGATATGCTCGATGAACTGTCCGGGTCAAAGGTCTTCTCAAAGATTGATTTAAGAAGCGGGTATCATCAGATTCGGATTCGACCGGGAGATGAGTGGAAAACCGCGTTCAAGAGTAAGGATGGTCTCTACGAATGGCTCGTCATGCCTTTCGGCTTATCGAACGCTCCCAGTACTTTCATGCGGCTCATGAATCAGGTTCTACGTCCTTTTATTGGATCTTTCGTAGTGGTTTACTTTGATGACATTTTGATTTACAGTAAGACCAAGGAGGAACACCTCGAGCAGCTGCGGCAAGTACTCCAAGTGCTCCATGAGAACAAGCTATACGTCAATCTCAAGAAGTGTACGTTCTACACGGATCAGTTGTTGTTCCTAGGATTCGTTGTGGGAGAACACGGGGTACAGGTGGACGAGGACAAGGTCCATGCCATCCGAAGTTGGCCTGCCCCCACAACCGTGTCGGAAGTTCGTAGCTTCCACGGGTTGGCTACTTTTTACCGCCGTTTTGTCCGCAATTTTAGCACCATCGCTGCGCCCATCACCGAATGTTTGAAGAAAGGGAAATTCGTTTGGGGTCCCGAGCAAGAACGAAGCTTCACTTTGATCAAAGAGAAGCTTTGCACAGCCCCCGTCCTCGCACTGCCCGACTTTGACAAGCTCTTTCAGGTAGAGTGCGACGCCAGCGGAGTCGGCGTAGGTGCTGTTCTATCACAGGAAAAGCGACCAATAGCTTTCTTTAGCGAGAAACTCAGCGATGCTAGACAAAAGTGGAGCACGTACGACCAGGAGTTCTATGCGGTCTTTCGGGCACTTCGCCAATGGGAACATTATCTAATCCAGCGTGAGTTCATCTTATTCACCGACCACCTTGCTTTGAAGTTTCTGCACAGCCAAAAGGTGATTAACAAGATGCATGCCCGCTGGGTCAGCTATCTCCAGAAGTTTCCTATCATAATCCAGCACAAGTCTGGCATCCAGAACAAGGTCGCAGATGCCCTGAGTCGGCGCGCATCTTTGTTGGTTACTCTGGCCCAAGAAATTGTCGGGTTTGAGGTGCTTAGGGACCAGTACGCCACCAACCCCGATTTCGGAGAACTGTGGTTTAAATGCACTCATCAGCACCCCAGCGCAGATTTTCACGTCCGCGACGGCTATTTATTCAAAGGAGACCGTCTCTGCATCCCGAATTCTTCACTACGGGAACAACTCATTCGTGAGCTCCATGGCGGCGGCCTCAGCGGTCATTTGGGACGTGACAAGACCATCGCCAGCTTAGAGACACGGTTCTACTGGCCTCATCTGCGACGTGACGCAGGTACCATTGTACGGAGATGTTTCGTATGTCAAACCTCGAAAGGCCAATCCCAGAACACCGGTCTTTATATGCCTTTGCCGATTCCTGAAGATATTTGGCTGGATCTCTCGATGGACTTTGTTTTGGGTTTACCCCGCACACCACGAGGCGTGGATTCTGTCTTTGTTGTTGTCGATCGATTTTCCAAAATGACCCACTTTATTGCATGCAGGAAAACAGCCGATGCCTCTAACGTCGCCAAACTGTTTTTCAAAGAGATTGTCCGCCTGCATGGTGTCCCTGTCTCGATCACTTCTGACCGCGACACCAAGTTCCTCAGTCACTTCTGGATTACTCTCTGGCGGTTATATGGGACTGCCCTGAACCGGAGTTCCACAGCGCATCCCCAGACTGACGGCCAGACGGAGGTTACTAATCGCACTTTGGGTAACATGATCCGAAGTCTTTGCGGCGATAAACCTCGACAGTGGGACCTATTCTTACCTCAGGCCGAGTTTGCTTACAACACGGCCGTCCACTCGGCTACAGGCAAGTCCCCGTTCTCTATTGTCTACACGTCCCCCCCTCGGCATGTGGTGGACTTGATTCCCCTACCCCCGGCTTCGGTCGCGAGCAAGGCCGCCATCGATATGGTTCACGATTTCCAGGCTGTCAAACAAGAAGTCCGCACCAAGTTGGAGGCCGTAGGCCAAAAGAATAAAGCTGCTGCCGATATTCATTGCCGTTCTAAAGTCTTTGCTGTCGGTGATGAAGTGATGGTGTTTCTACGCAAGGACCGATTTCCTGTGGGTACGTATGCCAAGCTGAAGCCCCGCAAATATGGTCCTTTCAAAGTGTTGCGGAAGATTAATGATAACGCTTATGTCGTCGACCTGCCCGCCGACATGATTATCTCCAACACCTTCAATGTGGCTGACCTGTACGCATTTCATGATGATATTCCCCTATATCCCGATATGAACTCGAGGTCGAGTTCTTTACAGGTGGAGGAGACTGACGCGGCGCAACTAGAGGACAAAGTCAAGGAAGCAGCTCGGTTGGAGAGGGAGCTGACGCCGCAAGCATGAGCCGACTTGCATTGCTGGACGTTTACTATTCATTATGTTTTTAGTATAAGGTTTTGCTATTCATTATGTTTCAGTATAAGGTTTTGATTTTTGTTGTTTTCATAATCCTTTTCGGAAGGGATTAGTCGGTCTATTTATAGGCAGCATGTAAACGTAAGGGAAATTAATTTTTTTTTTGAGCTTTTATCAAATCATTGAGACCTTTGGGTTTTGCCCAGTGGATTCTGGTTTCTTGAGCACGAGTTTGCCGCTTGCAAGCTCCTGCGATCTCGGATTCAGCGTTTGCTAATCCTTTGAGTGTTTTCCGACTGCGTCACTAATAACCATAAAACTAGTATCACTTATAATTCAATAGTATGTTTCTAACAGGTTGTAGACTTGTAGTGATGGAGGTTTTGAGATTGGAGTTCCAAGGATGGTGTTCTGGGGTTGGGATTTTGCTATGTAAGGAAGTGGTTAAGTATCATACATGAACCTCTCCCAACAACTCGAGTTATTGGGACCAGTTGGTTTATGACACTTTGGGATCAAATAAAGCTTGCGATTGAGATCGTGGCGATTGAGTTTTTGGGATTGGAGTTCCAGAGTTAGCAATCCGTGGTTGGGATTTTGGGATCGGAGTCTGCGATTCGAGTTTTGGCATTGAGTTATGGGGATGGGGTTTTGAGATTGGGAGTTCTGGGGATGAACTGGGATGAGAGACGATGAAGAAGAGGAAAATTTAATTCCTCTAGTGAAAATTCATCCCTCCAAACAAGCGATATGGTTCAATAAGATTCATATATGGAGGCATTAGCATGGAGATGATAATAAGCATTCAGTCAAAAGTTTTGCTAGTTTGTTACAAATTAGGTGTCTCGAGAGGTTGCAATGGACATGAAATGGTTCAATTCGTAGGTGTTGATGTGACTTGAATCGGACTATCAGCCGCTATGACTGGTAATCGGGGATCAGCGAGTGGGGTCCAGGGGCAACGCCCCCGACCCACGATGTATGGGCTCAATGTTATTTGGGTTCGGGTTCTGGGCCTGGTCTGTAACTATTTCCTTTGCCATATTGGATTAGGTTTAGACCCACATGGAGAAGTACTATAAATATTTCTCATACTCCTCTCTAATCTGTAATCTCCTCGATATAGTGAAACTGGCTCTCTCTCGCCCGTGGACGTAGCTAACACACATCGTGTTAGTGAACCACGTAAATCGTGTGTCTGTGTTTTTCAATTCTCGCTTTCGTATTCTTGCTTTATCGATTCCGACGATTTCCCGATCCGTAGCAGCGCGTTTATAACAGTAGGGTAATTTGACCTAGTTATCATGCTTGTATGGGTGTTGGATAGGACCCAAATGGATACAAATAGGCTTTTAATAATTTGGGTCTTGATTTGAACTTGGTCAAATTTGGGTCAGACCCTAAAAGGTATTATATTTAGGTACAGATCAATGTACATTAAAAAATAATAATATTGACAATCTTAATAATTGTTTCAACTCAATTACACCTCTGGTGTTGTTGTTTCCACCGTTATGTCTGTTTCATAACGAAGATAAGGCAAAACTTGCATCAAAATCGAGGGTTATTTTGTCTCAATAATACGGGTCCAATTTAGACCTAAACCAAAAAGTTGACTACGAATCCGCCTAAAAAATAAAGTTACACAAAACTTAATTTGACAAATAATAAATTGGGTTTAAATAACACCCAAAATACAATACCTTTATTACGATCCCTAATTCCTTATGGAACCAATCTATCTACGAGACATTCTAAGAATATGATAATTAATTTATTAGTATTATTATTAAACATCGATAATAATTGTTCTTGATCATTACTACACAATGTATAAATAGATTACATTACTAAAAAGGGCATTTTGCAGGAAGTGCAACAAGTGATAGCCGCCCAAATCATCATCATCATAATGCTTGACCATATAATGTGTACGTAATTTATAGCATAATAATAACACGTAGTATGGCTAATTATATGCTACAACGGGAGAATTAGGAGGAGCGTGGAGAGGACGAAAGCCATGGCGCAGAGCTGCTTCCCAAACTTTCTCCACGTCCAACATCCGGTCGCCGCACTCGTGCTCCTCCCACTTCTCCAACGCGTGAACCAGCCCCGCTACCCGCCATGCACTCATCACTCTTCTTCCCAGCCAATTCTGCATAATGTTCGTGCCGTGTGTTACATATGCACGAATCCGCGTAGTGTCTTAATTATTACGAACGAACGAAAGAAGAAGAAAAAAAAAAGTAGTTGACGATTTTGTCGATTAGATTACCTCGCAAGAATCCACGTTCTCGAGGGACTTGGGCGCTGTCAGTGCCGGCGTGGTGTGGTAAAAGCAGTCCTCAGCTCGCAACTTCTTTGGTGGGAACTGGGAGAAAGGAATGAACAACGTTCCTTTCCCCGCCTGCCTCTGCTCCTCTTCACTTAATCCCTCCCCCACTAGCCAAATCTACAATATGCTTTCATTTAATTATTATATACCAATAACTCGAGTCGTTTGGAATTTTTTTTTTCTTCTTTTCAAACAAATGAATATCTAGCTACTGGTTTTTTTACCTTGGTAGAGTGAGCTTTGGAGAGAAGGAGATTAGCGTGGGAAGTGGTGCCGAAAGACTGTCGCAGCCTGTCGTATTCTTTCTTTGTCGGGACAACAACCTTCAGTATCACCCACGACCAACAGCAATAGGAAGGGATGTGAAGGTGATGAAAAAAAAAAAAAACGAGACAGAGTATATATATATCGGTCGGACTAGTATACTTCTGGAATATATGATACTCTGAATATTCTGAGTCATTTATCTCTTGCTAGACCATGAATTAAACCAATTTTGTAGTTTAATACCATACCCTAACCTCTTATGGACAAATCTCAGCAGGACCTTATTCTCTAAACTCAAACTCGAATTCCAGTTTAATTAGAAAAAAATAATTGACCGATTCATATTGATCGGAGGTCACCAAAGTACATCTAATGAACAGATCATCTGGAGTACGCTATACCCATCGGAGTATACCAGTCTTTAGTATATGTGTAGATCTATGATTAGATGTCTTACCTGCAGGCCACGATGGCACAAAGACTGTGCAAGAGCAGAAGCAACCTTAAAGAGGGCAGGGGTGCCCCTAATGGCGACCTGTGTTGTGCCTTTGGGGATGGAGTTTAGGACAACAGCCACAGCCAGGCTGCTGCCGTCCACCAGCTTAGTTCTCAGCCCCGGATTCTTCCTCACGTAAATCTCCCCGTACCCATTCAATTCCTCCCCCTGCAAAGTTTCAACATCATAAAAAAAAAAAAATCAATTCCTTTGTATATATAAGTAATAATAGTATTCACCAACACACCAACTTTTCTCAACTTGCCTGATTCAATAGCCCCAAAGTCAACACCTTGACGCCTTTCCCCTCAGCCTCCACAATCGCGTCCTCTATCAGCGAATTGATCGCCTCTTTCTGCCACTGCATCGCGTACTGCAAAATCACACGTATTTGTAAAGAACTCAACATATAAAAAAACACGTCACAAGTCAGGAAAAATAATTTTTTTCTTCAAAAAGTCCACGAATACACGTATTTTATAAAGAACTCAAATGCAACAACGATATGAAAAAAAAAACGCGACATGATGACAATATCGATCAGGAAAAAAAAACGACTTTTTTCTTTCTTTAAAAAAGTCCACGAATTCGAGAGAACGGAACAACAAAAACGACGACGACGACACGCGACAGGCAGACTCAAGCGGTAAGGTATATAATACGCAAATGCAAACGCAACGAACCTGGATCTTGTACTTGGGAAGGGCCCAGGTCTGGAGCCTGACGTCACCGAACCGGTGCCTCTCCAGCACAAAAGCGGCCCGCCCATAGAGCCACGTCAGGGCCATGGTCCAGAGCGTGACGGGCCAGAGCAACCGGTGCAGCAGCCGGAGTCGGCCGTCGTCGGCGGAGGGAGAGGCGGCAAGGTAGGCGAAGCCGAGGCGGAGGCGGTAGACGGACTCGGGAGTGGTGAGGTGGGTGAGGTGGACGACGTCGGGGGACTCGTCGCCCCGGCTGAGCGACTTCTCGTGGAGGTCGTCGGTGGAGCGGTCGACGGTGGCGTAGAGGTGGTCGTAGAGCGGCATGAAGAGGGAGTAGTTGGTGCGGAACTGGGTGTGGTGGAGGGAGTGGTAGGACGGGGTGTAGAGGAGGAGCTTGAGCGGCGGGAAGACGGAGAAGAGGGAAGCCGGGACGAGCTCGAAGTTGCAGTGGCCCATGTTGTTCATGAGGTCGATGTAGGTGATGTAGCCGGCGAAGGAGATGATGGACGCGGTTCCCGTCAGGATCGTCGTCAGCATTGGGATGGCGAAGAGGGCGAAGTAGGCGATGTGCTCCGCGAATGGGTGGATCACGGCTAGCAGTAGTAACGCAAATCGTCAGCGGCGGATCCAGAACATAGTAGATCACATAACACTTTTTTTTTATCTAACGTTCTAAAAGGATTGACTTTTTATTCTATTTCAAATAGATTTTAGTTATTTATTATGTTCGTGACTTAAAAAAAAAGTTTGGCTATATCTTGGATATTTATTCTGTCGATGTTGTATTTTTTGAAAATGTATTTGAGTGATTTCACTTTAAAATGGATATTTTCCTTCTGTGATGTTTTACCTTCTTTCGTTGTCGTACCAGTAAGAGTACTACTGTTGTATAAATGCTGTTTCTTTGGACCATTTTATTAATGTTTCGGTCAATTAGTTCCAAAGAGAAATTAGACATCCAGGCAGTGTAAAACCTAGAAATCAATGTTGCATCAAGATTAATTATGATGGAGAAAGGAGCTAGAGATTTAATTAGAGCACATAGTTAGCTAGGATGGGATGCTTTATTTCGTTTTCCAGAATATAAATGAAGCGATTAGTAGTTAGAAAGGTAGCTTTATTTCGTTTTCCAGAATATAATAATCCCATTTATGATTCTATTCATATCATAACATAATAATTATTGTACATATTGTCACAAATTTAAGTATTTATTAATCAGAATACTAAATGAACAGCAAACCCAACAGAATACTAAATAAAACAGCAAACAATGTTGTTTGAGTAATGAGTATGTTTGTTTGTAGATCCTAAGAGAAGCAGTTGGAAGGAGAGAGTTAATGGTGGCAGCTAGCTAGCCAAGAAAAGCATGCAACCCCCATCAGGAAAACTAATTGCGACCCTTAACCCACCAACCAACCAACTCGCCCCCTCTTCCCCACCAGCTCCATCTATCGCCGGCATCGAAATAGGTCGACTCATTGGATAATTTGGAACAGTTGTCTTGTCAAGACCCATATGAGTTTTTTCGGTTCAATTTAAATGGACTTGTATGCGTTCTTATTTCTTAATAATTCTGGAGGTTAAACTGGAATTGTATATTGAGTCTAATTTGGACCAACTCATTTGGGTCGGACCCAAATTGATCTATTTTAGTCTATATAATTTGTACACATGAAGAAAAAAAAAAAGCAAATATCAACAACCTCAGAAACTGTCTTCAACAAATTCGAATGTTCAACGTTGGTATTTCTACATTTATGCCTATTGTAGAACAAAGTAAACGACAAATATTCGAATGTTTCAATTTTATCAGCGCGTCGGATAACCACCTTTTATTTGGTACTCAATATAACGAGTTCGATTTAAATCCAAACTAAACAAAAAAAAAATCGAATATGAATATACTCCAAAATATAATGACTTAATTTGACTCGTAATAAATTGTGTTTGGACGCGATACCCAAAATTTCGATGTCTGTTTCCCCATCCCCAGTTCCCCACTACATGTGTCGGACAGCACGTCGACGGGGAGAGCAGTGAGAGTGAGAGTCGGCCCGGCCCAACCCCATACTATCATTATTTCCCCATTTAAAGAATCCAACATTAACCGACCCTTTTTTTTTTGCTAGCTGTTTTTTTTTTTCTTCTTCCAATTTTTTTTTTCTTCTGTTTGATCGGTAATTAAATGAATCGATAGTACGGAGAGGGGGGAAAAAAGAAGGTGAGAGGGATGGGAATTTGAACGTACAGGTGATTGGCTCGGTGGCGATGGAGGAGTGGTGGTGCGAGTGGTAGCGAGAATAGAGGAAGTGGTGGTGCAGCGCTCTGTGCAGCCAGTAGTACAGAAACTCCACGGGGCCGGCGTGCAGAAGCACGGTGATCACCACGCCGTCCAGCCTCCACAGCGGCAGGTGCGTCGCGCCGGTCAGCGACATCGCGCCGATGTAGAACAGCAGGCCGTTGAACACGATCTGGTCATCCCTGCAGTACATCATCATTAGTTGATTAATTAATTAATAATACACTATGATTATTTTAATTAATAGTACACTCATGCAGCTCAGACTCACTCACCATCCGGCCTCGCGGTCAACCTGGTCAAACTCGATCCCTTTGTCGACGATGCGGGTGGTGCCCTTGGCGGTGCGGTAGCGGGAGAAGCTGATCCACAACTGGTTGTGGATCATTCTCCATACGAGGAACGGGAAGATGAGGAAGGTGGAGAGATCCCTCTCTCCACCACCGTTCCCCGTTATGAACTCGTACGTCTTCGGGATCGCCCACGGTGCCAGTATCACGTGCTGCGTCGCGCAAAAAAAAAAAAGGTTACGTTTACGTAGATCTCGAATTAATCAGATTTTGTGGCATGATAGTATACGATAGGCGAGGGGAAATGATCGAACGAAACGAACCTTAAAGCAGCCGAGTGGCTTCCAAGGCCAGTCAGTGAGGAATCCAGGCGTGGTAGCCATCCGTCTTCTCTGCTGCCTCTCTCTCTCTCTCTCTTCTCTACTGCAAAAAAAAAAAAACCTTACACGTACGAGATAATGATATATAGAGAAGAAGAAGAAGAATATTAAGTATTGGTGAGGAAAAGCAGCGGCCTCGCAAAGAGAAAGGCCACACATAACCACGCGCGGGGCTGGCTTGGCAGTTGGCACTGCCACTGGGGGCGGCTATTGGTTGGGGGGGTGGGTTGGGTAGGGACTAGGGAGTGTGCAATGGTTCGGTGCGGTATACAGATCGGCTCGAATTTATGAGCGGCGCGATTTAATGGTGAGAGATTAATTATTTCGGAATTGAGGATCGGATTAATATTGTGTTTCGATTCGCGGTTTGGTTTGGTTTGGTCGGAGTTAAATGTTAACGTGGTCCGTTTTTTTCCAGCATCTATAAAATTCACGGGACTCGAGAGACCAGATCGCATTATATTAAGCTCGATACGATTCGATTCAGGTTTCAGTGTGCGGTCAGTTGCGGCCCCAGTATGGACCAAATTGTTGCACAACGAACCTCGTACTAGGACTCTGCTGCTGGGAGGCCCTCTCGGGCACATGTCCTCTGAATATTTAGGAGGGCCTCCACCTTCCAAATCGTATATAATAAAGGTTATTGTACTTTTAGTGTATGATTAATTATATTGATTGTGAGTTATGTATGATGATTGTTAAAGTCTTATTCATGTGCGGAAAGTCCAATTGGTGTTATAAAAAAAATAAGACACAAAAAAAAGACTGATGAATTAGCTATGATAAGAATTGAAAATGATCTCAAAGAGAATACCAATATTAAAGAATTAATAGATTATTTTATTTTAACAATAAAATAAGTTCGTAGCAAATTAGTGAGACTATCAACTGAGACACTTCCCACTCTGTCTCCTATTAATCCATTTAGTATTGCATCAAAATTTCCATTACTCTATCAACCTATTGTATAGAGAAAACTTACGCTTTTTGAGATTTGCTAAAATTAATACTTTATAGTTTGCATCCCAATATTTTAGGAATATGACAATAATTTGTATCTCAATATTCAATATCTAATAGATATTAGTTTAGTTTGGTCCTGCTGTAACTTTTGTAGAAGCAGCTTCTGGCTGGAGCTTTTAGATAAATACTTTTAAAAAAAAGCAGTTGAGTGTTTGGCTGTAAAACTATTAGAAGTGTTTTTTAATATAAGAGGTTGTGTAAAATGACTATAAATGACTTGTAATATAAAATATGAATAAAAATTCTAAACAATAAAAAGTAGTCAAAATGGATCTTGTTAGATTTCTTTTATATTAGATAATATGATTTTATAATTTATTTTATTTTCAAAATAAAGGAAAATTATATTTTCTGAAATAAAATTAAAATATGGTAAGGATAATCTTGTATTTTCAAAACAGCTTTTCGCAGAAGCTCCAAATCGGAGCTTCTGCTTTTATGTTATACAAAAGCGCTTTTCAGCTTTTCAAAGCCGAGTTTTTACAGGTGTTTGGCCCTGCTTCAGCTTTTGAACCCGAAAAGCACTTCTAAAACCCGGGCCAAACATAGGGAATAGATAACATAATAACTAATAATAGTAGTCGAAACTATTCTTTATTCTTCACCTTTAGAAGTAGATGCTCAGTGTGTAGTGCGGTTAAAAAAATATCACGTATTTTCGATAGTACTAAAAACAACATTTTTGTCATGTGAAAGTAGGGTGCGGGTCATTCGGGTGACCTTCAATCCACCCACCACCCACCCACATTAGTGCGGCTGGGAGATTTATCAATCCGCAATCCACCCACATCAACCACCCATTACTTGCGGGTCGGGTTATTTGCGGGTGGATCGATATCAATCCGCGGATTAACTACCCACGTGCCCACCCCTACTTGTGATATATGATTAATTGATTGTGAGTAGAAAGGTGGATTTACTTTAATTGATTGCGCTAGTCACTGATGTATTCTCATGAATATATGCATACATGAAGCATGTATAATGATTGTTAAAATTCTGCGTTGAAAGTCCAATTCGTGTTAAAATAAAAGATACAAGAGAGTTTGATGAATTAGTTACAGTAAGGATTGAAAATGATATCATGATAAATACCGAAAAATAGAGATCTAATAAATAATTTTATTTAATTAAAAAAACAACTTTAGGAAAATATTAGTTTTAAAATAAGGACGAGATTATCATTTTCATTATATTATACCCCACAAACCTAGTTGGGCCATTTCTTTTCTTGTTGGGAATATTGCGCACTTCTTGTGGGGTGCTTCTTTTTGCTTTAATTTTATTATACAGACATTTAGCTTGCTATTTATTATACAGACCTCTTTTGATTTTATAATTCAATATTTGCAAAATAACAATAGGTGTTCAAACCGAAATTGAATCAAATTTCTCGAAAAACATCTAACCAATATTATTTTCGGGGTAGATTTTAAGTATCCGCACCGAATAAAGTTTGATTTAGACAAGCGGCGGATCTAGGGGGCCGCCCCGGGCCACGGCCCAGTCCTCCCCGGATCCAAAACTCGTATAGTACTTGTAAATATTTTTTATTTTGGGTATATATTTTAGTGCTTATTGGGTTACGGCCCCCAGCCCTCTCCTTCGCTTTTTAAATGCGGCCCAGTACTCTAACCTGTTCTGGATCTGCCGCTGATTTAGACTCACCAGTTTCAATACTTTTGTCATCCATATATATATATATTGTTTTTTTTACTCATTTCCCTCATATTTATAAGGGTAAATACAATTTAATATCCAAACCTTTTATTTTAAACAGTATAATAGCCAAACCTTTTTGAAAACAATCTAATATCCAAATCGTTAACTTTCTGTCTGTTTGACCGTTAGCTGACACTTCAAAAAAGTTCGAAGTACGACACTTCATCAATATCCATCGATATCCTCTCTGAAGAACCACCAACATATCGTAGTTCCAAACCCGAGAAGTCCATGACTCCACCACGATGGTATAGAATATCTAAATATTCAGTCATCCGCAATGCCAAAACAAGAAACAAAGTTGTATTGTGACAATTTCCCCTAAACAAAGCTTTTTTGAAGTGTCAACTAACGGTCAAACGAACGAAAAGTTGATGATTTGGATATTAGATTGTTTTCGAAAAAGGTTTGGCTATTATATTGTTTAAAATGAAAAGTTTGGATATTAAATTGTATTTATTCTTTTTTTTATAAAGAATATCTAAACAAAAATCTAAAAGTAACATCGACGTTAAATTTTACTTTATATCTCAAAAAACTTTATGTATGCATGTAATTATTCCACGGAAATATGTCATTTTACTTCCTCTCTCTATATATTTTGGTCTCAAAAAAGATATTATGATTTCAAAAATCATGATTTGATAATAATGATATACGACAAACTCAGCCTCTCACCCAAAAGCCAGTTGTCAATCTTCAACGAGATTAATCAATTGGCTTGCTAGCTGCTGGCTGCTGCTGCTGATGCCCTTTTTAAACGATGATGTTGATGACGATGATGATGATCCGACGATGTGTTTAATCGAACATCAATCGTTTCACAGCCTTTGGCCTTTCGCCGGCCTAGCTACCTAACTGATCATCTCTCCGGCCATTAAATGTTTCATTTATTTCTCGATCTGCCCGCACCTAACTGCATGTACTTTGCCTTCAATAATTTCTCTCCTCAACCGTCGTAGCATTGCTGCTTTGCTTTGCTTGGTGGACGATCGGCAGCAGGGCGGGACCAAATCATGCACATATAATAATATTATACATACATGATACAACTCGTTGCTGCTGTACGTTGAGATGCGATCTGGGTATTTATTATTTGCCGAACATAGGATGTACATCATGAGATCAGTAGTTTACTGATCTGCAGCATGTAAAAAAGTAGATACGTGTCATTGTTGTAAGCCCCTGACAATTTTTGTTTCGAACTCATGTGACTGTACCTAGCTAAGCTAGCTGCGGTAGTTGGGGAAGTTTATGTTGCTCTCGTAGCAACAACAGAAAAGCTTGGTTGTCTAGTCAAGAGTGTGGGATGGAAAATTGGAAATGACGAGGGTTATGGGTGGGGATGGTGCATATATAGGGTGGGCAAACGGTTTGGTAAACCCGAACCGAAACCGAAATAATGCTATTCGGTTCGAAATTCGGAAGAAAAATATAGATATTTCGGAAATCAGGGTTCTTTCAACCGAACCGAATTTCCGACCGACAAACCGAAATACTACAATTGCAACCTCCAAATGGTGGATTTTTATATTTGTAGTTGTTTTTATACTTAAATATTTGAAATGTTTTATGACTTATGTGTTGAAAAGTTTGATTTTATCATTGATTATGCATATAATTGCATATTTATTGTTTATATTAAGAGTGAAAAATAATTTAAAAGTGAGAATATACAAGTAGCCTCACAAATTCGGTTTTGTGTTAAAAACCGAACCGAATTATAATTCGGTTTAAACCGACCAAACCGAATTATAATTCGGTTCGAATTCGGTTTGAGATTTGGGAGAATTCGGGGACCCGGTATTCATAATTTCGGTTTGGTTGAAACCGAACCGACCGAATGCCCACCCCTAGCATATATATTGGTTACACTATCCAAAATAATTTTGGATTTTACTCGTATATTTAGCTATTCTCACAATTGGTTAGGATATTTAAACCAATACCCGATCAAATTTTGGGTATATATACACGATTATCCACGATAATAATTTGTATTTATAACATCAGCATACATGTTAATAGTTACACTTGCATAAGTTAAAAAGTACAACAATAAATAATAAAACGAAGAAAATTAGTTGAAAATAGCACAATTCATGAGAATATTATATGTGTATATTAACTACAATCTATTGTATGGAAATAATAATCATTTTAAAAAACATACATATGCATGTGTATAATCGGATGGTTTCGGGTTGGATAGTGAGAAAAATCATGCTTTCGCTATAAAAAACCGATGGGCGAGCAGTAAAAATTGGGTGGAAAAGGTTGCTCATTCATTCTCTCTCTCTCCCTAAATTTCTCTCTGCGCGCGCCTTGCCATCCTAGCGATATTGGTGGCATCATCGTCACAATCTGCTCTAGTGGCAACTGTTTGTGGGGGGGGGGGGGGGGGGGGGGGGGGGGGGGGGTGGAGATAAGTTCTTGGACCAAGTTGTTTGAAGTTGCTCATGAGAATCAGATGAGTTGTCGTCCTTTGGAGCGAGTAAACGATGAGTTTCGATTACCTCGTGAGTAGAAGAACGAGGGTGAAGAGCGATTATTTGACTATTTGATTGGTTAGTTTGTGGGTTCTCAGTATAAGATTGCTCAACTGCAAGGTTGGGCTACTAATCTCTAGGGAAGGGATGGTACAGTGAGGGTTTCACGATTCGGTCTAAAGTTGTTCATATTCTAGTTGCCTTCTGTTGTTACTATCAAATGGGTGTTCAAATCAGGACCCTGAAACTAATAGGAGAATTAGGTATTTTTCACAGTTGTGCTCCAAGAATTCCAGAATTAGGTATTTTTTCACCGTTGTGCTCCAAGAATTCCATCGATGACTCCGAAAAGTGGAGACTCTATTGATCAGGGTTAAGATTTGGGGATTGGCGTTGGAATAACACTAATCAGGAGGACTGCAATGAGTCTCAAGTACTCTTGCATCGACGTTATTGAAGGATCAACAACTCATGTTAGAGGTCATCTAGGTTTTGCAAAGGCCTGTGTGGATTTAGCGCATATTCTGGCTTTTCGGCTACTTTTTCGTCTCTAGCCGGATGATGAACTTTCCTTTGAGGTAATGGTAGAGTACCTAAACCTCCATGTTGCCTATGCTTCGTGCCAGGCCTATGGACATGATTGTTTAATTTTGGCTATGAACAATAAGAGGTGGGTGCCAAAGACTAAGTTTGATGGTGAGAAAGTTAATGTGGAACATGAGAAGAATAATTATCAAAATTTGGTTGATAATATAGTGGATGAGGTTGACAATAGTCATGAGTTTGGTTCCTTTAGGTGATGCTAAACGTGAGAATCGAGTGGTACATGTAGAACAATGTAGTATTGCGAATGTAGTTAAGGATATTGAGCCTCGAGGTAATGTTTGCTCACTCCTCCAACCACTGGGAGTGTTACTATGAGTTTTATTCCAGTTGTTCGAGGGTCATCGACATATGTTCGAAGCCTGAAAATGACTTAACAAAAGGTTGGTAGGGGTAGATAACTAGTTGTAACTGTTAGGAGTTTACCTAATTAGCCAAATCAAATAGTAGCAAGGAAACAACCATTGATTAACTCATCAAACAAATGTACAGCTCTAGTTGAAGACATATCTTAGTTTGCTGCTAAAACCAAAGGTTGTTGTGCCTACCCCTACACCGAAGGTAAAAAGAGATGGTACATAGGGTGAAATTCGTTGATGAAGATATCAATTTGGAATACTATAGGGTTCAAGGCCGCTAATAAAAATAAAGAGGTTCAAAAAATAATACATAAGAATAATATAAAAGTACTAGACATATTAGAGCAGAGAGTACAAACTGTTCACTATGGAAAAACTCATTCAAGAACGTATGTTTCCCATATTATGAGTCTAAAGTTGCTAATAAATCCAATGGGTTGGGTAAGATATGGTTGGCATGGAGAAAGGATGTGTATCATTCAGGTACTTCATCGATCTTATCGATTTCTCCATGTAATGGTTGGGGTATCTAATTCATTAGTTTGCTGCTTTTGTGTATACTCCTAACCCCAATATGGACATAAGGAAAATGTATAAAGATATTCAACTAATTAGGGTTATAGCGGCTCCCTCGATCATTGTTTGGGATTTAAATGAAATTGCTTATATGGTTGAAGCCTGTAATGACCCAATGGTGGATACTAGTATGTTAGAATTTTGAAATGGAAGGTGGATTTAGAGGTATATGAACATGAAGTAGTTAGGTCCACGCTTTACTTAGATGAATAAGCAGGAGGCTAATCCTATAGCTCGAAATTTGAATATGAGTTTTCTTAATCCCAAATGGTTGAAAGTCTGCAGTTCTAGCATTCTGCACTCGTGGAGCCTGGAATTTATGATCACTATCCTATTTTGATTAAGACGAACAACTCTACTAAATCCCTTCATAAACTTTTAAAAAAAAATCAGATTTTGGATATATCATCCAAAATTTACGAATTTGATTAAAATTGTTTGGGAGTCATAATTTCAAGATACTCTATTGATTAGAGTCCGTAAGAAACTTAAATTCTTAAAGGGTTGCTTAAAATGTTGAATAGAGAGATTTACTCATATATTAGTTTTTTTTAGAAATCGCTGATGGGGATTCATTGAAGTCAAGAATCAACTACTTCAAGGGCTACAACATCAGCTACCATCACAGGCAAGCTATCACACTCGAAACTAGTTTCATCAGAATCTGACACTAAATGAGCTAACAAATGAACAACATTATTGACTCTCTATACGCAAAAGTCCAGTCACGAACGTCCAGCTCCTCCGTCTCCTTCAAGATATCCGAACATATATTTCCTAGTTCAGTTATGCAGATTTTGCCCTGTTTCAGCAGCTTGACAACCTTCCTACAATTTGATTCCACAACAATAGGTCCAATTCCCTTCTCCTTCACCAATCTAACACCATAAAGAATATCCATACCTTCAGCAAGATCGGGAGTCCACTTGACATTGAATCTTCTGCTAGCAGCAAAGACTGCATTACCCTCCCAATCTCTAAGGACACACCCTAGTCCCACTTCACCTCTGCTGCTCACCCCTGCATCTGTGTTTAATTTGAAAACTCCAACAAAGGGTTTCTTCCATTTTCGAATATCTCTTTGCTAGACTTTGAGGGTGGTTGGTCTTTTCCCTGTACTTCAAGCAAACAATGGATGAACTCATCAGCCCGAGAGAAGACTTGTCACTCCTCTAGGAACTTCTTGTTGAACAGGAAGTTGTTAATGTCCTTCCAGAAAACCACAGTAAAGAACTCAGCTGAGCCACGCACTTCCTTATCAGAATAATTATTAATAACACGAGAGAGCCATTTTTTACATGTAAGACCATCTGTCTTGTAGAAAATATCAGCCAACATCGTTTTGCTTCAAATTTAGCAGTTCCAACTACAATCGAGTGGGCAATGCTTTAGGTTTCCTTAAGACCACAATTTGGACATTCATCCCCCAAAATTTTCACTTTCTTGCGGATTTTGACACCCACAAGTAAGATGTTTTGAGATGTTGTCCATAAAAATGTTTTAAGCTTCCAAGGCATACTCACCTTCCAAAGTTTCTTCCAACAGAAATAATCTTCATTTATTTCATTGTATCCAACAGCCTCCCCTTCTTCTCTTCTTTGCTCGAAAATATACCCAGATTTAACTGTGTATTTCCCGTCTTCACCTTCTTTCCAACACAAAGTATCCTTGTCACTTGTAGAGGATAGAGGAATCGCCAGGATAGTCTGCCTCTCCTTGGAGTAAATATAATTTTCAGCAAGTCTTGTTTCTACGTTCTTGACTCCTGGTCAATTAGATTCGACACTCTTGCATCCCAATCCCTGAACGGGCAATATGAAAAATACCTCAAAATTTTCCAGATTTGGGACCCATTTGTCCCCCCAGATCTTGACAACCTCCACTGAACCAATTCTCCATCTACAACCAGCTTTAAGAAGGTCTTGAGCCCACAACAAACTCCTCCAAATATAGCTCGGACGCCACCCTAATTTAGCTTCCAATATAGAGGTTCTTAGGTGGTATTTTTCTTTAATCAACCTCGCCACAAGAGAGTCAAGCCTGATATGCAGATTCCAGAGTTGTTTTGCCAACATCTCCTTATTGAAGGTCCTTAAATTCCTAAAACCCATTCCACCCTCTTCCTTCTGTTTGCACAACTTTCCCCACTTTTTCCACTGAATTCTTCTTTCGGAACCTTTCTGCCCCCAGTAGTAGTTAGCCATTAGACTATGAAGATCATCAATGATACCTTGCGCTTGGGCGATGCTTTTGATCAGAGTCTCATTTTCTGCATCGCTGAAATACCTACTCTTCCAGTTTGTAAGTTTATTTCTCACCCGTTCCTGTAAGTGCCGGAACACAATTTTTTTTTTACCTCCCCACCACCGTTGGGAGACCTAGGTACTTGGCCAGCTTATCCACTTCTTTAATGCACATTTCTGCACCAAGTTCTCTTCTCTTATCCTCCTTTATGTTGCTGATGTAGTAGATTTCAGACTTGGTAAGGTTCACTCTCTGTCCTAATTCAGATTCGTGTAGTTTAAAGACCTCTTTCAATTTCTTAACTTCACTAATACTCGCCTTATTAACAAGCGCTAATAGACCCTCAAAGCAGAGGAGAAAGAGGTATTTGGGTATGGAATTGGTAATGGGGCTCAACAACAAGCCTTGAGTATGGATTTGGAGGCGGGATCATAAGGAATTTTGGAGAAGGTTGTCGTCGGGTAGGGAAGAGGTGCGATTCGGGTTCCCACGTGTCAGGGTTAAAATAAGTTGATTGGGTGTTTATCTAGACACATCAACAAAAAATTGACGTCGTTACCAGAAATTGACGGAAAGTAACGGAGAGTGACCAAACTTGAAATATGTAACTAATCATTGTGACCACAAATGAAATAAAATATCTTAAACGATTAACCATAAAATATTCTAGGGGTCGTTTGGAAGTTGCAATTGTTAGTGTTGTATTTGTTAAATACATGCATTGTCCACAATACAAAGTTTGGAAGTGTCAAATTGCAAAACAATGCATGTATTGTTTTGTGTGGGTCCCACCAACAATCAACAAAAATGCGGGATTGTACAATCTCAACTAAAAGTTGAGATTGTTGTGATTGTCGGTTTAATAATTGAGCACCTTTACTTTTTCCAATTATGTCCATAGTTCTTTTTGTTTTATATTAAAAGTGGAGGACAAATATGACATTTTCTTATAAAGTAACTTTATAACAATCAATTCATAAATTATAATCTCAACAACCAAACAATGTAATTTCAAAATGTATCTATTGTATCAATGCATGCATTTATATGATAGTGATTCATAACAATACAACGATTTAGCATACGCAAAAGACCCTTTAGTAATTTCAGTGAACAAACTTGGAATTCAACCAATTTCTAATATAAGTTGAACTTCTAAAGAAGAGGGAAAGTGGAGAAGAGCGGCAAACTCCGTGGTTGAATCGAGAAATGGCGCGGAGTGGGGTTTTGGGGCTGATGTAAAAGAGAAGCAACGAAGAAGAAAGCCAAACAGAACGAGAATGTGGTAGACCTAACAACTTATTGAAGAAAACCTCGGCGAAGCTCAGGCTGCGGCTGCCGTCGTTTCAACTTTCTCATAGTTTGGCGACTAGAGTGAATTCGCCGCCTGCTTCGAGGCTCGAGCTGCGTTTCTTCGTCTCCTTTCTTTATCACCGCTTAGTTACCAGGTAGTCTCTCTCTACTTCTGCCGATTATTCATGAATTTGATTCTTTTTATATCATGGGTGTGCGTGAACCAATCGATTTAGTTTCGTTTGTATGCAATTTTATCAAACTCCAGGAGTCTAACCTAATGCGAGAACGACCTACCGATAGGTCGAGTAGGAGACTTGAGCTTATTCAATGGACATGAATGTTGGGTCTTGAGAGAGGCCTGATTTGATTTTTCTTCCGGTATCGTTTCCAGGGGCTTTTATTTTATTTTTATCCAAAATTGTGGCTTGCCTTTAAGTTGCTTGACTCATTTCGGATTTGCATTGGTTGTTCTCCCCGTGTAGTCGTTTCTTAAAGACAAATCGAAAATCTGGCTGATTTGTGCTTGTGAATCGAACTTCTCCTTTGCTGAACATGTTGGTATGGCCGATGCTTCCTTTCGGGTAGTGGTTCGCATCACGACTCTTTGACGGGATGTATTCATGGTTAAGAAAGGAATGATCTCGAGTGCTGAATATGTGAATTTAGATTATAATAGAGTGGCCCTTTTTGTTAGAATCACTAGAAGCATGCTGTTTTTGGAGAAAAAGGTTGTTTGATTCCTGGATTTCTTGTTCAGTATGTGGTCCTAATACTTGCATATCCCAGATGCACGAGATGGTTTGGCAGCCATGTACTTCAGTCAGTGGCATTGAGAGAGAAGGGTTTGGAACCAGACGAAGCTATAGCGCCCTAGCTTTTGATAGATAGGCTTTTTGTTATTGAATGTCAAGACAGATATGAGATATCTCATCTTGATAGTCTTAAGAGGACTTCTGACTCTGGTTAATTCCTCTTTCAACATCTCTTTATATTTGATAGGATAAGTCCTAACATCACTGATATGGAAAAGTTTGTTGATTGTTGATGGCTTTGACGTTGGCCATGGTAATGTAGATACAAGCGCGCTGCATGCTTCTGCAGTACCGAGCTCAATTGTTGGTTCAGTCTTCACCTAGTCATAGGTTATAGCCTGTCACTTGCTCCAAGTTAATTCACTCATTCGACTCCTCATCACTTGCTTCTTGAAAACTATCCTTTCACTAACTCTCCTTTGATCAAAATTTTAATTTCACTTTCTATTGCTTGATGCATTCTGAGATAGAGAGATAGAGAGAGAGAAAAGTGATCGTATCTTGTTGTTCTAGTTCTCATAGATGATTCATTCTTCTGATTTCTCCTGTCTTTGATACCTGCAGCCATGGAACAACCACACTCCATTCTCACAGGAGCTGAAGCTGTGTTGAATATCCAACCAAACTCTTCATTATCTGTCACCTATGACACTCTTTTTGGGTCTTCTCACAATCATATGCTCCTTGAGCTACATGATGAGATGCTCCCTGATCTACTTCACCAGAGGTACTTCGACAACCTTTTGATTACTTTTTGCCATTCTTGCATCTTTTCGTACATTAATGTGTTATTCCTTTTGCAGCATAACATTAAGAGGTGAGCCAAATGAAGATGTTGTTCTATGCACTCTGTCAAAGACCTATGCTGTCAAGTTTGTTGGAACTTCCAACTCTGTATTTCTTATTCCGCCCTCTCGCCATCAATTCACTCAAAACGGGCAGCAATCTGTTGCCTCTGTTATTGAAATTTCACCTGGTAATATGGAGCTCATCGAGACAGCTCCCAGGCTGGACAGGCTCAAAACTCTCCTTGCACAGAATCCTTATAGTTCTATGGAGGCATTGCAGGCAGATGATATGGAGGACGATTCAAAGGAGAGTAAGATGGGATTGTGCACATGGCATGATCTGGTTAACAAGATTCAAGCCAGTGATGATGAATTGAGGAACGGGTTAGAAGCTCTCTCAGCTGTGGAAATCGATGGTTTCTGGAGGATTGTGGATGAAAAATATATGGGTGAAATTCTGACAATGCTATTGCAGAATTCAATTTTAAATGACTGGTCACTTGATAAACTTGATGAAGATGAAGTCGTGACTTCTCTGGTCACCGATGGATTCCCGCATAAGCTTGCCTACCATTGTTTACATGTTTATGGAAGTAAGGTGGATGAGGCTCGAGGAAAAAGCTGTGTGTGGACGCTAGATGAAAGACGAGTGTGTGTGCATTTCGCAAGACAAGTTTTGGGAGTTGGGAAAATGAAATTAGAGCGTTTTATGGAAATGTGGTTAAAGAAAATCCCAGATGGAATGAACGCGAATTTGGAGATGCTGAAAGGTGAAGTCCTGACTGAAAAAGTTGGAATAGAGATGTGGGTTCGAGGTTTCAGTGTTGCTTCCTTGCCTTCAAATCCTGCCGAGCGTTTCTCAGTCCTTTTCAGGGAGCGGCCGAAATGGGAGTCGAAGGATTTACAGCACTACATCAGGTGATGAGAAGTCGATTTAAATTTCTTACGTTCAGTAAGTTTTGGTTTCATGCTTAACGTCAACTCTCATGTATTCCTCAGTCTTTTGATGATTCAGCTGATTACTTCTTTCAGGGACTTGAAAGTACCTGGTCTTTCTTCGGAGGGTTTGCTGCTAAAGTATACCAGGAGAACGCAGCCTACACAAGATGCAGCACCTGTATTTACTGCAAGATAGCGAGACGAAACCACCAGAATCAACCACCATTTGAGTTTCACGATGGCGCACATTACATGTACGGTAACTGATGGCCTTTCAACTCATTTTGTCATGCACAATACCTGCTACATCTGTATGCATTGCACAGTTTGGGTTTTATATGACACCAGAACTAGAACTAGATGATAGAAAGAAGAAACCATGATGGTATTTAGTGTTTAATTAATTATGTGTATCCTCTTACACCACTCACTACGTACACATAAGTAGATCAAAGATTACATAAGAAACGATATTAATATTGGATTTAAGAGATTTTATATCATTACTATTATGTTGCCTTTTCGGTGGTGGTGGTGGTACTGGTGGTTGTGGTGGTGCCTGCAGCAGCGGCAGCATCCACAGGAGTCTGTGTCACAGCCTTTTCCCCGGCTTTGGCGACATGGAGCTGCATTTCTGCTTGTGCCTCCCTCGCCAATCGAACCTCTTTTGCGACCTCCATCCTAGCTTTCGCCACCTCCTGCTCCGCCTGCACAATATATAATTACAGAGATCCTTCATTCTTTTGCGTCAGAAACTGTATGGATTAGCTACAACTGCGTTGGTGGTAGCATACCTTCTCCTCGGCCTTGGCTTCAGCCTTGGCCTTGCGCATGTCCTTCATATCTTGGATCTTCTCCTTGACGGCCTGCATCTTGGCTTACTTGCTAGCTGCTGCTTGTAATTTGTTTCTATTTCTTCTATGGTGTCTCTTTTTCTGATGATGGTCCGCAATCTTGGTTGTTTTGAGTGAAAAACAGGTGAGCAAGCAGGTTTGATCTTTTATAGTGAAAATGAATGATGCTGATGCTTGGGGACATATGGTGGGGGATGAAGCGTTGAACGGGTCATCAAGCTTGATCCTGTTACGTTGCCTTTCTTTTTTTGGTGAATGGCTCATGATAATAATCTAATTAATTTAATACTCTAAAAAAATGTATAATTAATCTAAAGCATGGAGGAAAAGAGCAATGGTTATCAACTTTCCATGTAATCAAATCCCCTATTCCCCTAGTTCTGAATTAATAATTTTCAGCATTAGAGGTAGCCTGTGCCTAGAGCAATTTTGATAAAGTTATTTTTCTTATTTTTTTTTACATATTTTTATATAAATGTCATAGTTTAGCGTTTACTGAGGATTTTTTTGTTGTAAATAAACTTTGAGGTTATTAAGTCTTTTGAATTATATCTTTTTACTTTTTTTTATTTTTTATTTTATTTTCTTACATTTCTACTTCTTTTTATTTTATTTTCTTCATAATTTCCTATCTCCTAATATGTGTTTTTGTTGTTGTTGTTGAAATCAATCGATTTATTTGCATATAGCTTGACATGTTTAGTCATCTTTGTCTTGTTCGAGTTCAAATAGGCTAATTATGGGAAAATCATCTAATTTGGTTAACCTTTCTTAATGATTTTTTTTTGTTCTATTGAACTCGATCTCTTTGTTCGTATTTGTTTTAGCATTTGTACTCATCTCTTTATCGTTCTCATTAAAATGATGAAAGTGGCATTGGAGTCGGAACCAACATAACCAGATGCTACATTCTTCCATCTTTTTTCTCTTTGTTCTTTCTTTCAAACGTAGAAATTTTGTAAATTCTCAAATTAAAGTTGTCTAAGTTTCAAATATATAGATTGTCATTTTTAATTCATAACTTCATTGGTCAACGTGACAAATTACTACGAACTTCTCTCACAACAACTTAGTAATTCTTAATGTTCTTGAAATTATATCGTATTAGTTAAATTTTACTAATTCTTCCATACGACACATTTACAATGCTTTCTTTCACTCGTTGCGAAACGTAAGCGAGCAGGCATATCTAGTATGAATATAAATGTTAGAAAGCAAATAACCTTGTAACTCTCTCTTAATTTAAGAAAAAAAATAAAGGAAGACAAGTCTAGATTAGACAGAGCTATTTTCACACAAAGCTTAATCCAATTCGAGAATTAATTAGGAAAGCCCATATGTAATGTGATAAAAAAATATATAATTCCAATTAACATAGTCAAAATATTTGTTAGATCCACCTTAATAACACAATTAGAAGACATAAGGCTGATAAACGATTATCCTGATCACGGTGTAACCGATAACCGAATTGGAATTGGTGCTTAACGATTACACCGATAACCGATTAAATAGTAAATGGTCGGTTCTTGGTAGTCAAATTTAGCCAATAACTAACCGATGGTTAAACGGTTAATCGACTAACCAATTACGACCATCCTCATAGTTATAGCAAAAAATAATAGACCTCCATGAGCGTCAAACACAGGCAGAAAATAATGGGTTGCTTGAAAGCTTACAAGACCCCTTGCCAATCCTAGTTGTAATAGTGACTTAGACTCAAGTGAGAATAATTCAAAGGAAAAGTTTTAGAATGAGCAAAGACACAGTAGAAAGTTAGACTTGCATACAGATACAGTTGCTCAACAACAATCAGTAACATTAAACTTTCATGTAATTGGGTGGGGTTTACGAGTTGAGTAATTGTTGTTGGGCCTCTTACGATTGTATGGTTCTTTAATAAAGGTTGACAGTAATGTATAATGATATTGTTGTGTACTTGTGTTGATTATGTATTGATATAAATCTATGTTAAATTATGTTTTATTCAATGATAACAACTTAAGAAAATAGCACATGCGTATGTATGAAAAATTATAGAAAATTTCATAATTGAAAAAAGAGATCTTTTGTTGGTTAAGTTATCGATAAGTTATTTCGGTATAACCTTGCTAAATTACTTGATTAACGACTATCTGGTTAACCGACAAAATAATCAAAAACCGACTATACAATTAGGATTAACCGAGTAATTTAAACGGTACGACTAACAATAAGCACAAAGTGCTTAACAGTTAACCGAGAACCGACTAAATAATGGGTTCGATTATAACCGAACCGAATATCAGCCCACATAACTCCACTTACAAACTCTTGTGCGAGGAAGATATTATCCACAATATGTATTTCCTTTATAGAAGCATATTGGCTCGCACTAATTACTGTAGGTAAAACCTGGATTAGCCTCCAAAGAACAAACTCCTGACACGCCAGACCATTTTTTTTGGTTGGTTGTCCATTTTTAGAGATTTATTTGTGAAGTTATTTTGCCAATGCATTGCTCATTTCCCAGGAAGCTGTTGGAATATTCAAGTTGGCTAGACAATCAAGCAAGGTGAAAATTGAAGCATAGTGCTTACAACTTTCAGTTGAGGAGGATCTAGCCTGTTTCTTGTCTTAGTTGCAACTCTATTTGTTCTAGCTCTGGTTCCATTTGGCGTTGTAATCTTTCTTTGCTTGTTTCTTCGTATAAATCAATGGCTCCTTGACTCTATGGGATCGTTTGGATGTGGAAATTTTAAAACGTTGGAATTTGTCTGAATTTCTATGTTTTACAAAACCAAGGAATTGACTTGTGGAAATTGGAAAAAAAAAAACGTTTGGATAGGGTTTAGTTTTTTGGGAATTGATGGTGTGGAATTTGGAAAAAAGAAGTAAGAAAACGTGGTAATGTCAAATTACTAGAGGGAGGTGTAGCATTTTCAATTACCATGAATGTGGTAATTGAAGCCAATTTCCATGGTCCAATTCTCATATCATTTTTGCTCTACCAAACGTGGGTTTTTAACTCAATTACTGCATTATATGATAATTGGGTCCAATTACTGCATTACATTTTCACGTCCAAACGACTCCTATAATTTGATATTTTCTTTGTTGTCCTCTCTTAGCTCGAAAAATGTTTGGCTGCGTAATTAGTGTTAATCTTTTTCTCCCGAGAAAACTAATTTCTGTTTTGCGTATTGGCGGGAAAATGTCTTTCCGTTTCCCCAATTCCCACCCATTTCCATTTTGGTAAAATTAATTTATCCTTTTTCATTTCACCCAAATTCCCAAGACAAAGAGGGAACTCGAAATCCCCAATTAACACGACGTCACTGAACCCTTTAACCATCTTCACCACCGCTCTTCCAGCTCCAAAAACGTATACAGAAAACCCTAACCCATCGGCGGAATCCGTATCCACTGACCGGCGCAGTGGCCAACAACAAATCCAGCCCCGCCGTCTGCGAAATTTGAAGTGAAAGACAAGTGCAAAGGGGCCAATGGGGAAGGACGACGACGAAATGAGGGGAGAGATCGAGGAAAGGCTGATTAACGAAGAGTACAAGATTTGGAAGAAGAACACTCCTTTCCTCTACGACCTAGTCATCACCCACGCCCTCGAGTGGCCGTCGCTCACCGTGGAGTGGTTGCCGGACCGCGATGAGCCGCCGGGGAAGGACTACTCCGTCCAGAAGATGATCCTTGGCACCCACACCTCGGAGAACGAGCCTAACTATCTCATGCTCGCTCAAGTTCAGCTTCCTTTGGACGACGCCGAGAATGACGCCCGCCACTACGACGACGACCGCTCCGACGCCGGCGGATTTGGAGCTGCCAACGGCAAGGTACCATTCTTTCAATTTCTGGGCTATGCTTCCTTTGACTATTTTCCTTTTTGGGGTTTCCCCTCTCTTATTGTTTGTTTTCCGGCTTTCAGGTTCAAATCATTCAGCAGATTAATCACGACGGAGAGGTTAACAGGGCTCGTTACATGCCTCAAAACCCTTTCATAATTGCCACCAAGACCGTCAGCGCCGAGGTCTATGTGTTTGACTACAGCAAGCACCCTTCTAAACCTCCTCTGGATGGGGCTTGCAGTCCTGATTTGAGGTTGAGAGGCCACAACACTGAAGGGTATGGTCTCTCCTGGAGTAAGTTCAAGGAAGGGCATTTGCTCAGTGGGTCGGATGATGCCCAGATTTGCTTGTGGGACATCAATGGTACTCCTAAAAACAAGTCTCTTGATGCCACCCAGATTTTCAAGGTCTTCATTCTTTGCTTAGTGTTTGTTTTCACCTTCAATGTAGTCACTGTACGAAATATCAGGGCGAGTGAATTGTTGAATGCCCCACTTATTGAAACCTCCCTATATGTCCTGGAATGTCTGAATGTGCAGTCTTTTCCCTTTTCAACTTCCTTTAAACATTCATTCAGCTCTGCTCATTTGAATAGGTACATGAAGGTGTTGTGGAAGATGTGGCCTGGCATCTGAGGCATGAATACTTATTTGGTTCTGTGGGGGATGATCAATACTTGCTTATATGGGATCTTCGAAGTCCAGCAGCAACCAAGCCTGTCCAATCCGTTGTTGCTCATCAAAGTGAGGTAATGGCCTGATTCCAGAATTGACTTATTAATCTCCGTGAAAGGGTGTGTGCACACTGCTTGAGAGTTTTGGCACTTCATGAAGTTCCTTGCTCAAAGTTGGCATTTTTAGGAAGGTTGATGATAAATAGATAATTCTCATTTTGCCTTTGTTTATTGCTTCATATTATGGGTATATGTTTAGCATAATATTTGAATTGAGATGTTTGTTTTTGTGACTTCCTGCTAGGTTAACTGCTTGGCTTTCAATCCTTTCAATGAATGGGTTGTGGCGACTGGTTCCACTGATAAGATGGTCAAATTGTTTGACTTGCGCAAGATCAACACTGCACTTTACACATTTGATTGTCACAAGTATGTTCCTCTCAACTTTATTGCATTTCTTATGTGAATGCTGTGGTTTACATAGATTGAAGCTGTAAATATGCTACATATGCGTTTAGGTTTCATCTTGTCGCATTCTTATATACTGGTTATGCTTTGACAGGGAAGAGGTTTTCCAAGTAGGATGGAATCCTAAGAATGAGACAATCTTGGCTTCTTGTTGCCTTGGAAGGAGGCTCATGGTTTGGGATCTTAGCAGGTTGGTTCATTCGCTTTAGTCACCCCGTGAATTGTTTTTTTTCTTTTTTCTTTCAGTTTTTGTTTTTATGGTTGAAAAGCTTATATATTTCTATGACTAACATCAAGTTTGGGTAACTCTCCTACTTCTAGATACAAAAAGAGGATGAATAATATAAAGATCTTCTGATTTGAAATTATAAGTGGATTTTTAAGAAATATACCAGGACAACCATTTATGTTTTTCCTATTCACATGGGATCTGCACTTGAAATTCTCTTGTATCTAACTTATCAAGCAAACAATAATTTACTTCACACTTGGGTAGTTTTAAAGCATTATGCTCAATGTGATTTCTTGAGAACAGAGACTTTTGGTTAAATTTCTTACTTTTAAATATGAAAATCGCAATCGAAAGATCTTGAAGTAGATACTTAACTGTATGGATTCATGAAACATGCTCCTATCCTTTTGGATTGAATGCAATTACCTGAAAGTACCAATGTTGCTTTAAGATTTCACACTGTGTTGGGAACATGTAGAAAAAGAATTGTATTTGAGAACAAACGTACAACTGTACAATTAAAACCGGGGCTGCTGCAATGATTATCATACTTCCCACGTGATTAATGAAAAGCAAGAGAACCTGATCCTTCTGATCACATGGTCACATCTTTTTAGTGCTGAAATGCTTTGAAGTTGCATTAATCTCACATGAGGTATGTGGGCAGCTCTTAAAAAAGAACCAGCAGAAAAGGTCACCTGATAGCATTTGAAACAAGATCAGCATGCCAACCTTTTTTTTTACTGCATCACAATGGTTGCATGCATGTTGCTTATTGTTAGAACAGAAGTTGGGTTTTTGTTTCATTAGTTACATTTGCATCAACCAATAGCTCGGAAATCAGCAAGGCTGAAGCTTTGTCCATACATTTTGGTCTCAAGCATGAGCTCTTTCCTTCCTTGTACCTTTTGATGAATGCAAGAGACTGTAGGATCTCAAACCTTGAGATGCCAGGACTTATGGAACATATTACGACCTGTCTTTATCCCAAAACCCAAATTCACTTTCTTTCCTTTTGTTATGTAGTGGTTCTACCATTACGTGCTTATACGATGATGTTTGACGTCGCATGTGTGTCGTTGCAGGATTGATGAGGAGCAGACACCCGAAGATGCTGAAGATGGTCCGCCGGAGTTGCTCTTCATCCACGGTGGCCACACCAGTAAGATATCAGATTTCTCCTGGAATCCTTGTGAAGACTGGGTTGTGGCAAGCGTCGCCGAAGATAACATCCTTCAGATATGGCAAATGGCAGAGAACATCTACCATGATGAAGATGATCTACCTGTTGATGATCCGACCAAAGGTTCTTAACCTGTATCATTTATGAAGCAAAATTATAGGGCGTGAATTTATTAATTTTAGTTCTTGACAAGCATCTCCTAGTATATTACATTAGACCTTCTGTGACCTGCTCATGGTAATTTTTGTTTGTAATACACAGTTGCTCAACTTTCGTCTTTAATTATAGAGCTTGAAGCGGGTATGTAAATTCATGTTTTGCCTCTGAGATTCTATCATTCTGAAAAGGAAAATTTGGAAATTTTTTATGGGCGAGTGGCTAAATAATTTTCATTTTATTTTGGACCTGGGACCCAATGAATTTAGATAAAGCCTGCTTGAAATCATTCGTTTGGACGAATCCACATGAAAATTTGTTGGAAAGACAATTGTAAGTGTTATTATTTGATTCTTTCCCGATTTTAGATGATGAATTTGATGAAATTACATCTTACGTTTAAGGGGTCGTTTGCTTCAAGGATTGTAAAATGAGGGTTTTTACTTAAATGTGGGATTTAAAAACCTAAGGTTTTATTTGGGATTTGGGGCATTATGGATTTGAAAAACTCCTTTGTTTGTTTCCTCATTTTGATCATGGATTTAATGGTTTGAGATTTAGAAATAAAAATCTACATTTACCTTATTGCCCTTTTTCAACGAACCAATCCCTGCATTAACTACTAAAATCCAGGAACAAACCAATATAATGCCATAATCATGCATAAAGTATACTGATTCGATCATGATCATTGCTCTGTTATTAACAGACAAAAGCCCATACCTAAGGTGTCATATAATGGAACACAGTAAAGTCCAAGAACAAAAGGCATATAGGCAAACCACACTCATGGCTGCAAATCGGACAATGGAGTACATACTGTTAATGACATGAACACATTTGTAGAAAGATCCATGATATAAGTAGCTTTCTTAACTTAAAGTGGCTTTCACAATTGTTTCCTACATGGATATCTACAACGAAGAAATCAATGATCATTTTGCTGTAGAGAACCAAAAATTGCCAATTGGTTTGGTTGCTTCTTCACAAAAGATTCTTGCATTTCAATTGCTCGCCCTTGGAAAAGTACTGCTCATAACAATCATTATTTGTAGAGAGAGGCATATTTGTTGTTTGTCTCAGAGAAGAAATTGTGAGCAGTTAATTGTATGTATATGATTCCTATGATTTGCAAAAGCTCATCAAAGAAAATGGACTCAACGCAAAGAAGGGAGTGTCCTGCTTACCTGGGTTTTGGGTTCAGCGTCGGAGATTGATGCCGGCTGCACGCGGACTCAACGTCGGCCGAAGAATTCCTTTGTTGGTGGGGGCTGCAATTTTCCAGGAAAGGAACCGAAGAACTCTTCGCAGCTTCCTTGGTTTGGTGTGTAAAGAATGAGAATGGGAAGTAGAAGCGACAGATATGGTGGGGATAAAGAGGGCAATTTTGGTTTAATGAAAAAGAATGAGGATAGGAGTGTCAGTTGGCCTCTCGGTTTTTCAGCACATCACCAATTCCCTAATAATCATGTGGGATTTGTAAAGCTGTGGGCCCCACGGATTTGGAGGAAAAAAAAAACCTAAATCTGTGGGGCCCACGGATTTGTTTCAACATTTTTTAACCAAGCAAACAAAGGATTGTATGTAAATCCTTGATAGATAGTTTTTTAGTACCAAATCCATGATGCAAATCCTTGAAGCAAACGACCCCTAAACTTGATTTGAATGATTGCAAACTACATACTTTTGAAAAGAGGTAAAAAACAACTTACAATAATTATACTAGTACAAAATATTGTTTTTCGGAATCCCACTTTGATGAATTTTTGGCTACGTCAATGTAAGCCTAGTATTTTTAATAAGCTGGAAAAAATACTATTTTTATACTTTCATTTCCAGTTGGTAGTAAAATCAATATTAACTATACAAGCATATGGACGGAAAGTTACGATAAATGTACTCTTATTTACACAAAAGTATAGTAGTGAATAATACTTCTCGTCTTAATGTGAAGGTATAACATCGGAAAAAATCCCAAGTTACACATGTTTTTAAAAAAAATTCTCAAAATACACATGTTATGAAAATAATTCCCAATCTACGCATGTTTGGGCCTTCACCGCGTCAGAGAAGGGCAGTGATTGCTTCACCGCGTGAGAGCAAAACGGTGATTGCTGCATCGCATCAGTCCAAGGCGATGATTGTATCACCGCTGTAGAGGAAGGCGGTGATGCAATCACCGCAGTAGAGAAAGGCGGTGGAAGCACTGACCTGCGTCAAAACTTTAAAAAAACGTAACTTTGTGCTCGGTTATCCGATCGTAGCGAAATTTTTTTTGATTCCGCATAATTTTTCGAGATCTTGCAAGCCGCAAACAGCCGGAGGCGGTTTGGTCCCGCCTTCGTCTCGAAAAAATGTCGTTTGCTACCCCGAACGAGCCTTTTTTCGATTTCGTCAAACTTTGAACGACCATAACTTTTGTGCTCCACAATCCGAAAATCATGAATTTTTTTTGATTTCGCATAACTTTTTAAGGACTACAATTTTTATCATAGACATAATTTCGGAATGTACTTGGATTCCTGAAAAGGGAAGGTAAAGTTATTCCCAAAACCCCTCATATCCATAAATAATTCATTTTTTGAAAATTCTCTCCTACTAAAAATTGTAGTCCTTAAAAAGTTATGCGGAATCAAAAAAAAATTCATGATTTTCGGATTGTAGAGCACAAAGTTATGGTCGTTCAAAGTTTGACGAAATCGAAAAAAGGCTCGTTCGGGGTAGCAAACGACATTTTTTCGAGACGAAGGCGGGACCAAACCGCCTCCGGCGTTTGCGGCTTGCAAGAACTCGAAAAATTATGCGGAATCAAAAAAAAGTTTGCTACGATCGGATAACCGAGCACAAAGTTACGTTTGTTTAAAGTTTCGACGCAGGTCAGACCTTCACCGCGGCCGTTTACTGCGGTGATGCAATCACCGTCTTCGTCGACAGCGGTGATGCAATCACCGCCTTCCTCTGCCGCGGTGATGCAATCACCGCCCTTCTCTGCCGCGGTGAATACCCAAACATGCGTAGATTGGGAATTATTTTCATAACGTGTGTATTTTGAGAATTTTTTTTAAAAACATGTGTAACTTGGGATTTTTCCCGTAAAACACCTATCTTCATTTAAAAGTGTTTAGATTTTTCGATGTTCTAATAAAAAGTAGCACCAGATATTGTCCAGAAGAAGAAGAAGAAGAAGGCTTCGGGAATTCAGAAGCAGAACGAACGAATTTTCCCCCAACTGGAGAAAAAATGGCGGAATTCCTGGAGCTGGAGACTCAGGACGGCGTAAGGATGCCGTGGAATGTGCTTCCGGGGACGAAACAGGAGGCGGCCAACTGCGTCGTTCCGATCGCCGCAATATACACTCCGATCAAGCCCTTCCCCAACATGCCGGTCCTGCCCTACGCTCCTCTCCGCTGCCGCACCTGCCGCTCCGTGCTCAACCCTTTCGCAATCGTCGATTTCGCGGCCAAGATCTGGATCTGCCCCTTCTGTTTCCAGCGCAATCACTTCCCCCCGCAGTACGATTCAATCAGCGAAGAGCATCTCCCCGCCGAGCTCTTCCCGCAGTACACATCGATCGAGTATGAATCTCCGGGAGAAAACCCTTCTTCTTGTTCTTCCCCCGTCTACATGTTCGTGGTGGACACATGTATTATTGAGGAAGAGATGGCTTTCTTGAGGTCGGCCTTGTCGCAGGCGATCGACCTTTTGCCGGACAATTCCCTCGTCGGGCTGATCACTTTCGGGACGTTGGTTCACGTTCACGAGTTGGGGTTCGGTCAGCTTGCCAAGACTTACGTCTTCAAGGGCTCCAAAGATGTGTCCAAGGAACAGCTGCTCGAGCAAATGAGCTTTTTCCTCAAGAAGCCCAAACCTGCCACTGGTGTCATTGCCGGTGCCAGAGACGGGCTCTCTACCGAGAGCATTTCGCGCTTTCTTCTGCCCGCTTCCGATTGTGGATTCGCTCTGAATTCGGTAAATGCCCAATCATGATCCTTCTTTGTCCTTCTTTCTGGCAATGGCGAATTCTTAATTGTCTTCATTTCCCCTTTTCGTTGTTTCAACGCACCACACAAAAAGGTTCTAGAGGAGCTGCAGAATGATCCCTGGCAAGTACCAACTGATCAGAGGGCTACCAGATGCACCAGCACTGCTCTGAGTGTAGCTGCTTGTTTGTTGGGAGCTTGTGTTCCAGGTTCTGGAGCTAGAATTATGGCCTTCGTGGGTGGTCCATCTACAGAGGGTCCTGGTGCTGTAAGCCATTCCCTAATCCTTCTCTGATCCCCAAATTGTCATCTTCTCATCGAATTGCCGATCAAATTACTCATCAAACTCATTCTTGCATTGCATAACCTATTAAAAGACTTGCTTGCTAATTGTAACTCTTCTTCAGTTTGTAGTTCACCTTAGGCTTTCTCATTCGGTGCTTTAGCCTGATTTTTTTGGGTGATAATTCATCCTCTTGTCTTTATGTTTTCTAGATTGTATCAAAGAATCTTTCTGAACCAATTCGTTCGCACAAAGACTTGGATAAAGATTCTGCACCATATTATAACAAAGCTGTCAGATTCTACGAGGGACTTGCAAAGCAACTTGTTCATCAAGGCCACATATTGGATCTCTTTGCTTGTGCCCTTGATCAGGTACTATTTTTGACTTGTTCACCATGGTCATTAGCAAATTCCAATGTCAATCTTCTAGTTTTCTGTAGTCGTAGTTTGCTATCAGATGGTCGGGTGGCATTGAGTTTGTATATTTTTCGTTTTAGTTTGTCTATGATTGTATATTCTATACCAGTGTTGAAATATATTCCACTATTAGCCCGGATCTTATGTGATGTCCTCAGCATCCCAGTATTCTGAAACTATGATGGAGTAGTTATATTTTGGACACTGCAAATAATTTTCAGTCGCAATGCAGTGGTGGAAATCCTGTTACTGTGCCATTATGTGTTCTTAGTCTTATTTTTCCAATCAAAGTCCCATCTGATGGAGGAGGCAACTTTCACCTTTTCTATTGCTGTGCTAAAAATTCAATATTTTCTCCCCCCTGAAACTTCATCTTGGGCGTTTAACTCCAATGGATTGGTCTAGTAGTAAATGGTGGATGTAAACGTCTGGTCCACCTTGGTTCGAACTTACGCGCAACTTTCAACTTCAGAAAAATTACTTGATAGTAATGACATACTAAATAACTCAATAGGTCAAGAGTTACTCCTAACTTAATTTGGGTTTTTATTTTATTTGTCTTTCAATCTTGTTAGGTGGGAGTTGCTGAGCTCAAAGTTGCTGTTGAAAGAACTGGTGGCCTAGTCGTGCTTGCAGAAAGCTTTGGCCATTCAGTATTCAAGGAGTCACTTAGACGTGTTTTCCAATCAGGCGACTATGACCTTGGGCTATCATCAAAGTAAGAATGCTTGTTCTTTCTCACTGATTGAAGTGTAATGTGTCTTTGGATTTGTTTTGCTGTGATTCTACTTGCAACCTGTAGGATTGAAGAAGATGTGCTTCCTTAGTTTCCTAGGTTTTATTCGGTATGCTCCATGTACTTGTTTACTCCTTTTTCCGTATGTGATTTGTTAAACTAGTTTGATATGAAGCTTAATCAAGCACCGCAAAGAAACATTTTATACTCTGGATACTATAATTACTCATTGTTTTTGGATGGTTATAATGAGGCAACTACTTAGCTTAATTTTCCTGAAAATGGCCCGGATAAACTGGTTCCAAATCCAAATATTCTGTACTTCCGCACTTAACTGTCTGTTCATATTCTCAGATGATACAAATGAAAGGAACATGGCTTGCTTTATTACGTCAATGAAATATATTTTGAAGATTTGTTCATTTAGATGAGTATCTCCAATTTGTAACTTTCTAAGAGTGAAAATATCAAACTTGTTATGATACTGAACTTTTAAGCTTATCCAGAGACGAGAGGAGTTTAGTCTATGAAGTAAAGTATCTTAGCAAGTATAACTTTGGTCTTATTGTCTATGGTGAAATTAGGGAGCACCCTTCACTTTTTACCTATTTTGTGAAAATTAAAAATGTCAGTCCAGTAAAGATCTCAGGATAATGCACTTAAGTCAATCAAGATGAATAGCTTCGTGGCTGAATATGCATGAAACATCTATGGCTGTGAGTGCAGCTACCTGTGCCTGATTGTAGAGCGGGTAGGGTAATCTAGTAGATGTGACATCTGAACATGGAATGGGAGTGTGCATGGTATGTCCACGGCTCCACGCCAATAAGATGGCAGACGGTATCTTGTATCAGTCCCCTCTAAGAGGCTGTAATTTGTAGCATGACATTCTGCTTGAGTTATTTTTTCTCTTTCTTTTGTGTTTGGCGAATTCCGCAAGAGGTTTGCTTTTTCCAGAAACTTTTTATGCCTTGCCTTGTGCATAGAAATATATTTTTCCAATGGAACTTTCTTCACCTTGAACCTGTGATATAGTTTATCACTTTTTGCGTTTGGTGGTAAACTATTATCATATAGTTTCATTTTATTGGCCTTGAAAGTACACAAGAACTACCCCATTCTCATGCTGTTTTTTTTACCTCTATACAGTCTGATAATTTTTTTATCCTTCTGACGATAATGTATTTTAGGCTGTTGAAGTTGAATGTAATATAACTTTTTCTTTCATTTTAATTCTTATATGTAGTGGGATCTTTGAGATAAACTGCTCAAAGGATATCAAAGTTCAAGGTATAATTGGCCCGTGTGCATCTCTTGGAAAGGTACATATAATGGTATATGGATGTATTCTTTTTCTTTCCTTATCATCGGTTTGATTAAGTTTACTTTTAATTTGCTTTTTGCAGAAAGGGCAGTTATCCTCTGACACTGTCATTGGGCAGGGAAATACCAGCGCATGGAAGATGTGTGGCATGGACAAATCTACAACTTTGTGTCTGATATTTGACATTGTTAAGAAAGAGACCCCAGAGCTTGCAGTTCAACCTTCAAGCAATCAGTTTTATTTTCAGTTCTTGACTTAGTATGACCTCTAAGACTTTGCTTTCTTGAGAGATTGACATACCTAGATGTCCAGGTGTAATGATCCTTGCTTACAATTGTCTTGTGCCACAGTTACCAACATGCAAATGGTCAAATGAGAGTTCGTGCGACGACCCTCTCAAGGAGATGGGTTACTGGACCTGGGACTATACAGGTAACTGCTGTTCCGCTCTTAAAAGTTCATGCCGAGTCTCTCTCAATTATTTTTCTTTGAGGAGTATATTCAAACAGAGTTTTCTTCCCCCGTAGAGACAAGAGTATTCCATTGCTTATCCTCTTTTCTATGATGACAGTTCAAACTTGGAATCTGCTTATAAGAAAGCTCTAGTTTGTTGCAATCGTAGAAGATGCAGCATATGCAGCTGATGTCTGCCTGGATTAGAATTTAATTCTTCATCCTTCTAATATGGTTAAAGTGAAGATTTTCAGGTTGAACCAGATGCAACTCCATAGCTGAAAGAATTGACCCTGTGGATTAGATTGCATGTATGTCCATAAATTTCTCGCGTATTCTCAAATAGGATGATGAAACTTATTGGGGGCAATGAAGTTACTTGAACTTTTTCTCATTTCAATCAAAATAATTAATCTAATAAGCCGTGAATCAAGCCGGAAAAGCAATACTGAGAGCTTATTGCTATAGGTAGTCTAGTTGATGTCTTATTGAGTTGTATGAAAGTAATTCTGAACCTTTGCACTTGCTATCTCAATGAACTCTCTGAAAATGGATTGGTTGTTACTTGTTACAAAATTGATGTCGGTCTTTGGGATGGGTATTAATATTGCAGGCAGTATGACTAGTATTTGGCACGAAAATAATATTGGTATGATTTTGGAGATCTTCTAATCTGAAGTCCCTTGTGATATTTTTGCTGCTTTGTTGTGGTACAGTGCATGTGAGTACTAAAACATTTATGTCCTTGTTTTGCAATTATTAGTTGATGTTGGTCGAAATCTATCCTGTTGCTGCATTGCTTAAGCTGTAGTAGTTTTGGACACAATCTGCTAAAACTAAGTTCCCTCCAGTACAGTGGAGTCGCAGAGGCATAGTTCCACCTGAAGTCAAACATCTTGTAGGGATATGCATTTTGGGCAGGGTACACATACTTTTTGGGGTCATCTCATAGTCTCTATAAGGTATAATTGTTCAGGGTATCCAGGGTTCTTATGTAGAGGTAGCCTTTGACTTCTGTCAAGTCTCCCCTATGATTTTAATCTCGAAGCATGTTGGATTGACCAGTTACAACAATACGTATTCTAATATTTCCTCTGCAGGGCTTGATTTTGAAAATCCAAATTAGGTTAGGGAGGTAGATATCTACCAGAAAAACACATGTTTGGATTAGGTTGGGCTAAACATGGTGCTTGTAGGATAAAGATGATGAATGGCTCTGCAAACGCATTTCACTCCTGAAGTTCTAGATTATCATGTGTGAATGGTGAACAACACTCTTCTTCAAGTCTTCATACTTCTCACTAGTTTGAAATGCTTAGGACTTGATTGCTGGTTTCGACCAAGAAGCAGCAGCTGTGGCCATGGCTCGTTTGGTCTCGTTCAAAATGGAAGTGGAGGTAACTACTGATTCTGATTGAATGTTCTTCCTTAACCTCTTTTTGTTTTCTATTCTTTTGACTATGTGGCATTTTATGATTGTCTCTCCTGAAAATCGTGCTACGAGTTGTATATGTATATGATTGGCAGCCCTCTACTAATGCTTAAAATTCTCTCTTTATCGTTACAAGAATTCCATTTCTGTTCAAGATATTGGGTGAGACTGTAAGTGGCATATATTTGGAATGACTCTTCCTTTATTGTTAGGCTTGGGACTAGGATTAGTCAATGAAATGAAATATTGTGTAGTTATTATATTAGACTATTATCCATTGAACTCATAAGCTCCTTTGCAGCAGTTTTGAGGAATAAAGGTGATGTATTAGTTTGGAAGCCTCATAGTCCTCAGTGAACTTGTAGCTTCCATTCGATTTCATAATAGTCTGTTTAGTTCTCGTATGAATTTAGAAACTATAATTTAAGAGTTGATTTCAAATCCATCGTTTCCTACCAATATAGATTAAGAAGTGAACTATCTACAGTTTTGATTATATTCGTGCTTCAATTGGCTATGATGCTTTCTCTAAATCTGTACTCATAATACTGGTTGCAGGCTGAGTTTGATCCAATAAGATGGCTGGATAAGGCTTTAATTCATCTTTGTTCTCAGTTTGGAGAATATCAGAAGGATAGTCCATCTTCGTTCAGTCTATCTCCACGGCTCTCAATATTTCCCCAGTTTATGTTCCATTTACGGCGTTCTCAGTTTGTCCAGGTAGCAATTCTGTATCTACTTGTTGCATGCATCATCGAAAGATGATTAATTTTGGAGAGTTGAATCTTATAAAAAAAAAGTTTGGAGAGTTGAAATGAAAACCCTGTTTATGACCTGATTTCAATGATCTGCAGGTCTTTAACAATAGTCCTGACGAGACTGCATACTTTCGGATGATATTGAATAGAGAGAATGTAGCCAATTCAATTGTGATGATTCAGCCTTCATTAATCTCATACTCATTTCATTCGGCACCCGAACCTGCTCTTTTGGACGTGGCGGCTATTTCAGCTGATAGGATTCTTCTATTGGACTCTTACTTTACTGTTGTTGTTTTCCATGGTGCAAATATTGCTCAGTGGCGAAAAGCAGGGTACCATAGTCAACAAGAGCATCAGGTACTCTATCTTTATGAAGAGGGCATCCCCTTTTATGAACTTCCATTTAAAATTGAAGCTTCTACGGTGCCAGTTGGATTTTTTTTTCCAGTTGAATCAATTAACAAACTGCTCAGCCAAATTCATCTTCCAAATACCTTTAGAATCTATTTTATTTAAGTTGATGTATACCCCAACCTTTTATTTTCCATACTTCCAGTTCGACCCTTTCTTTCCAAAACTCGAAAATCTTGTAGCACTCTTGTTGGTCATTTGCTCACATAAATTACAAGATGTGCTTTTTTGATCAGCAACCTTAATGCTTCTATAATATTTTTGAATTGTACGTGAAGCATTTTATTGGACTCCATATTATCTTTACTGTTATGTGCTGTAATAATGCTGCTTCCAGCATCTGATTTCTGTCAACTACATTCTCTGCAGGCGTTTGCCCAGTTGCTACGAGCTCCTTCCGATGATGCAGATAGCATTGTAAAGGAAAGGTTTCCGGTTCCTCGTTTAGTTGTTTGTGATCAGCACGGTTCACAGGTTCGTGTCTCCAACCGACTCTGAAACAATGGCGTTTCCTTTCTTGCTGTTGAGATGTACTTGACAAGCTTTCCTTTCCTTTCATGGCTCAGGCACGGTTCCTTCTGGCTAAGCTGAATCCATCTGCCACGTATAATACGGATGCACCTCTGCCCGGCGGAGACATCTTATTTACAGATGATGTGAGCTTCGAGGTCTTCCTGGATCATCTTCAGAGACTAACAGTGCAATGAGAACTAGATGGTGGAATCCAATTTTGTAGCTTTTCCTAGCAATTCATATTCTTTTTTTTCTTGTACAGAGGTGTAGCTTTTAAGCGCTTCTTATAATCATTCCTCGTGGTTTGAAGTTCTAGCTTTTTTGCCAACTGAAATGTTAGAACATTGATAGCACATAAGGAAAACAAAGAAAGAGTGAAACGGGTCAAGTACTCAAGTTTCTCTCGTAGTCTCGTATGCAGTGGCGGACCCAGGATTTATGTTGCTTAAGCTGAACTTATAGGGATCTTTAACGATTTGTGTCTGCCGCGATTTAGGATGGTGTGGTTGTAGACTTGTAGTGTATGATGTTTTTAGGTAGTTTTTTTTTTAACGATTCTCATATGAAACACACTTGGGATGTATTCTGGAGTGAAGATGATGACCATAATGGAGGAAAACCTGAAGGCTAGAAGTAGAAAACCCAACAGCAGCCCTAGCAGTAGAACCCTCTGAATCACCCAAATTTGCACAGAAGGCCAAGGAGAAAAAGATGAGCATGTGGACAAAGTTTCAGTCCAAATAGTCAAATAAGGAGGGGGGAAAAAACACCAGTCTAGCGTATTGGTCACACTGTTGCTGTTTTGGAGGCTTCTGTTGTGACTTGCACGCCAAGAAATCACTTGTACCGCATAAGATGTATTATTATTGCCATTGGCTAATAGATTAGAGTATTATTGTTGTCAATGTATGTTTCACAAGACCACATGCATGCGAGTCGTTCTAGGTAAGACTAACATAAACAACGTTCTTTACTTCATGGTTTCCTACACCGTTTACTTGTTGTTCTCTTTACTGCTTTTACTTTCTGCACTTTATTTTACTGCTAGTACCTGTAATTTGCTTGATTTTTTGTTAGCTTGGAAGAAACGACACTAGCACTTACATAAAAGAACCCTTGTAACGACATTTTCGGGCACGGCGTTTTTGAAATGAGAAAGCTAAATAGTTGTGCCGTCATTTGTCTGGATTGTCGATAAAAGATATTTTACAAAAAGATTAGTGTATGACGTCATTAATAAAGAAAAAGTCATAATACATATATTTTGTAACGACATTTACAAAACAAAATGTTGAAATAACCGTGTTTTATAGCAACGTATATTGTGATAATTTTGATAAATGTCAATTATTCTTACAAACTGGAGTGTCGAATCGAAAAAAACTCGTTCGACACTCGACTCGTTGTTTAACAAGCCGGCTCGCGAGCCGGCTCATTAGTAAACGAGCCAAGCTTGAGCTAGGCCATGCTCGGCTTGATAAGCTCGTGAGCTAGCTTGACTCGGTGGCTTGTTGAGTTAAGCTCGCGAGCTGGCTTATTTAAAGCTAGTGGAAGGATTAATTACTCTTCTGAACATGAAAATTATCTTGTTAATAAGGATGTGTATGAAAGTTAGATGTTATTTTTAGTTTCTAGTCTTCTTTTTATCATTTTTAATTTCTAATGTTCTTATTTGTACACATTTTTCAGCAAGAATGGTTTCAAATCAAGCTTATTTTGAGCCGAGCTTGTACTTAGCTTGACAAGCTGTGTTAATGAGCATTTACCGAGCTCTATCGAGCCGAGCTCGAGCTGGATGATCAAAATTCGAGTTCGAGCCGAACTCGAGCTAAAAAATTTATAAACGAGCCGAACTCAAGTTAAGCAAAAACTCGACTCGGCTCGTTTGCAGCCCTAGCTGCAACTTATCTCCTTAATAATTTTTTTTATATATAAAACAGGCAAATTTACAAAAAGAATTCCCAAAATTAAAGAAACTCTTATTGTAACCAGCTTTTAAAAACTAATTCCCAAACTAATAGCCACTTGCAATGATGGCTCTGAATTTTTGCCTCATATGAGCCATCATATTTTCAAAACAATCCTCATATTATTTAACCTCATTCCATTGAGAGAGCCTCACTGGAGACTCGGAACTCATCAAGGCTCTCGTCCTCGTCTCCATGGTACATTGCTCTAGAAGAAGCGGCCTATGATTGACGATTGTAATATATGTCGCAAAACGAGAATAAATCAATTCGATATCTAACCTCATATTCCTCAAGACCTTCGATAATGTCCCTACTTTAAACCGCCTACTACTAGTGTCTCAATGGTACATTGCTCTAGAAGAAGAGGCTTATTATTGACGATTGAAATATGTCGCAAAACGGAAATAAATCAATCTGATGTCTAACCTCATATTCCTCAAGACCTCCAATAATGTCGCTACTTTAAACCGACTATTAGTGTTTCGAATAACCAACTGCTAATACGATGATATTCAACGTACATACATTGCGATTTGTAGAATCAAACCGTACGATTAATTAATTAATTAATTAATTCCACAGGACAGTAATTCACTTCTCTTTACCAACAAACTCCATCCCCTCGGCAACTTTCAGAAACGCCGGCCGCCCGGAGATATCCTCCCACCACGCCTTCACCCGCGGCCGGCCGCCGACGACGGAGGCCGCCACCGGAGTCTTCATGAGGTAGTAGGTGTACGGCACGTGGTGGAGATCCGCCAGGCTGTAGGAATCTCCGGCGAGGTACTTGCTCTTCTCCAGCCTCGCCTCGTAAACGTCGAGCACCTTCCCCAGCTTCTCGGCGTGGCCGTCGATCACCGCCTGGTCCGGCGACCCGCCCTGCATCGACGCCACGAAGTACTGGTACACGATCGGAGCGATGGCCGGGTTGAAGTGCTGCGACTCCACCTCCGTCCACACTTTCACCGCCGCCGCCGCCGCCGCGGCGGCGGCGGGACCAGCCTCGTGACGTGTCAGGAGGAGGTCGGAGCCCGTGTCCTTGTACTTCTCCGCTATGTATGCTGTAATTGCTCTGGACTCTGTTTGAAATATATAGGTACCAAAAGTGTAATTGTAGCAAGGGGTTTGTGAATTCTAGCAAACCTATAAATATCGTTGTAAACCGTAACAGAAGATTTAACAAAATAATTAATAAAGCACCTAAAACTTGAGAGAGGGAGATCCTCTCCACGCGTACTAACTAGTGTCATACTGATGATACCACGTTACAAAAAAAAAAACGAGTCTTGTGTTCTTTAAATTATGCCTTTCTTGACAGACTCTGTTCTCGTCGTAGAGAAAAAAAATATTAATAATGAATGAATAGATGAAAGGGAACTGCTAAATGTCGTCCTAAATTACTTTAAATCGTCACAACTCAACATATAAGATTGTCTTTGTCCTCTTATGCATTATTTGTTCTAGAAAAAATATAAATACGAAATGTAATAAAAAAATGCCGTTGGGTCGTAACGAGAATGTCAATTTAGTAATTTGCACATTAGAGTTAGGACGATTATAGTAAAATTACTACGAAATGGAGATGGGTGGGAGGGAGGGAGACGGACCGAAGAGGGTGAGGTCGCCGTCCTGGAGAACGGGGATGAGGCCGAAAGGCTGCAAGAAGAATAATGGAGAGATTGGAAAATATTAATTAGTAAAGTAATGGAGTGAAAGGGGGGAAGGAGATTGGGTTTTGCTTACGCTGATGGAGAGGAAAGGGGGGAGCTTGTGCTCGCCGGAGAAGAGGTCGACGGGGACGAACTCGAAGTCGACGCCTTTCTCGTGGAGGCAGGTCAGGACGCGGGCGGTGCAGGCCGACATCGCCGCGCCGTGGAGCTTCATCTGGACAGCTTCAGCTTCTTCTTGCGCGGCCATTGCGAGCTAGCTAGCTAGTTCAGGAGAGTGTTTTGCTATTTCAAAGTGTTAGAAGCGGAAGAAGAGAGGGATGTGCTGTATTAGCCTTGTAAGTGTGTATATATATATATATGGGGTGGCTACGGTGCACTCACTTTTTAGTGCCCCAACTTTAAAAGCGTCCATAATACATTAAATTTTGAATTTTAATTAGTACTCTCAATATAATATGATGATATGACATAGAATCATAACAAATCAATCCATTACCCTAACCCCTTAACATTCAATTTTGAATCCCAACCCAAAATCCCAAATTGTAAACCTAAACCCTAACCGTAAATCCTTCGAATTAAAGTAAATTTTGAAGGATTTTTTTTTCAAATTCATGTGCTTCTTGTTCATAATATCATAAGCAACAATTGATACCGTTTTGACATGAATCGCATGGTCAGAATGACAATTATGAGGCGGGTGCACTCAGTGGGTGCACCAAATACGGGGGAAGAATTTATTTACGAAATTATTAGCTTATTATTGGGGGAGGTAGAATTATTTACGAAATTGTTATCGCGAATTAGTGAATACTGAAAAACTATTCACAAAATACTGGACTAGAGTGGGTCGGTTGGGTCACTGTTGGACTATATTTACATTTGATAAATAAATTAATTAATCTCGTTAAGAATATTCAAGAAACTAAAGTGAGGGGAGAGAGACACACAGACGACAGAGATGCGATAGCTAACCGTTAATTAGCATGTGATCAGTTGGGTATTTTAATATAAAAGTTTTTTCTATTTTCATAATAGCATAATGTTATGTGGGATGATTAGAAGCACTTAAAAATATGATCTAAACTGAAAATTTCTATCATGATATGTTTAACATATATAATTCAATTACCAACAAAAAAAAACTTATTATTGTTTTCAAATTATACCATGATATTTACGGTTATTATAACAAAAATGTGAAAGTATGTAGCTACTATTGTGTAACACTTTAGGCGACTACCGTATCGACAAATCACAGGAGAGATCTAAAGTTAATAAGTATGAAACCGATTTTAACCAACAAGACACATTTTGGGATGAAATGGAAAAGTTCCTGTAAGAACTCCGAAGTTAAGCGTTCTTGTAACGTTTATAAATTTGATTTATTATCTCGACACACCTTTCCAAAAATTTCGAGTCAGTAGTTGCCTGACATACATCCATATACTTAGATGGTTCTATCGTACCTTGAGTAAAATCAAATGTATGACATACCCTAGGTAAGAAAATGCTTAAATTGACCGAAGTTTAGGACATGATATACTATACTCTAACCCTTAAAGATTAAAATCTATGGCTTAAGTTTATAAATCTCATATACTAACATCAATTTAACTAAAAAAAATAATAAACGATCATGATTCGTTTCGTTGATATACACATCCAACAATTTATATGCACCATCTTAGTGTTATTGTCTATGACTCATATAATTAAGACATAGACTTCACTCATAAAGAGTTATTGTACAATATTATGATCCAAAATTCAGTTAATTTGAGGTCTTTTTTATATCTAGATAGCGTTTTCATACCACGAGCAAAATTTTGGGTACCCGCATATCATAAGTTATCTGCGGGCTATTATAGAAGGCACTATATAGGTTATGAGGTAATTAACCATAGCTACAAACTAGATAACTGGGACGTATTCAGCACTATTGAGTATGGGAATCGATCGATCAAATAATTGAGGTGCAACTGCGGCCGTGGAGTGGAATCCTCTGTTGGATCACCAGCTCCGCAAGCAAAGGCAAAGAATAGAATCCTCTGTTGGATTCCTGCATTCCTATTTATTAGGTAGGTTACTTGTGGGAATTTGCAAACATATATATATATGTTTGCAAATTCCCACAAGTAATATATATATATATATATATATATATATATTTTGTACTGTTGCCTCAACACATCGACAATACAATGTTGTCACACAACATCCACATTATATTACTACTTGCGCTGTGCAAAGAGGTGTCCATCTTGTTACTTTCAAGCATGGATTTGTGTTGAGTGGGAGATTTTGCGGCTACTCAAGGGATTCGAACCCGATACTTCCATGTTGAAGACCAGCGCGGTAGTACAACTAGACCAACGTGACCGGATTCCTTGCTATATGTCCCTCGAAATTACCCACTTGTGTTTCGCGGTCGGCAATTTGCTGAAAACATATGTCCCTCGATAATTTATGAGAAAAGATAATATATGTAGTGATTTTATGTTGAATATAATGATCAGTACAAACAAGATCAACGGTTTCCTGAAAATATGTAGCAAGGCCAAGAAAAGAGGGTGGTGCGGGGTGTGATACTTCAGGATTTGGAAACACGTCTATAACGGAGGTTCTTTATGAACGGTATGGATTTGAAGATACAAGGTGTAGCAAAACACAGTATGTTCTTCAACATACCTTTGTTGGTTCATATGGATCCGACTTGTTGGCTCTTTCAAACTATTTCATCTTCATGTGAAGGTGTGCAACGCTTCAGTTTGGTACGAACTAAAAACTAACTAACTGTAAGAACCACTATCCACCATATGCATATAAAAATTAATTGGTTCGCATAATAGTACAAACTAAACTTTTATACTAACCATCTTCACCACCATGTCAGACTCTAAAATTAATGGTGTTCTCATACACTGAGAATGAAAAAAGAGTACAAACTAAACTTTTATACTAGCTGCTTAACAGAATCCCATGTATACATATACATATGTTTTTTTCCCCCTTTTAGAAACAAACCGTGTCAGTTACACAAATGGAACAGAGTTATAAAAAAAACCTTTGTTTTCTTTTTTTCGATCACCTTAATTGTAATCAGGGCAATGCAAATTCATCGATTAAACCCCACCACAGTATGATATAAGTCTAGTCAAATCGATCAATAATCATTATAGTTAATACGCAAAATTATGTTACAAATCAGAAACGGTAGAAGAAACTCAATGCAACCAAACTGAATCACTTAATAGACTGGAAGCACCAGATCGAGGGACTCATCAACACAGTTATTTCTAAGCCTGATACCAATCCACACACACAAGTGAAGATAAAGAAGGTTGAAATTCCACAAAGGAACTCAAGAAGTAATAGATAAATGTTGATCAAACTTTAGATTGTCTATAACTCCAATTTATTTCACAAATCAGAATGTCTCCCAAATCAACAAGACATCGCCAAATAAATTTGAACTTTGAATTTGGAATTTCTTAGCTCGATTATTCCTTGTAAATGCCCTACGAATTTGAGTTGAACAATCGTCTTATTGAATGGCCACCAAACAAGGTTGTTAAACCCCTATCGGACCTCCGGTTGGACCCGATCCAAACTTAATCGCGCTTCAAAACGGCCTTCAGAAAGCCCCTGGTCTGATCCCTAAATAAGGAGAAGAAGAGAGGGGGGAGAGAGGAAGAGGAGCGAAGGTAGCGAGATGGTGGGTGGGTCATGGAAGTTAGGTAGATTTAACCTGTGGAAAATAAATTTGTAATAGATACATGTAAGATAAATTTCATTTTAGTAATTAAATCTTTAATTACTACCTTATTTGTATATATATTTAAAAAATGTCTGCAACGGCTCAAACCGCCGGACCCCGATTATATCATTAAACCTCAAACCTCTTAATTAACCGTTTCAATGATTTAAACCGATTTGACAACCTTACCATCAATCCTTGCTCTAGAAATGTTTTCCATATTTGTTTTGTTGGTTCATTACCTACCCGCACTGCATGCCCAAAGTCCACAGGCAAGCACATGGCACATGGGAACTAGCCAAGTAACTTATTATTTTTGTCAAAAAGTTACACAATTAAGAGGTGGAGGCTATTGTAGTTTGTAGATAGGAAATGAATAATTTGAAGAATAACAATAGAAGAAGAAAGAAATTAAAAGATCCAGTCCAAGTCAAACCTCATTTCTCATTGAAGTAGCTAGGATGGTAAATAGATCCAAACTTTTAAAACTAGGATGGTAAAATAGACCCAAATTATTGGTATTGTTCAAACTCAATTTTACTACTGATCAAATTAGATTTGATAGTATATATGAGCCCGAAGGACGAAGGGAGAAGGCGGAGTTCTCTTTCCAGTGCTATCAATGTAAATAAATAATAAGGAACTCTTTTAGGAATAATGAAAGTTATTATTTTGGGTAGATTCGTATCTAATTTTTTAGTTTGGTCTAAATCAGACTCATTATATTGGGCATTCAAAAGAAAGCGAACATCATAGTCTAATGTGCGTTTCACATTTTCCTTTATTCTCAAACAAATAAAAATGTGAAAACGGTCACCTGCATCAAAGGTGTGAACTGGTTGGAGACCGTTAATGAGATGATTGATATTGCCCTTTTATATATAATTGTCTAGACCCATTTGGATCCGACCCCAATTATACTCAGCTCAAATTTAACCATAAAAAGTGCATATGAGTTCCTTTAATTCCGACCCATTAAATTTGAGTAAAATTACCCAATAAATCAACTCACTGACAACGATAATGGCAACACGAAGACGAAGTTGAGAGCAGTATTAATAATTAAATGATTATAAATTATTATAAATACTAGCTTGTAACCCGACCCGTTGGTCGGAGGAGCTGAGCGGAATATTGAATTATTGGGATAACCCGTAGATTCAACCATTAAGCTAAATTGGTCTAATGGTGAGTACCGCCTAGCATATCCCTAATAATCATACCAAAGTGAATATATTGGAACATAAACAGTACATCAAAAGTTGGTACAACCATGAAGTTAGACCATTAAAGATACCAATGAAATTGAATAGCATCGAAAAACTTCAACTTCATTATATAATTACATGAGATCAGAAAGAGAACACCATTAATTTGATTTATAAAACTTTCATCTTGTCGTCATTGTGCTTTCTGGTTTTTGTCAGGCCATGATAAAATCTAAGGAAATCAAGAACGAACAACACGATTTGGGATAGGAACCGCCGTTGTCGTATTCCTAGAGAATGGTGGTAAACACGGACTCACCTGCCAAACTGGTTTGGATTGAGATTTTTATCGGGTATCAGGGAACCATGTAATTATAAATTAGACTTGATCAAAACGGGCCAAAACTTAAAATTCAGCCTGTTTGACCGACCCATGCAAAATTCTAATTATTCGTTACTTTTAAACTTTCTATTTGAAAATAAAAAATAGTGAAAGAAAATAGATGACTGCAATTCGCCATTTGCACATCACTTATTCGGGAATAAAACCATAGAAATTCAAAAGAAACTGAAAATGTTTAGGATCGTTTTAATGTTTAAAATAACCAAATAGATCTTTCTGTTTAGTTTTTTACTAACAAATACCAAACGATTCCCTATAAAATACACTATAATTTTATCATTATGATATCAAATAATTATATAATATATATTTGAAATGATAAAAATTGGACTAATTGGGTTGGTCGAGATTGAACCATTGAATAACTTTAAACTACATTATATTTTAGCCACTAAAATATAAAATAATATAATAATATATATTATGCTAGAGAAAATAGCTTGTTTTAGAATGTCAAACCAATGATGTTCATTTGTTTTACTTGATGGCCAAATCCGGTGTAGGTCAGGCTCATTCAACTGTAACACCCTACCCCATACGTTTTGCCTAATCATATTGTTCATACAATTGCAGCGGAAATAATCTCGGGTGTTACATTAATTATCAAAATTTACCTAAATAAAATTTCGACATGAATTACTCGCGTAATGAGCTAACAGTTCTTCCATATGATCCTGCAAAATAATTCATCTGAATCCATGCATTCATAGACAAACACATATACTCACAACCATATGCATTGGCTTTTCATAGCCATAGTCACAGTTTCATACTACACAACTGCATACTATACTGATACAAGCCATAATCGTCACAACTTACATAATTACAAAAATATACACATATCATCAACTTTCCACACCTGTGGATATCTCACACCACATCAGAAGCTAGTATGCATATGAAAAACGTTCTCAAAACATTTTTACAAAAAGGTGTGGATCACTGGCCAAAATCCCGAGTAGTAGTCCAAGCACAGAATAGTTGAAGACCATACCTCATCTTGCCTTCAACTCTTGCTCAGCTCCCACCTATACACCTATCTACTGCTGCTGATGATCTGCTTACACACGGCATAAGCAGAGAAGAAGAATAAAAGAGGGTCAGCTCATAGCTGAGTGAGATAATCATAGCATCGTGAGTTCATAACAGAGCATACCCCTATCATACATCTAACAGTCAAGCCAAAACACTAGGATCGGACCTCAGCCATCCTCATATCCCAATAGGCAAAAGACTCAACCACCTTGACTTATGCATATGCATCTTATCATGTTTTAATCATAGGCGCCTGGCTACTCCCATGCTAATAACTCTCCCGGGAAACATACCCCACATCCCGTCGGATGTAGTCATACATACCCCAACATCCCGTCGGATGTGGTCATACATACCCCACACCACTATTGGTGTAGTCATACCCCGACACCGCTCTGGGTGTGGTCATATCTCATAAGAATTCTTCAGTCACCACCACATGAGAGGTGTGACTATCATACATATCATAATAGAGTAATAGCATAGGGAGCCCTAATTACTATGTAGTTGACCGTGAGACCACAACACTGATACTTGGTATCCTTATACATGATTCATATCTCATCTTGCTTAATCATAATTCATTACTTGCACATGTACTTGACCTGGCCATAATTGGCTCGACATAGGTAAATCAGGAGTCGTATAATTGCACTTCCTCGGGGTAAACCCTCGTGCAAGTCATCCTCCTTAAAAATCATAATATCACCAGGGAATATATATTTTCCCACTTGTGCATCCAAATCCAACAATCATGAAAAATCATACCTAACCACCTTCTCGAACCATCGTAAAGCATATTAACCGTCAATCCCACAATTTGCAACATATACACAATCATCAGCATAAACAAGGTTCATATCGATTAGGGCAAGTCAATAATATCATACAGCAATCCAGGGTTCAACATATAGCACAAAGGTCCATACACCCCTAATCATGCCATTCTAGTTCACCTAGGTCAATTCTAAGCATCAATATAATTATCGTGATACGACAAACCCGGTATGCCGTGCTAATCCCTCACCAGTTCTGGTCGTTCAAACACCGGTTTAACCTTCCCGTACTAAAACGTCAATTTCACGAACGAACCCCGAATTAAAATCCGAGACCGTCCTAATATCCCCTGCAGTATCCCCGTCAATATTAGTTCTGGGCTCCGGGTCAAATTCTCGATAAAAACACATCAAACCCTGGCCGGAGCTAAATTCAGCGGTTTGGACCCCGGCCTAAATAATAGCCGAAATTCAGGGATTAGAACTAGAGGATTGATTACCTCGCTGCAGGAAGCTCGTATATGAAATTTGGGCTCAATCCGGCTTCCGGATACTCCGAAACCCTAATTTGGCAGATCGGGAATTCAAGAAATTCCTGAACCAAAAACTCGTTTTAAAGCTCTAAATCGATAAATCACGATGTATAGATGAATTAGGCATTACTTACGGGATTTTTGGATCACTGTAGCTCAAGAATTGAGCTTTGCAATCTAATTCTTCGAGTGCCCTGTGCGCCTCTGTTTCTCGGTCCGAGAATGGAAATATTATGATGGTGATGAGACGTAATGGACGGGGAGGGGGATAAATATATATGCGGCCCGGCCGCTTAATATATATATATATATATATATATATATATATATATAATTATATATATGTATATAATATATATAATTATATATATGTATAATTAATACGTATACTTATCCGATCGATCGATAATCCGATTTTCGCCGAAATACTATCAAAACGCTCGATTTTAAATCGCGAACTTTCTAGCGATTAAAATATGGGTTTTGCCGGAACGGGATGTTACAATTCTCCCCTCCTTAAAAGATTTCGTCCTCGAAATCTAACCTTGTGTCGATAGTTATCTGCTCGTCCCCCCCTAACCTACACTATCACAAATCTTGTTACTACCTGACTTTTAGGTTAGGAGATCTGATGTACATAACTAAACACATAACACCTCAAGTTCCCATGTTTAGGTTTCAAAAACCTATACTGGGCTATCACAACAAAAGCACATCAGCAAGTTCAAAACATAACTTATTAAGCAAGATTGTTAACCTGCAAAGTAGGTTGCTACTAACTCAGGGTACTTCTCTCGCATACTTGCTTCAGTTTCCCATGTAGCACTCTCACTTTCTTGATTTCTCCACACCACTTTCAACATTGGAATTTCTTTCCTGCGAAGAGTCTTAATCTGAAAATCAACAATCTCAACTGGAACCTCCTCAAAAGTCAAATCTGAACCCAACTCGATCTCTTCTGGTTGTATAACATGGGAAGGATCCACCTCGACACCTCTTCCAGAAATTACATGTCCCAGAAATATTACCTCCTTCAGCCAAAACTCACATTTTGAGAATTTTGCATATAATTGTTTCTCCCTTAAAATTTGCAACACAATTCTAAGGTGAGTTTTGTGCTCCTCCTCGCTTTTAGAATAGATGAGAATATCATCTATGAACACAATCACAAACTTATCAAGATATTCATGGAAAACTCTGTTCATAAGAGCCATAAATACCGCTGGTGCATTAGTGAGTCCAAAAGGCATTACCAGGAACTCATAATGCCCATATCTTGTTCTAAAAGCAGTCTTTGAAGTTGCTCCATCTGCCACTTTCAATTGATGGTATCCAGACCTCAAATCAATCTTAGAAAAGACTGATGCACCCTGCAATTGATCAAACAAATCATCTATTCTTGGAAGGGGATAACGATTCTTCACTGTCGCCTTATTCAACCTCCGGTAGTCAATGCACATTCTCATGGAGCCATCTTTCTTCTTGACAAACAAAACCGGTGCACCCCATGGTGAGATGCTAGGTCGAATAAACCCCTTGTCTAACAATTCTTGCAATTGTTCTTTAAGCTCCTTCAGCTCAATTGGTGCCATTCTATATGGTGCCATTGAAATTGGTGTTGTGCCAGGTACCAATTCAATATCAAACTCTACTTCCCTTTCTGGTGGAAGGCCGGGAAGTTCTTCGGGGAATACATCAGGAAATTCCCTTACCACCTCTACATCCTCAACCTTCTTATCATTTACTATAGTAACTTGAGCAAGAAAGGCTTCACAACCTTCCTTCACTAATCGAAAAGCTTCCAAGGCAGAAAGAAAACCATGAGTCTCCTTTTTCTTAATGCCTCGGAATACAACAGGACCTTTATCTGGTGTGCTGAATAACACTTCTTTCTTTTGACAATCCACAACAGCTCCATGTGTTGCCAGAAAGTCCATTCCAAGGATGACATCGAATTCATCAAAAGGTAGCAGAATTAAATCTGCTGCTAGGAAAGCTCCTTCCACACAAATGAAGGAACTTCTAATAACTGAGTCTACCTTCAAGGTATCTCCCACAGGTGTTTTAACACATAAGGTATAACCTAGCTTATCTGGAACTAAGCGTAGCATATGTGCAAACGTATATGACATGAATGAGTGGGAGGAACCAGTATCGATCAAAGCATATAATTGCTTGCCAAGGATAGAAAGCATACCAGTTACAACTTCTGGTGCCACTTCTGCCTCACCTCGAGTCATTGCATAAACCCTCGGTGCTCCCTGTGCTCTGGTACCCTGCGTACCACTTCCTGATGATTGATTTCGACCACCACCTCTACCACCCTGTGAACCACCACGACCACTCTGAAATCCACTACGGCCTCCCTGGTAACCACCCCTGAATGGGGCTCTACTAAATTGCACTGAAGGCTCGGACTGTGTAGCTCTTACTTCTCTCGAATGCGGGCAATCCCTCATGATGTGCCCAGGTTGGCCACACTGAAAGCATACACCAGAAAATCTCCTACACTCTCTAAGATGCCTCTTCTGACAAACTTGACAAAATGGACATTGTGTGGCTGAGGAAATTGGTGCCCTGTATGATGTTCCCGACATAGATTGACTCTGTGTTCTCCCAAAACTGCTAGGACCTCTCCTGGGTGGGTAACGAGGTCCAGCATAATTTACTCCAAACTTCCTCTTCTTCTCCTCTTCTTTAGCCTTGTGTTCCTCTCGGCTCTCAACTTCATAGGCTTCATACTTAAGTGTTGCCTCCTTGATTGTGGCCATACTCTCTTCATCAACCCTGTGGACCTTTTCTTTCAACCCTATGCGCAGACCATGCAAGTATCTCATCTTCTTCTTATGCTCAGTATCCGCCAACCCATCCTCAAAGTAAAGCAGTCGAACAAACTTGATGGTGTACTCAGTAACTGTCATATTCTCCTGCTTAAGGTTGGCAAATTCATTGTTCTTTGCCCTGATAAAAGCTTCAGGGAGAAACTCTGTCTTAAAGGCCTTCAGGAACTCCTCCCAGGTGAACTGAACTCGTTCACCATTAACTCTAGAGACTGAGGACCACCAGCTCCTCGCATACCCCTTTAGGAGAAAAACAACATATTGCACTTTTTCCTCTGGGGTTGCATAAAGATATTCAAACACATCTTCCATCTCTCTCAACCACTCTACTACAGCATCTGGGCTCACATCTCCCTTAAAGTCCCTACCACCCAACCTCTTCATCTTTGCATAGTCTAATACTGGCGGTCTTGCATCAACCGCCCCCACTCCTCTCGACTGGTTAGTAGGAACATTTTCACAACTTCCGTGCGAGCTACAAGGAAATATTGGCCTTAGATTGATCCACACAAAATTCATTCTTCACCAAATCTCTCACTTGGTTAAAAAAAAATTTTCCCTAAATAATTACTTGAAAACAAATACATTCAAAACTCAATTTTGAAAACCATGATGCAGATAATTTCATCCAATATACCAATACACATAATCATGTCAAACTCAATTCCCAGTTTAAGTCATTATGGGGCACTCCCCTCCTTAGGAGTGTTTAACCTCCCATAGGGTATAGTACGCCATAACAACAAAAAGAGGGAACCGGGCTCTGATACCAAACTATAACACCCTACCCCATACGTTTTGCCTAATCATATTGTTCATACAATTGCAGCGGAAATAATCTCGGGTGTTACATTAATTATCAAAATTTACCTAAATAAAATTTCGACATGAATTACTCGCGTAATGGGCTAACAGTTCTTCCATATGATCCTGCAAAATAATTCATCTGAATCCATGCATTCATAGACAAACACATATACTCACAACCATATGCATTGGCTTTTCATAGCCATAGTCACAGTTTCATACTACACAACTGCATACTATACTGATACAAGCCATAATCGTCACAACTTACATAATTACAAAAATATACACATATCATCAACTTTCCACACCTGTGGATATCTCACACCACATCAGAAGCTAGTATGCATATGAAAAACGTTCTCAAAACATTTTTACAAAAAGGTGTGGATCACTGGCCAAAATCCCGAGTAGTAGTCCAAGCACAGAATAGTTGAAGACCATACCTCATCTTGCCTTCAACTCTTGCTCAGCTCCCACCTATACACCTATCTACTGCTGCTGATGATCTGCTTACACACGGCATAAGCAGAGAAGAAGAATAAAAGAGGGTCAGCTCATAGCTGAGTGAGATAATCATAGCATCGTGAGTTCATAACAGAGCATACCCCTATCATACATCTAACAGTCAAGCCAAAACACTAGGATCGGACCTCAGCCATCCTCATATCCCAATAGGCAAAAGACTCAACCACCTTGACTTATGCATATGCATCTTATCATGTTTTAATCATAGGCGCCTGGCTACTCCCATGCTAATAACTCTCCCGGGAAACATACCCCACATCCCGTCGGATGTAGTCATACATACCCCAACATCCCGTCGGATGTGGTCATACATACCCCACACCACTATTGGTGTAGTCATACCCCGACACCGCTCTGGGTGTGGTCATATCTCATAAGAATTCTTCAGTCACCACCACATGAGAGGTGTGACTATCATACATATCATAATAGAGTAATAGCATAGGGAGCCCTAATTACTATGTAGTTGACCGTGAGACCACAACACTGATACTTGGTATCCTTATACATGATTCATATCTCATCTTGCTTAATCATAATTCATTACTTGCACATGTACTTGACCTGGCCATAATTGGCTCGACATAGGTAAATCAGGAGTCGTATAATTGCACTTCCTCGGGGTAAACCCTCGTGCAAGTCATCCTCCTTAAAAATCATAATATCACCAGGGAATATATATTTTCCCACTTGTGCATCCAAATCCAACAATCATGAAAAATCATACCCAACCACCTTCTCGAACCATCGTAAAGCATATTAACCGTCAATCCCACAATTTGCAACATATACACAATCATCAGCATAAACAAGGTTCATATCGATTAGGGCAAGTCAATAATATCATACAGCAATCCAGGGTTCAACATATAGCACAAAGGTCCATACACCCCTAATCATGCCATTCTAGTTCACCTAGGTCAATTCTAAGCATCAATATAATTATCGTGATACGACAAACCCGGTATGCCGTGCTAATCCCTCACCAGTTCTGGTCGTTCAAACACCGGTTTAACCTTCCCGTACTAAAACGTCAATTTCACGAACGAACCCCGAATTAAAATCCGAGACCGTCCTAATATCCCCTGCAGTATCCCCGTCAATATTAGTTCTGGGCTCCGGGTCAAATTCTCGATAAAAACACATCAAACCCTGGCCGGAGCTAAATTCAGCGGTTTGGACCCCGGCCTAAATAATAGCCGAAATTCAGGGATTAGAACTAGAGGATTGATTACCTCGCTGCAGGAAGCTCGTATATGAAATTTGGGCTCAATCCGGCTTCCGGATACTCCGAAACCCTAATTTGGCAGATCGGGAATTCAAGAAATTCCTGAACCAAAAACTCGTTTTAAAGCTCTAAATCGATAAATCACGATGTATAGATGAATTAGGCATTACTTACGGGATTTTTGGATCACTGTAGCTCAAGAATTGAGCTTTGCAATCTAATTCTTCGAGTGCCCTGTGCGCCTCTGTTTCTCGGTCCGAGAATGGAAATATTATGATGGTGATGAGACGTAATGGACGGGGAGGGGGATAAATATATATGCGGCCCGGCCGCTTAATATATATATATATATATATATATATAATATATATAATTATATATATGTATAATTAATACGTATACTTATCCGATCGATCGATAATCCGATTTTCGCCGAAATACTATCAAAACGCTCGATTTTAAATCGCGAACTTTCTAGCGATTAAAATATGGGTTTTGCCGGAACGGGATGTTACATCAACTCTTTTATTTTATGGTTAGCGGTTAGCCCTTTAGATACCATGCATTAGTTTATTGTTAATTTTTTTTTATTTTTAGCATAAAAAGAAGTATTGTTTTTGCCTTTTCATATATATTTTATCACCACGGAGAAATACAAGGGCTTAAAGAAAAAAATTGACACTCCTGAACCCGTTTAAATCCGCATGTGTACGGTAAGTTGGCTCGTTCCACAGAGGAAAGAGAAAAAAATTAACACTACCTATTCTACCCTTCCTACAAACGCTCATGGAGCAGGGAATTTGAAATGGGGGGAAGGGGTTTTTCCTCCCTGCTATTATATGTTTTTGATTTAAAAGGATACAACAAATGTACTTAGTGTGATTGGTTATGTTCCTTGCTTTTCTTTAAAATGGACATGGTTCGAATCCCAGTACGTGTCTGTTTAATGAATAAAGTGAAGACCAAAATGTCCTTCCTACTTTCACTCTCGTTGCAGGAGATTTGAAATGGGGCTCCCGTTTTTCCATTCGGTGTATTATATTATGTGTAGATTATATACGGACAGACAGAGTAGCAGGCAGGAACTATGAAGAACACTTTAATATAATTAGTAACGCGGCGCGCATCACGCACACAGCCACAGTAGTCAAACTTACAATAGATCGCCAGTGACTAAACCAAACTACCACGTGATGATTCTGCAGACTCTGGTTGCTTTGATTTTGTAATTGTTACATATAATTTGAAGCAGGTTCAAGAAGGGGAAAATAAAGAAACACTCAGAAAATGGAGGCGGCCGAAGGAAAGGAAGGAGAGAGAGACATGGAGGCGATCAGACTAGGGTTGGTATTCGGTTAACCGGTTACTGATTTAACCGATAATCAAATAGATAACCGGACGGTTATCGATACCCCTGTTCGATTACGTTAATGGTGCAATGACAAGCATTCAGATTTCTGACTCTTACCACTATTCTCTGAGGTCTCAAGAATTTGCAAATACTTCAACCTTATGATGTCGAATCACTTCCAATAATTGTTGTTGCTTGTCAGGAGTGAGGTCCTAGAATCCCACTTGGATAAATTAAAATGGTCATATGTATATATGGTGACTACTTCGGCGCACTCACAAAAATGACTGCATTCAATATGCAACGATTGAACCATATTTTAATTCAAATACTTTACTTGGACTTTTCCGGTATAACCTCTAATAGAGTACTTTTAAGACCAGACACTCGAGTGACTCTATACAATGTGATTTGGACAGTTTTATGTGCCAAATTACAAAATTTAATGTTTGCTTATTCTGGTTTTCCGAGATAACGTAAATAAAGTGTTGCCTGAGAGCGGTACTACTGTAAATAATTATCAGGGAAAACCAAGAGAACAGTTTCTGGTTATTTACAATACGTACAGCCAGGATGCTGATTTCGCTCCTTCCTTCCCTGTTACTTTTTCATTTTAAGCCTTCAACATAATTTACAAGTATAGCTTATATTTACAACATGCGCCCATCTGCCGACAGAACGCCAACGAGGTAGAAACGAAAGAGAAATGTATATATATACACGCATACATACATATACTGTATAGACATTCCGCAACAAGCCTTCTGGCTACCTTGTTTTCCTCCTTCAGAAGCTACCTTCTGGCTTCATAAAATTGTGATATTCCAGCTGATTCATCTCTCCACCGTTCACCGGGTCGAACTGACATCTATAGAAGCTGCAGCGAGCCATCCCAGAAACAAAAACACGTTCAGTTACCCCCCACCAGTCTGGTCCATATACCTTGACGCAATAATATTTACACAGGAGCAACAGAAACCCAAACGACTTTGGAGTTTGCCCTCACAGTTTATCTTACCTTCCATCGAACCCGAGAATGACCACCGTGTTCTTTTGGTGACCGAAGGCAACAACGTACTGAGAGCCTTCCACTAACCTGAACTGAGCAACCGACCACTCCGAGCTGAAATACTTTGGTAAAACACCTGCACGCGAAAGCTTTGATGAGATTAATATGCCCCCCAATCTCAACTATTATTTTTACAGCCGAAGATAAGACTAGACTCAGTGGATTCTCTCCTATGCTGTAAGCGCCATCTGAGAGAGATCCAGGTTACCAGGTTACCTTTGAAGAAGGATAAGGATGAAGCAGGAGAGCCAGCGGCATGATTTGTATCAGTTATGGCTCGTGAAGTGTCATTCATTTTTGCCCCAGGATTCAACTTAAGGCTGAAAACATGAACTGTTCCTTTATCACTAGAAACTGCTAGCCATTGTGCAGCAGAAGAGAATGCTAAGCTGTAGATCTCTGCTCTGTCTGCACCCCTCCTCACCTATGTTTAGACATAGAATCAGTTACGAAGTGCAATGCTAAAACCAGGAAATGATTGTGTAATGGAAAAATAGAGCTCCTAAAACTAACTAACAGATCCTAATTCATAGAGCCAACCCAGTATATTGATAAAAAGATATCAGTATCGGTGTACTTGTATGTCAAGCCAATCAAGAAATTGAACAATATGTTACTACCACTCACAAATTAAATGAACTTTCCTATACTTCACTCCCACAACTAAATAGAAAGGTAAAAGCGCAGAAAAGAAGCAGTCATAGAGAGAGCAACAACATATATACCACCACCTAATAAGCTAAGCAGTTCCATACTAAGCTACATATTCGGTCCATAGGGAGGGGAGTGAGGGGGGAAAGACGCCATCTGGTTCAGTTATATCATAATCACCCCAGCACAGTCAGTTCCAGCTTTAAATTCGTCAAGGTGTTGGATTTTTCAGCATACAGTAAAATTATACTACAGTAGACGATTAACAAGCATTGTTATGAGTAGGAATAGGATTAAGTTTCCACCGTCAATGGAAAAGGGACTCACCCTCAGCAAAACTAACTAACAAGAGAAGGGAGAAAGGAGAAATTACTCCACAAGAAACAAAGAAACATACATCTGCAGCAAGTGAGACGTGACAGTACTCACAGTACCATGAACACAGCGAGGTTGAAACATATTCAATTACCCAACAGCGAAGAAAGTGGAAGTAAAAGCAATGAAAAACTAAAAACCGAAAGAAGAATCCAAATAAAAGCTCATGTTTTGTTTAGTCACTCGAACTAATGAAGACAACAATCTAGTTTATGAATTCCAGAAGCAAGCTAGGGTGGGAGGGAGGAAGGCCAGGGTGGCAAAGTACAGAGCTTAAATTTTTACCCCGTTTAGCCTTGCAGTCATTTACTGAACACCTAGCAGTTCAGCGAAAGAAGCACTCAAGTAACATCTTCACAAAGCTATGTTTTTAATTATAAAAGCTATCTTACTATAGCTAAACCAATCATGTTTCTTCAAATTACCTAAGCTGCTAAGCACAAGCATACATCAGACACAAATTCCCACGAAAGGAAACTTAAGAATCTCAAACTCAATTAGTAGCCGTATCATCACACTACATTTACTAAGTATCTCACACTCAACTAGTAGCCATATCATCACACTGCAATTCACTAATATCCAGTCACTCTTGTAATCACCACGGTTTAAGGCAATAGGCGAGGAAGGTATCCAAATACTAAACACGAAAAAATACCTCTTGAAGAAGACTGCCGTCCGCTGTGTTGAAAATCCTTACGAGGGTACCCTTAGAGCTACAAGTAGCAAGCAACTGGCCATCCTGCGTGAGAGCAAAACAAGCAATCCTGGAGTCGTGCGCCATAACGAACTTAGTCCGCTTCGAGGCATAATGCTCAACCCGAACTTGACCCTTCTGCAAGCCCGGGCAGACCAAGACAAGCGAACCCGCCCCGTGTGACACCTCACAGAGCCCCTTAGGGTTGGCGATCGTCTCAATCTGATGCAACAGCTTCAAATCCGAAAAATTGTACACAAAAATCTTCTGCTCCAAAACCACCACGATCCTATCCCGCCGCAGCTTCACGGATCGAACCTCGGACCGGAAAGAGAGCTCGCCAATGCAACGGCTCTGGTGATCGTCCCAGATCATGACTTTATTGGGCGGGTACTGCGGGTCGGCCCCGCCGCCAACGAGAGCCAGAATGTTGCAGCGGAAAAGCATCTCCACCGCCCCGATCCCGCCGCCCCGGCGGTCGAAGTCGCGGCGGAATATCTCCCGGAAGGGATCGCAGTTGTAGATCCGGAACCCGTGATCGGTGCCCGCGGCGAAGCATCCGGAGTCCTGATTGAAGGAGAGGTGCAGCAGGGCGACGGACGGTGGCGGAGACGAGGAGGACTCCGGCGGAGAAGAAATCGGACTGCTGTAGTTGGTGACGGGGGTTGGGTTCGAAGGCGGCGACTGAGGGAGTGGATCTGGTTGGTGATTTTGCTGAGGCGTGATTGAAGAGAGGGAATCGTAAGACTGGGGATCGTCGAGCTGCTGCTGTTCATCCCCGGTGGTGGAGTCCTGCTGAAGGAGGACTGCGGGGTTAGGGTTGTCGTTGGGCCAGGCGGCGGGAGAGGAGTAAGCCGAGAGAGTCGCCATGGAAGGTAAGGGAATGCCCTGAGATTTCTTGTGAAGGAATACTGAACTTCTAATTGTTAGCTTGTGGGAGAGGACAGAGAGGATTCTTCAAGGGACTAGGGAGGTCTCATTCGTTGCTTTCTCGATGTTGTCTGAGAAGCAAAGGTAAAGGTGAGGATCGAATGACGATCGTACCCCTGGAGTCCGTTCGACGTTTTGGGATGCCGGTGAGGGCAAACGGAAGAGGTTTGCTTATGCCTTTTTGTGGGGCATGGCTATTAAGTCGCCCTAAAAATTTGAATTTATCGCCCTAAGACATATGAAATTACACATTTATCCTTAAATCAATTATCATTCTCCGTTAGGGATGGCCGGCCGGGGCCCAAAACCGGGTATCCGCCCGAAGCCCGCCCGATAAGGGCCCATGTGGTTCTGGATCTCTGGCCCGTCAACCGGCGGCGGGTAACCCGAAACCCGTCAACCATGATTTTCGGGTGGTGATGGTTAGCTCAGTATCCGCCCCGCGCCCCGCCCGACGGTTTAACCGTGTATAAAACGACGGCGTTTGGAGAGAGATATATAATCTCTCAGTTCCCTTAGAGAAACCCTAGCAGCCGCCTCATTTCCATTCTTCACCAAATTTTACAGAAACCCTAGTTTCCTTTTTCTCTCTGCCTCCTCTCTGGCGATTAGCGATCAGATCGCTAGATAATCACGATCTGGCCGATTTTTCGTCATTTTCCCTCATCAAATCCTCCATTCGACCAATTGCATGGCTCAAAGAGCAACCATCCGACGAAGATTTCGTCGGTCGCAATCCAAAAACGAGTCGTTGCCTCGTTGGAAGTTCAAATCGCTGATTCTTCGAGAAAAGATAAGTTATTTCTGGGTTTCTTATCTTTTCTTTCAAGCATCTTCCCTGATTCCTCGTTCCCCTAACTCTCTACTGAGTACTGACTCTTCTTGTACTTGTATATATAGGGGGGATTCAAAGCGCAGAGGTCGTTTCTCACCACGCCATCTTCTGAGTTCTGAAATCGAGAACAAGAACACCCCAGTCGAGTCAACAGAGAGCAGAGACCGAGGGATTTAGCCGACCGCCCGAGCCTCCAGACAGAGTCCAGTCGTCGAGGGTAAGTTTCTTGATCTCGTCTATACTTTTTATGATTTATGGGTTAGTGGTCTCATAATACAGACATGCATGCATTAAATTCCAGTTCTTCTACCTTGCTTTGTGTTCTTTGTTCACTGACTCTTCTTGTTCGCTCTTATTTGGGCTAGGTTGGTACCTTGGTCTCGTTTGGAACCTTGTATCTGGTTTACTGGTTTAGAGAACTGAAGCAGAACAGAGTCAGTGAGCAGTGAGGAGCAGTCTACTGTCATTGGGTACTCGACAGTCCACATAAAACTCCAATCTGAGAAGGTAATCCCAGTCCTCTCCTAACTCCTAATCCTCAACTCACTGTGTTTGACTGTTTGTTCATAATGCTGCGACTTGTTGTGACAATTAGTGGATTCATAATGCTAATAAGTAAAATTAATTAAACTGTAAGCGTGATTTTGAGAATAAAGATGTTTGTTTGCAAGTTTAGTTTTGTCATTGTGAATGTAACTAAGTTAATAACTATTAACTAAGGCTTAATGTTCAGATGGAATGTAACTAAGTTAATAACTATTAAGTATTAACTAAGGCTTAATATATATTATGTTCAGATGGAAGGTGCTCCTACTGCTATAAATGTTGACATTGCTCCCGATGTCAATGCCCCTGAAAATGGTGTCCAAGTCCAACCTCAACCTGAACCTGAACAACCTGGTAATGTTGAGGAGCTTGAAGCTCAACGTAAGTTAACTTCTGATGTGTGGCCTCACTTTAACCGAGTTAGGGTTAATGGGGTTATGAAGGCTAGGTGTAAGTACTGTCGTAAATCCCTTGGTGGGGAAACAAGTAATGGAACTTCACACCTAAGAAGCCATATCAAAACATGTATCCAAAAGAGGATACATGATGGTTCTCAAAAAATACTTGGTCCTAACTATAAACCCGCTGGAAATCCACAACTCTCTGCTTCTCAATACAATTATGAGGTTTCTAGGAAGGAACTTTGTTCAATGATTCTGGTCCATGAGTACCCCCTTAGCCTTGTTGATCATGTGGGTTTCAAACGTTTTTGTTGTTCTCTTCAACCTCAGTTCGCTGTTCCTAGTAGAAACACTGTCAAAAAGGACATTTTGAGTTTGTATGGTGTTGAAAGGGGTAAATATCAGACCATTATTGATGGTAACCTGGGTCGGGTTTCAATTACAACTGATTTGTGGACTGCCAGAAATCAGGAAAGGGGTTATATGGCAATAACTGGTCACTTCATTGATAACTCTTGGAAGCTCCGTAGCATAATGATGAGATTTATGTATGTTCCAGCCCCTCATACTAGTGAAAGGCTTGCTGATAGGTTGTTTGATTGTCTTTTGGATTGGAACATTGATGGTAAGTTGTCCTCAATCACATTGGACAACTGTACCACCAATGATTCCATGATTTTCCACATGAGAACTAAGCTTCTGAGCAGTGACTTGTTGCTTGATGGTAAATTGGTTCATATGAGGTGTTCTGCTCATATTCTGAATTTGATTGTAAGGGATGGTTTGGATGCAATCAAGGATGCTATAAATTTGATTAGGGAGAGTGTAGTTTACTGGAATTCTACACCTAAGAGGGTTCAAACCTTCTTCGAAGTTGCTAAGAAACTTAAGCTATCTTTTGAGAAAAAGTTAGTCCTTGATTGTCCAACTAGGTGGAATTCCACCTATCATATGCTCTCTGTTGCTATTCCCTACAAGGATGTTTTCTTTCGTTTGAGTTTGAGAGACAATCATTACACATCAGTTCCTTCTAGTGAACAATGGGAATTTGCTTCTACTGTGATTGGGAAGCTGGAAATCTTTTCTAAGATTACTGAGTTGTTCTCTGGTTCCAAATATCCCACTGCCAATCTGTTCTTCCCTAAGATATGTGATCTCAGACTTAAACTGAATGAGTGGGGTCTTGATCCCAATCCTGTGATTTTTGGAATGGATAGTCAAATGTCACTGAAGTTTGATAAGTACTGGGATGATATCCATCTTGTGCTTGCTGTATCGGTTGTTTTGGATCCTAGATATAAACTCCATGTGATTGAATACTATGCTGGAAAGTTTGGGAATACAGAAACTGGTTTGGTTGCTGAGAATATCAAGCAAATGATATGTGGTTTGATTCGTGATTATCAAACCAAAGCTGAGAACAAATCTGGTTCTGAATCTGGAACTTCTTCTTCTGGTTCTGGAACTGCCTCTGCCACTGAACTTGATTTTGAACTCTTTGTAAGTCAAAGGAAAAAGAGTAAGACTTCCTTGATTACAACTGAGTTGGATATGTATCTTGCTGAGGATATCATTCCTCGCACAGCAGAGTTTGATCTGCTCTTGTGGTGGAAATTGAATGGTTTGAAGTATCCGACCTTGCAATCAATTGCAAGGGACTTTCTGGCAATCCCTATTACTTCTGTGCCTTCTGAGAGTGCATTTAGTTCTGGTGGGAGGTTGTTAGACCCTCACCGGAGCAGGCTGCATTATTCGACTGTGGAGGCAATGATGTGTACTAGGAGTTGGATAATGGAGGACATGCAAAGAGGTAAAATGAAACTAAATCTCTCAACTTTATTGGTTTACGTTTTAAGAATAGTATGAACTCATTCAACTGGTTCTCTGCAGATTCGGAGGCTGCTGTGGAGGGATTGGATGGACTCTTCTCAACAATGACACTCGAAGATACAAGTGTGGAAGAGGCAGAACCTGGTGGTAAGATCAATAATTCATTTTTCCATTATGTGTTCTAATTTCTATTACTTCATTGAGGAATACTTACATTTTCATTGTTTCGCTTTTTCAGGTCCAGAACTCACCTTAATGAGATCACCATTTGCCCATGAAGACTGATTGGTAATCTGCTGTGGGACCAAGGTAAATGTTTTTTGTATTTGTTGTCGTTGATGCATTATTCATTTTAGTCTTTACTAAGTACTAACTGAAGCATTCCTCTTGTGTGTACTTTATTCAGTTTCAACTGATGATTGCTGGTCTGCTGGTTCACATCGATTGGAATGAGGGTCAGGGGTGGTCGGGTGGATGATTCTCAATGATTCAATGTTGCTGGAACCTAGATGGAATGTTGCTGCGTTGCTGTTGCTTGAACTATTTCAGTCTACTGTTTTTGGATAAGAATTAGACATTTAGAATTTTGGGAACGTCTTTCTTTTTGGTTGTTTGGTTCATTTGATTTGATAATTTCTATCACAAACACGAAACAGATGTTGTTTTTGGTTGTTGTTGCTTAGATGCTTGGCTTGGCAAGCTTTCAGTTGTTTATTTCAGGTCTTTTTAACAGACCAGTCAGATTGAATAAAGTATCCAGTTTCCAGAATTTTTTTTTGTCATTTTCATCTTTATTTTCATGGTTTGGTAGCGGGTATTATAGACCCGCGGGCACCCGATTAACCATTGGGGACGGAGATGGTTATCCATCCAGGCCCGCAAGTCCGTTTGGGCCAGGGACGGGGATACCCGAGGCCCATGGTGGGCTGGCAACGGATCCAGGGTACCCGGCCCCGATCCGCCCCGTTGCCACCCCTATCCTCCATTCTCAATCCAACCACCGACAACAGCAACTCCCAAGTCCCAACTCCTCTCTCGTCGTCGACCTCTGCGGAGGAAGGTGAGGAAGAAGCAATCAACGACGTCCACATCCTCTTCCTCTTCCACCTGCCACCTCTGCCTAATTATGAACTCCTAATTATACCCAGAGGACATCATTAAGCTTGATTTTATCCTCGTCCCTCAACCCAATTACCACTTCAAATCTGATCTCCTAATTATACCAGAGGACATGATTAAGCTTGGTTTTCTCCTCGTCCCTCACTGTCACAGTATTGTGACACGGGAATTCCTCCGATCAATTTCAGATTCTAGAGTTGTTCGGGAGCTTCAACGATGAGTTTAGCCCTGTAATCGTTGGCATGTTTGGCAATTTCGGAGCTTGTGTTAATGGGATTGGCAGGAGTGAGAATTGTGTCGATGGACATGATGGCGATGCAGATAGTTGGGTACATGATCGAGTTCGGGGATAGGAGAAGCACGACGTCGCCCTTTTGGATTCCGATGGCGGAGCAGAGGCCGGTGGCGAGGGATGTGATTGGGGGGAGGGGGTTCTATTTTTGTTACTATAAAAATCAGGGATAAAATTGTCCGTTTGGTATGATTTAGGGCGAAAAAATTTAAATTTTAGGGAGACGAATAGCGATTCAGCTTTTGTGGAGGCTAAATTACATGTTTGGTCATCCAAAATTATATAAATTTTTCATGTTTGTCATCCGAATCACTTTTAGTTTGTTAATCGTCACTAACTTTATGAATCCTTTTATCGTTAGTCACTAGCCGTTACATTCCGTTAACTCCGTTAGTATTTTGATGACATGGCAAACGGAACTGCTGACTGAACCGTTCCTCTCTTCCTCCGCATCTATAAAAACGACACCATGTAGCGTCTCACGGAGACCAAAATCGTCCTGTCTTCTCTCCCTGATCCGAAATCCATGATCCAATCCAAAAGATGTTCGGCATAACTCCTCTTCCTCCGTCGGCGACGACGATGGGGATGTGACTCTCCTATCCAGAATCTACCTCCTGAAGCAAACCATACTCGGGGAGAAGCTCCCGGTCTTGGACTACTACCACGACGAAGCCTTCCTCATTGAATTCGTCTTCTCCCCAATCTACCACCATTACCTCAACACCTTGCTCGTCGAGGCCAATGTCATCGCCGTTTTCGTCGACTACCAGAGATCTCCTGAAAACCCTCTCCACATCGCGTACGAGGATTCTTGGGCCGCGCTCAAATGGATCGCTTCACATTCCTCACGGAGGTTGCATTGGGCAGGGGAAGAATAAAGGGAGTTTGGATATTGGAGATGGAACTTGGAACGTGGATTAAGTTTCCCCAATTTGAAGCAGGTCATGGCTAAAAAGCCAAGGAAGAAGAAGAACAGAGAGAGGGGTCATTTAAAAAAAAAATTCTTATGTCGGCCAGTCATCAGTTTTGTTTGCCATGTCATAAAAACACTTACAGAGTAAATGGATTTTGAAAGAGACTAACGGCCGGTGACTACCGATGAAGGATCGTAAAGTTAGTGGTGAATAATAAATAAAAGTGATCCGGGTGACAAACATGAAAGATTTATGTAATTTGAGTGATCAAACGTGTAATTTAGTATTTATGGATGTAATGTAATGACTCTCGTATTTCTTAATTCACCACTAGGTTAGTAAAAAAAATCGATAAAATACATTTGGATTTTGAAAGAGTAAGTTCAAACTCAATTATTCTAGTAATCGCGAATGCATGGATAATGTAATACCAAATTCGACGAGTAATCCTGAATAAGAAACAATAAACACATTGAAGGAAAGTCAAAACATCATATTCTTGAAACTGAAATATGAAAAGTCAATATAAATTTCGTTTGATTTAGGAAAACTAGTGTAGTGATTATGAAAGATGTGATAGTCAATAACACATAATGACCATTTGATATGCTTGAAATCCCTGTTATTTGATTCTTTTATGAATTTCCAATTATGGCAATAGTCTCTACCTTTAAAAAGTTTTTTGTTCCTAAGGTGAACGACGTCTTTTATTACAAGCAAAATTTACTAAAAGAGACATGAATGGATTATTTATACAATTGACATATAAAAAGATAAGTGTGGGGCAAATTCAATGTATGAGATATCCATTAATTGCACAAAATGGATTTTGGAAGAGATATCAATTGAGTTTTAGTTTGCTCCAGTTTGATGTTGGTTCCTCTCTAGTATAAACAAAATTTCCACCCGTTAAATGGATTGTCAATTTGAGGATGTGTTATTGAGCTTACGGATAGTGCTTCCGACACCCCTAATTAAAAGAAGTAGTACATCGAATGCAAAACTACAAAAAATTGCTCCTGCTCAGCCAAGGATGTAATACTCTAGTAATTTGAGACCTCTCAATACAAAACATTATCTTTTAAAAAATTGAAAAAAGAAGAAGAAATGATGAAGGAAAAAAGTTTTAAAAATGCATGCCAAAAATTGGTAGATGCATTTCTACCTAAAAAACTTTTTTCCCCTTTAAAAGTTTCACCATACGTATTTTGAGACTCATGTATAGTTGGTCATTGATGATTGAATGAAATTTTTAGTTATTCGTGCATGTTGATGTGGTTGGAGTTCTCTCATGCTATGGTTGACCTTGTAAGTTCACTTATAATCCACTACCTAAGATCAAAGTCAAGTGAGATTTTGTAGCTAGTCTTTATTAAGTTGTATGATTATGAGTAGTGTTTGCTTGAAAACAAACAAAGTTAAAGTGTGGAGTATTTTTTATAATACTAAAGTCATAGTGTTCTCAAGATCCTATATTTGATACATTCTAGTTATATCAATGAATGTTTAGTAGTTTTTGTTAAATATTTTTTTCGAGCATTAGTACGGCAGTAATGGTGGCCGGTGGCAGGTGGGAAGATAAAGGTGTATGATGGTCGGCGACAATTTTAGATTTAGGTATAGGAATTGTTAGGAAAAAAGAGAGGGCAATAAAGTCTTATGAGTATAGGTTAGCGAATTTTTTTAAAAAATTTAGGGCGACGAACAACGATTTAGTAAATTTGGATACAATGTTAGTGTACTGGCTCTCCACGCATACAAAATTGGGCTGGAACCACTCTTTCATAATATGTTTCTGGGCTTTAGTTATGGGCCTAATAGGAGGCCTTATGACGAAGGGTGGAACCGCTGCAACTTGTGCATTTAGGCTGGATGACAGGGAAAAGGGGAACAAATGGACCATTTTACCCCTAACGAAAATTAAGGAGAGACCTCTATTTTTTTTAATGGTGAAAATGTAATAAAACTCCACCATTTATTATTCTGTTGATGTAAGTTCAGTTACAATCCACTATCTAAGATCAAAGTCAAGTGAGATTTTCTAGTTTTCATTAAGTCGTATGATTAATTGATTATAAGTATTGTTTGCTTGAAAACAAACAAAGTTAAACTGTGGAGTATTTCTGATAATACTAAAGTTATAGTGTTATCAAAGTCCTATATTTGATACACTCTAGTTATATCAATGATTCTTTAGTAGTTTTTGTTATATATTTTTTTTTGAGCGATAGGGCGGCGGTAATAATGGCCGACGGTAGGCATGAAGATAAAGGTGTATGATGGCTGGCAACAATTTTAAATTTAGGTATAGGAATTGTCAGGAAAAGGAGAGGGCAATAAAGTATTCTGAGTACAGGTTAGGTCAATTTTTCAAAAAAAAAAAAAGGCAACGAATAGTGATTCAGTAAATTTGGATGCAATGTTAGTGTAAGGGCTCTCCACGCATACAGAATTGAGCTGAAACCACTCTTTCACTTTCAGAATATGTTGTTGGGCTTTAGTTATGGGCCTAAGACTGAGTCCAACGAATTCCCCATAAATGGGGGAGTCTTCATAAATGCAGGAGTGGCAGTTCCAATGCAGCGACAAAAATGGAGTGAGGCGGCATAAATGGGGAGATCCACAATTGAATCGCCAAAAAAGGGGAGGAAATGGCGACCTCGACAATTATGGGGAGTGGGCTCGCTGCTGGGTGGGACTAGTGATGAAGGGTGGAACCACTGCTGGGGACTAGCCTTGGACTCGGTCTAATATGAGACCTTATGATGAAGGGTGGAACCACTATAACTTGTGCATGTAGGCGAGAAGGCAGGAAAAGGGGAGCAAATGTACCATTTTACCCCTAGCAATTATTAAGGGAAAAGCTCCATTTTTTGAATGGTGAAAAGGTAGTTAAACTCCATCATACTCCGTTTGGCAACGAGAGGGGTGCAAATTTGAGTAGGGTGCAAATTGAAGTGTAAGTTGTAGGGGGAGTGGATTTAAAGGAGGTGTAAATTGTTGTTCTATAGAAAAAGTGGGAGAGTGCAAATTAGGAGTATAATATATTTTAATAATATTATTATATTAAAAAATAATATGAAAATAATAAAAAACCATTTCTTTATTTTCCCTTCCCCGCATCTTTCTCTCTCTTCTCTCTTTTCCTCATTTCCATCTTTCTCCCCCCCTTCACCCAGATTTGGGGGGGTTTGCCCTAACAATAAATTTGCGCCATAATTGTTACACCCCCTACTGTTCATAATTTTGTCAAACTGAGGTAAATACATTGGGATGAGGTTTACCCCTTCTTTTTGCACAACATTTGCCCATCTTTCCAAACAAAGTGTAATTATTCTCTTAACTTGATTGACCTAGTGACCAAACTTGTAATTTACCCTTTTCTAATCCATGATAAAAAGCAAATGACCTCGACACGAATAGGGATGACAATCAAACCAATGATCATGGATACCCGACCGCCCTCGATCCAGTCAACACGGGGAATCCTTGAATTGACTGAGTATGGGGCGGGTATGAGTAAAACCCGCAAAAAGTTTGATGGATATGAGACATGTATGGTTTTAGCCTCCCTCCCCCTCCTCTCCCCATACCCATACTCATTCTCGCCGCACCAAATATATTTCTTCACATATAAAAAATTAATAAATTGCAAAGTTGGTCACTAGAAGTGCTAAAAGATTCATGTTTGGTCACTAAAAGTATTTTATTTCATTCATGGTCACTGAAAGTGGTTAAACGTTTCACGTTTGGTCACTTTCCGTTAGTCTCCATTAACACTGTCAGTATTTTGCTAATGTGGCTAACCGAAACGCTGACTCACTCCATTTTAACTCGCCATGTCATAAAACCGATGACTCAGACTTCCTAACCAAACCAATCAATTAAACCAGTTCAGTGTAACAATACCCAGTTAAATATCCAATCTAACCAGGCTTTTCGAGTTGAACCTCGCCGACAATTTCCTCACCGGCCAAATCCCTAGTCTCTTCGAAAGCTTCCACTCGCTTCATACCATCAAACTTCCCTGGAACAATCTCACCGGAGTGGTACCGAAATTGTTAAAGAATATCACGGAGATCTTAAATTAGGATTTCTCCCAATTTAACAACATCCAAGCCCATAACCCATATTCTTCTTGTTATCCCTCGTTGCGTTCCCTGTGAGCTACAAAACCTAGCCAATAAAAAATTCCAACCAACATCAAGAACAAATCCCTAATTGACCCAATGTGCTTACGGGAAGAGGGGAAAAATTATTCAGCGGTAATGAACCTCAGGGGCGAGACACTCGAGGACGACAGAGAGGTAGACGGATGCTCCGGCGCCGATTCGCTCGACATACTTGCTGTGATTTTCATCAAGCAAGTCGAAGTCTGGGGCCCCTTCCCCCGTCGCCATCGGCGACAACTGTGTTGCCTCGAGCGCCGCCTTGCACACTTCCCAGCTGCGACATGGTCGTAGCATCTATTTACCTATCCGCCTTCCTCGGGTGATTGATTAGAAAGCAGAAGCCGTAGGTGGAGAGGGTCACGTCAAGCTTTTGGGCTTCACCTATGGCGGTGGTCGGAGAAGGAGAAGTAAGGAGAGAGATGCCGATTGGGGAAACCAGTCGATTAGCGAAAGGAGGATGATTGAAGGTTGGACTTTTTGGGGGAGTTACGTATTTGGTGGCAGAAGGAGGAGGATTGGAGGTTGGATTCTTTTTCGTTGGGTGGGTGAGTTGAGAGGGAAGGGCCATATTATGGGTTTGGTTAGGATGTATGATGTGGCGGGTTTTGCTGATGTGGCAAGTTGGATTTATGATGTGGCGGGTTAAAAATGAGTGAATCAGCATTTATGTTAGCCACGTCAGCTAAATATTGACGGCGCTAACGGAAAGTGACCAAACGTGAAACGTTTAATCACTTTCAGTGACCATAAATGGAATAAAATACTTTTAGTGACCAAACATGATTTTTTTAGCACTTCCAGTGACCAACCTTGCAATTTACCCTATAAAAAATAAATGGATGAAATTGAAACCTATCAATGATAGTGAAGATAACTTAAGACAATATATAGTAGAAATGCAATTGAGTGACCATCTAAATCCAAATCTAATTCACTTACGTCAATTCTCCTTTCATTCTTTCACTTTTTCCTCTTGTTAACAACATAATTATTTTGGTTAAATATTACTCAGTAGGTGTTTCAGAGTTAGAAACTAATGATTTGGAAAATATTATACCCTATCTTATTGCTTAATACATGTTTTGGGATCATACAATTTGAACCGTATTAAGACTGATTGGATCTTTGTTGACGTAATGATATAGTACGTACTTAGCATTATAATTGAAAATTTAAATGCAACGTCTTAGATGTAATGATGTTGGATGTACGTGGCATGTATTATCCACAGGTATCCAAAATCCATGGATAAAGGGATGAGTTTGCAAAACATTCCCTCTATAAATATGAAAGGAGTACAAATTTAGATATTTGAAAGTGAGGATAAAGATGACGATGGTTCAGCCAATAACCATACCCGCCCATTGCCATTCCTAGCACGAAACACTTTTTTGGAGCGCGAGACGAATCCAATTTCCGATTCTTCCTATGGAAGCATTGGGAGCCCGCGCATTTTTGAATTTTCCCCAAAAACATAATAACGGAATTAAATCACAATACATTCAATCTAATCTAGCGGAAAGTTCTATTATTATTACCCTAATTCCCCCCATTTCCCACAGAAACTCAAAAAGGCGCAGAGTGAAGGCAGGGAATCGTGGAGAGAGAGAGAGCGTTGGGGGGTTCTGTTCAGATCAGTGGTCATTTGCAAATCGCAAGTGATTCATGAGGGTGAAATCGAAAACCCTAACCAGCACCAACAACAGCCGAAGAACAAGAAGACGAAGAGACAAGAGCAACAAAATGAAGGCAACATTGACCACTCACCTGCAGGTTCAGCTAGGGATTCCTTTGCAGAAGTACCAGCAGCCGTCGTCTGCAGCCGCTTCGTCCACTTCCAATCCATCGTCTCGCTTCCAGAATCTCCTGGACTCCGTCGCCGCGGATACGCCGCACATCCAATCTTCCCCGGAGGTCGACGGTGCTGCCGATGTTGACGTCGTCGATGACAAGGATTTCATTCTCAGTCAGGATTTCTTCTGGTGCGTCAGTAAGCTTCGACGTTTTTTTGGGTTTCCCTTTCTCTTTCCTTTTTTGTGTCCATTTGGTGTATTGTTTGAAAAAACAATTCGGCTATGATCTTGTTGAGTCGAGTTAGGCTACATAATTGATTACAGCGACGAAATTCGTGGGCTTTTGTTGTAATTTCAGTACTCCCGACTATATTACTCCGGAGAACCAAAATTTGCTCAACAGCTTCGATGGGAACAAGGTATCATCTTAAAATCCAGAGATTGTTCACTTTTTGTTGTTCTCCAACCACACTAGATGATGTATTACCATTTGTTTTTTCCAGCAGGAAAATGCTCAATGCCCTGAATCACCAGAGAAACTCAACACCGCTAAAAGCAAAAAGCGCCGGCAGGGTAAGATTAATGTTTGCCTCGGTCAGATGGTTGAATGCCCTTGTTTTGAGTTGACATTGACTAGGTTTTTGATGTTATTGTGTAAAAAGAAATGAGTGCTCTATGACTTTTCACAGATGCAACAGATGATATGTTAGAAAACCATCTCAGCCCCTCCTTAGATCAGCTCCTGATGTTGGATCTCGGAACTGCTGCATTTGGGTCACCACAAGAAATGGTAACTGAGAAAATGTCTATAGGAAGTAGCAAGTCTCAAAGCTATGTACCACAGTCTGCTGTGGCTTTACGATGCCGGGTGATGCCACCTCCATGCATTCAGAATCCGTATCTAGCAGAAGCTTCAGCAAATGTTGTTGATCCTTTCAGAAATCAAAGAGTGAAATGTGCAGGTACATTGTTTACTGGTTACGGGAATTTGGTGGTCATCTGTTGTAATGCTGGATTTAATGTTCTGAAAGGGGGTAGAGATTTCCTTAACCTTATCTGTTGGAGTCTACAGATATCTTTTCTTCTATTGTGGGGGGAGATGGCCTTTCAAGATATCACACTGATTTTCATGAGATTCAGGTAAAGCCCCGGTTAACTGAATTCATTTATATAGATTTCGTTTTACTGCTGCTAATTCATTACCATTGGCATGTGACTTCTGCTAGCAAATTGGCACTGGAAACTTCAGCCGTGTTTTCAAAGTCTTGAAGAGAATAGACGGTTGCTTGTATGCGGTGAAACACAGTACCAGGCAGTTGCACCAGGATGCGCAGAGGTATTAGTCCATATTTCAGTACACATAGTCGTGGTTCAGGCAATGCTCTAAAGTTCCAGTTTTTCAAAATTTCAGGCAGAAGGCGCTAATGGAAGTTCAAGCTTTGGCTGCTTTAGGTTTGCTCTACTGCTGTAAAGTAAATTGCTTCAGTAAACCTGTTAATGCAATTCACATAATTCCTAATATTTCTGTTTCGCTGTTGTAGGGTGTCATGAAAACATTGTTGGATATTACTCTTCTTGGTTTGAAAATGAACAGCTATACATTCAGATGGAGTTATGTGATTGCAGTTTATCTGTCAAAAAATTGCAGAAGCGATTTACAGAACCAGAAGTGTTGACTGTTCTGCATCAGGTTTAATAATTTCTTTTATTTTGTATTTGCTTTTGAAAAAACGTGATAGGATTCTGGAATGGAAGTTGCCAAGACTAGGATGGTGCTTCCTGAAAAGTAAACACAGTTTTTTCATCTGATTTCTGGTTTTCCACAGATTGCAAAAGCACTGCAGTATACACATGACAGAGGAATAGCTCACCTTGATGTGAAACCTGATAATATTTATGTGAAGAATGGGATTTACAAGCTGGGAGACTTTGGATGTGCAAGTCGTCTGGACCAAAGCCTTCCCATTGAAGAGGGTGATGCACGATATATGCCCCAAGAGATACTAAATGATAACTACAATCATCTAAATAAAGTTGATATATTCTCCTTGGGGGCTTCTATCTATGAGCTTATTAGAGCATCTCCTCTGCCTGAATCTGGATCCCTATATCTCAGGGAGGGAAAGTTACCACTCCTTGCTGGGCACTCGTTGCAGTTTCAGAACTTACTCAAGGTACTGTGTTTCATTTCTACAATCTACAGATAACATTATACATACTCTAATGACACTTGGTTTATGTGCACCTATTTGTTTGACCTCGTAGCTTACAGCCTCCAATTTGACAAACTTCTCCTCTGATTACGCAGGCTCAGTAGTTGAATGATAAAAGCAAACTATTTTTAGAATGTGTTTTAGGGGATGCCTGAAATGAACACTTCTCGAAGAAAGAAAATTGGTGTAAAATGCTTGTCATACCATAATGATATTCATGATTACTTTTGTCTAAACTTGCACGTCCGATTCCCCTTTATGATAGTTCTGATGATTCTATCAGGCCATGGTAGATCCGGATCCAGTTCGGCGCCCCTCTGCTAGAGATTTAGTTGAGAATCCAATATTTGGCAAAGGACAAAAATGCATGAAAGCATAGGGTATCTCAGGGCATTTTCGCAGGGGGAGACCACATTTTGTGTAGGCTAATGCCTGATGTCCAGCTATGCTAGCAAGAGGGACACAGTCCATTGGCAATGTCCAGAGGAGTGGTCAGTTTATCAATTTTGAGCATCCTCCAAATTCCCCCCTCAGCCCGAATGGCGCAGATTTTGCAGAGACCAAGGGTCTTCCACAACGGTATGCTGTGTTGTGTGTTTGCTTACTTAGAGGTAAGCAATTGTAATGTCAAAAATGGTATGGACATAATTTTTATTGATGTTCTGTAAGCCCAGCGATTTGTAGATGCAGATGGTGCTTCGTGAAAACATCAGATGATTCCCCTTTTGCTCCGAATTTGTGTGGGAAATATATCAGATCATCTTTACCCTTTCTTCAGTTGGAATGGACGTGATGATTGCTGGTATCAGTAGTTGAGTAAATTCGAGAAATATAAGATCGTTTTATGCCCAAATTCTCACAGGAGAGATTGCATGGGCAACATCATCTTAGAAATGCAGTTTGCATATTTGCAAGGGGGGCAAGTCCTAGATGCTCTGCACTAATAACGAGTAAGCTTTGACTCGAGAAAAAAGAGTGGCAAATCAAGTTTGGTGTTTAAATTGGACATGAAAAAGTTTTCATGACCATCTTTATTGAGCATGCATTCTCACTACACTTTCCAAGATGGGTTTCTCGTAGAAATGGGTGGGTGCATACACCAGTGTAGCTCTACTGGACATCATTGAGTTCTTGTTAATGGTGAATTGGCTGGTACTTCAGGAGCAAGAGGGGCTTAATAGGAAACTTCTATATGATATGCCGATGACATTGTATTGTTTTGTGATGCCTCAAATGAACAAGATACTTCTTATGGGTCATTTGGATGGAGGATTTGGTGTTCAAGGGTCGTTTGCCGTGGAACGATTTGATCTGTTGCCTATCGGAATTGTGCATATCTTATTTTGAATATCTAGATAATGTTATCTCAGTCTATTTAGTGGAGAAATGGGTAAATTGTAGCTTATGTGAGACAATTTGCATCTTGAAATGGATGAAATGGCACATGGGTAAGTAATAAGAAGCTTTTGGCCAAAGGCTCTTATTTTGTGAAACCATTTCCATCTTAGATCAAACAAGTTAATGATCATCAACTCATTTTGAGGGGTAATTGCAACTTTCAGGAGAAACTGTAAACTTGATTCAAGATGCGACAAACCACACTTATGAAAAGGCAGAAGACTGCTTAGAAAATATTGAATCCTGCGTGCGACTCTTTTCTAGGTAATGATATGCATTTTTTTTTTTTTTTGCTTATCTTGCAGTTACATTGTTGTTTTTTCTTGATTGTGTAACATTTATTGGGTTTGAAATGGAGGCAAGATTGCCTTGTAATGGGGCTCGTTTGGCTTCTTGCACTTGCTGAAATGATGTTGTTTACCCTATGTTTGGCAACAAGGGATTAGGAGAGTGCAAGTTCGAGGGAAGTACAAGTTGAGGGATAAATAGCGGGGGTGTAATTTGGTGGGATATAAGTGGAGGGATAAATTGTTGTTTAGATGAAAAAAATAGGAGGTGCAAATAAAGTGAAAAGTAAGTAATTATATTATTACAAAATAAATTTATCAAATATTATCACAAAATAGTACAAATAAAAATCAATATATAATTGGGGTAAGAACTCGCATGCATGAATGCTGCGGATATACATTGAACCCTTAAAACTGCATCCATTTTTGTACTAGTTTGATATCTCACCCGTTAGTCGGAATGTCATTTGAATATAATGTATTTATGATGTACATCCTAAAATTTTCAAAATATTTGAAATATATATTTCTACCCAATAGAAAAATTTATTATTGAAATCAAATTAAAAAATCAAAATATCAAACACCAAAAAATACTTACGGAAGAATTAGTGGGCTAGTTAACTGTAGTTAGGACTGATAAATGCTTATCCTGTTAACAGTGTAACCGATAATCAAACCGGAACCAGTGCTTAATAGTTACACCGATAACCGATTAAATAGTTAACAGTCGGTTCCCGGTAGCCACATTTAGCTAATAACTAACCGACAAACCAATTATGACTATTTTCTTAGTTAGGGTAAAAAATAATATGCCTTGATGAGCCGCAGACATAGACAAAAAATAATGGAATATTTGAAGGCCTACAATATTCTTTGCCTACCCTAATTGTAATAGTAATTTAGGTTCAAATGAGAATAATTTAAAGGAAGGGATTTAGAAGGACCACAGTAAAATTTTGGACTTGCGCACAATTGCTCGACAATTATCAGTAATATTCAACCTTCTATGTAATTTGGTGGGGTTATGAGCTGAGTAATTGTTATTGGTCACTTATTCTTGTCTGTTGCTTTAATAAAATTTTCAAGGTATAATGGTGTTATTGTGTACTTGTGTTCAATTGAGTTGATTATGCATGAATATCTATAAAAATTATTTTTTATTTAATGATAATAACTTAAGCAAAGAACACATGCATATGAAAGAAAAAATATAGAAAATTGCACAATTGAAAAAAGAAGGTCTTTTGTTGGTTAGATTATCGATCGATTATATTAGTATAACCTTGCTGAATCACTTGCTTAACAGTTATCCGGTTAATCGAAAAAATAATTGAGAACCGACTATACGGTTACGGTTAGCCGACTAATATAAATGGTGCGGTTAATAAGCAAAAAGTGTTTAACGGTTAACCGATAATCTACTAAACTGTTCCGGTTATAAGCGAACCGAACTGATTGTTAGCTCTAGCCGTAGTGGAAAAGTCATATATTTTTAAGATTTTAGGTTTTCTATATTTTAGGTTTAAAAATATACATAAAATTCATTTAATGTAATTGGTAATGAATTATGTCCTTGTTTAAAGATACCATGGTTCAAATCTTTTTTTTTATTATTACCCAGGAACCTCAACCCCACATGCCACTTTGTGGCAACGTTGTCTACTAAACCTGGGGAGTACCTGCATCAGCAATATTTCAAGGCCTAGAATCCGATACTAGGAGGAGACTTCGTCTCCAGCACTCGCGGTGCCTCCAGGAACACCAAGTGGTGTAGCGGGGTTCGAACCTGAATTGCTAAAAACTGCCACTAATTCTATTATCAAATATTTGTAGATTTCTTCTTCATAGGATTTAAACCATGCCTTGGAACCGAGGATCACATCATTCAACGAGCTTTCATTTTCACACATTATCTTTTTTTTCTCTCGTTTTGCTATTGATTTTTTTCCCCTTATCTTGCTTTTGCCTTGCTTCTTTTTATTGTTTTGTTTTCTCAATTTTTTCATGCTTTTTTTCCCGATGAAAAGGTGCTAAAATACAAAAAAAAAAAAAAAAAAAAAAGAATAAGTGATATCTGAACTCCTCAAAAGGGGACTGATAAAATATAATGTCAACTTGTAACAAAACTCCTTATGAAATACAAAATTTTGAAATACTGACATGCATCAAAGGATGAGAAGGGGAATGAATACATTGACTCACTTATAATCTTGAGCTCTAATACTAAATGATGTGATCCAAGTCTCGTGAAAGACAAAGATGGTCGAAATGCGGAAGGCTCATCCTATAGCTGTGTCGAAATAGCATAAATTCGCACCCATTAGCTATAAAGAGCTAAGATACTTGGATTGAAAGCAACACAATCTACTTATGCTAGATAAATTAATAAGCTTTTGATGCTATAATTTTTTGATAAAAGACTTGATGAGTCATATAGTAGAAGAGAGCTGAAAACACTTTTTTTGTAACCTTTAAAGTGCATTCTTCTTTTGTATTTCTTCTTCGCAGGATTTAAACAATGCCTTTGCTCCGAGGATCACATTACAACAAGTTTACTTTCTCTAAACTCTTACCAACTTATTTTTCTCTTCTTCTCCATAAACTTTACAAAACCGATTCTAATGTTTCGTAGCTATTTAAATAGACAGAAAGAAACACAACCATAACATTTGTATGGGTATGTAATATTTGGAGTATGATATGTTAGTAAATGGTATAAGACACATAGTTGAATCTATTCCACAAATTTGAGTTTTTGGAGCCAAATAGTTATTGATATTGTATCACAGTCTTCGATGACCGATGTATATTGTTTGAATCCTGACGATCCCCATGTTGAGCACATCGTATTCAGCCTACTCAACTAAACTTCAAACCCATATTAGTGGGCTTTCTTTTGAGTAAGAAAATAGTAAGTCGTATAGTATTTATAATTGAACCTCTCTCAACAACTCGAGTTTTTGAAAAACCTGTTGCTTGACATGATTTGAGCATTCATTGATCGAGAGTTTTTGTGTTTGAATCTCGATTATCCCATATGTAAGCACATGATATTCTGGCCATGTGAAACTTCAATCACGTATGAGGGAATGAGTTGGTAAATAATATAATTAAAATCAACAATTGAACTTCTCTCAACCTGTTGTTGACAAGGTAGGGTAGAGGATGAATCTTGCTTGGGCATTTAAACTGAATATGAATTGAGTATGCGGCCGCTGACCCTTATTATAGGTTTTTTAAAATAATTTTTGACTTTTTTCTAAGATTGCAATTATGTACCCTATGATGTCAGAAAAAAAAAATAAGCAGCAAAAGTGTAAAAAATCACATATGTAGTCATGTTTCATATTGTGAAAATATTCTAAAACTAGATGAATTGCCAAAACTACCAAGATATCACTTTTAATATATTCAATCAAATAACCATTGACAATTTCAATTCACTTGATGCGAAGGCTGGTGAATCATCGTTATATAAAATGTTATCAACTTGTGTATTGACAATTGTAGTTGAAAATCAAATCTATTTTCAAAAGCAGATACATAAAAATATTTAATGATTTCCTCTAATAGTCCCGACTTATCCATCTTGATAAACTCAAATGTATTAATGTAGAAATCAGTAGATAAAATTAATTTATATAATTTATTTTAGTTCGAAGATAGAAGATTTGACAATTGACATTGAAATTTAAGGTTTAAATAGCATTGTTAACATACTAATATTACTAATTTTGTATTTTTCTCCAAATCCAAGAAGTTGCCTTGGAACCCCTTGTAAGCCCTTAGCTCCGCCCTTGAGTGGAGCATATATGGTGAGTTACTAACCTATGCATACATTTTTTCATATTAAAATTTAGCGGACTATATATATATTTCGTTTCAATCCAAAAAATTTAATTATTTTTCCACAGGAAAAAACATATTGATCATATTATTAAAATGACATTCGAAACCATAAAAAATTACATACAGTTTGATATCTTTTTAACAAAAGAAAATGTTAAACGAGGTTACCACTGTATACCATTGCGGTATAGGTTGGTACTTGGTACAACATAAAATTATATCGCACTAATATAAAGTGCATCATGGTGGTATGAATATATAATAGTGTAGACCATAAAATGGTAGGATTAAACAAACCACCATGTACCACCCTCCACGTCTAGGAAAATTTCCCACTATGGTAGAATGTGATATATTTGATCCCATTTTCCCCAGAATTGACATAATTTTGTAGACACAATGAGCTTATTTTTTGAAAAAAAAATTAAGAATTTGAGTTAAACCAAGGGTGGTAAGATGGGTTTGGAAATTTTTCCTTCAAAATTTTAAAATATTGAATATTATTTTGTAGATCATAATGAAATCATTCATTATGTGTAAAGATTATCAAAATTCGAGTTAAAACAAAGGAGATACAAAGAGATTAAAAAAGATAAGGTAATTAATTTTTTTTTTAATCCCACTCATAAGATATGAGATGACCCACTTGAAATCAAAGGTTCATATTTGATTATGTACAATTTCATAATCAAGGTTATGCTCTCTACATAAGATACTAGAATGTAATTTTATAGAAATGGTATGAGTTTGAATAGGAAATCCAAATTCACGAGTGAAACCCCTATAGACAAACTAAACTGAATTAATTTAGGTTTAATATACTTACCACCCCATTTACGATTGAGTTGGATTCAGGGTGGAGGGGAGAATGGAATAGGATGGGTCCCTGTACCTACCATGATTTGAGAGGAAAATCGATAAATTAAGTATAATATGTCATTGAGGAATGAAAATTAAAATGCACATAATTGACCTTACAAATGATTGATATATTATTACAAATTGTTTAAAGATAAATTCATTTTATTTTTGTAACGAGCTACACACAAATGACAATGGTGCACATGCTTCACTGGAATCAAAAGTATACCTATATTCAGTATCAACAAAAAAAAAAAAAAAAATTCCACCAAAAGTTTATTTCAACCAGTGGCGAAAGCAGAGTGTAACAGACTAACACAATGGGTCCTCCAGAGAAAAACCAATAAATTAGCTATAATCGTTGATTGAGAAGGAAAATTAGGATGCATCTAATTTCGAATGGTTGACTGAGAGATCTTGTATTCAAATCTTGCTAATCTCAATTGTTAACCATATGATTTTCAAATTTGTGTAAAATTCAATACATAAAAAAAATCCACTATTGAGTTCCTCCTAACCACTCTAGTTTTGATGCTAAAATCTTATTAACAAAGAACTCCATTCGAAAGTGAAAGACTAACTAAATCATGAATAATTATTCGATACACAAAGACTGATTGATATTCTTGATAGTTTCGACTACCAAAATGTATTCTAATTTTCCAAAATACAAGATTATATTATGAGTGCTAAAAAATTAAAAAAATATTTTATGAACTATATTTTATTTTTCTAAATAATCCTACGTTAGATGATATCCTGACATCCTCATGTTGGGTCAAATATCCTATCAAAAAGCTATGGACAATATTATTTTTCATATTCTACTAGTATTAATTCCATCAATATATTGGGCACACACGCAGTTATTAATTGACATATTAAGATTCACCCCCTTAGCCAAAAAGAATTTAGACAAAACACACCAAGAGATCGAAAAAGTTAGAAACTACCCAAGCCTGAAAAGAGCGGTCCATTTCTATCTCTGTCAACGTGGCACCACCACGTGGCACCACGACACAGAAAGAGACGTAGTCAAATTACATGGAAGTACGTGGACTGACCGCCGGACAGCTTCAATCCACACCGAGAAGAAGAACTCTCATCTCCACCACCACCGTCTTCTTCCCCATCCCCCGCCGCCGCCGTACCACCCACCCCGTGGCTCGCGGCGGCGGCGGCCGCCCTCTCCCCTTCGAGCTCCCTGTACCGGTGCAGGTACCGCCTCAGCGGGTCGGCGTAGTCGTCGAACCCTAGGGCGGCGAGCGCCCAGCAGACGTCGTCGCCGTTCACCGTCTTCCGCCTCTCCCTGTGGCAGTGGTCGGAGGCCTCGGCGGTGACGAAGCTGATGAACTCCGACACGCACTCCTGCATCGTCTCCTTGGCTTCCTTGGAGATCTTGGCGTTCGGCGGCAGGATCTGCTTCATTTTCCGCCCCACGTTGGCTATGGGGAGCAGCCGGTCGTGCTCCTTCATCACCGCCCCGCCGCTGTTTCCAGCTGCCGCGGCGGCGTGGTCGAGTAATACGCCGTCGGAGAAGTCGAAGGATAAGCGTGGAGCACTGTAAGGATGGGCGAAGTAATTATCAACCATGTTTAGTTTAGAGGGAGACGAAAGAGAAGAGAGAGAGACGATAGAAGGGAAGAAAGCTATAGAGTTGATGGGAAATTAGGCACTATAGAAAGAAGAAGAAAAAAAAGGACACGTTGTTGGCCGTCGACTGACTTGATGGGAGGATGCATATATATATAGATGACAAAACATAAGTTTTTTCTTTTTTTAATATTTTCGTATGGTCTGAACTTTGATCAAAATAAACATCCTGGCCAATCTTTTCGATCTATAGCATCCTGATCCGAACTATACACCAAAATAAATAATTTGGCCAGATTCGATTTTTGACTGTTAACTTGGACGGTCAAACGCGTTAACCATTAGTCAACGCGCCATGTCACTTCCAAGTCAGCATAAAATATTTAAAATAATTCACAATTTCCACACATTCCCTAATTTTAAATTATTATAAATAAAAAATCATCTAATACCTTAGTTAAACCAAAAATAAAAAAACGAAAAAATTAAATATTTATCAGATCTTCTGACTTGGCAATGACGTGGCGCGTTGACCGTTAGTCAACGTGTTTGACCATTCAAGTTAACGGTCAAACATCGGGTTTGGCCAAATTATTTATTTTGGTGTATACTTCGGTCCAGGATGTTATAGATCGAAAAGATTGGCCAGAATGTTTATTTTGGTCAAAGTTCAGGCCATACGAAAATATTAACCCTTTTTTTCTCATCCGTCATATTTAGGGAGTTAAACTTGAATTTTTGAAATTGATTGCATTATTGATAGTAATTTACATATTGATTTTCGTTTTGATATATTTCAAAGTTAAATATTGTTTAGAAATGTTATAATAGCACGCATAAACAACAACATCTGCGAATGACTATTCTTGTGTGAATAAAAATTTATTATTTGCATGAATGACTATTACCGTTGTGTCATAAATAACCACTAAATTGCGAGAATAAGTAGAAATTATGTATATGGACGCGACAATACGTGAATTAGGTGATGGTGCCACTTCTGACAACAAACTTGTATTTTCACTAACACCGGGGCATATATGCGGCCACAACCCAACCCACAAGGAGCATTGAAGGGTATTTTCAGGCAAAATTATTGTTTTTCTTTTGTTAAAGAGAGGCAACAACGTAGTGCAAATTATGTTACAAATAACTTATGTCAAAGGTTGTGGTCTTAATGCTCAAGGACGATTATTGGGTTATGATGAGGTTTGTGAATGATTTCAAGAGTGTCGATAAATATGAAGCTTGTAATAGCTCAAATGATCACCATATATACCCTTGTAGTAACCACTATTTTTTGGATCACGGAATTTGATTATGTATGCCACTTCTTGGTTAAAAACTTTCTCGTCTTATATTAAAAGACACTTCGGATTATTATAAAAAGGATACAAATATAAGTCTATCCCATTTATTTCTTCTATGAACATCTATCATAGCCTCTATGTAATTTTAAAATTTCAAAGTTATGTCATTAAATTGATCGAATATTAGAATTGTATATATGGTTCAATACATATACAAATTAGTTTAATCATCAATTACTTGGATTTTGCTATCCAGTTTAATTTGAAGTCTCCAAGAGATTGAAGCTGATCGCGTAGCTAGTCACCTGATTCGATTATAAATAATTTTCTTTCACTCATTTTGTTTTCATTTGTACATAATAATAATAATAATAATAATAATATTATTATAATTACACCTCGAGTGCACAAAACTGCATATTATATGTGGACCAACTTCTCGAATCTGCCTAAATTTGGGACACCTACGTAATAACAACGACATGATCTTTTGATCAACTTACCAAAAGAACTGCATTGTTCAGTGAAATAAAAAAAACAACACAACCAAACAGAGAAACCTACCGTCCACACCATAGAGCGGCACGTGGAGAAAAGGATGTGGTCCGCGGTGTTACATTTGGGGAACACAATGACCGGTAAGTTCTATAATTGGTACAAGTTAGGCATCACTTTTTTTTTATACTTTAAAGGATCAACATGCCTCAAGAAATTGGGAAGGCTTATGATAGGGTGGAGTGTCGCTACTTAGAGGCTATGACGAGGAAGTTGAGATTTACGGATAGATGGGAGACTTATAAAAAAAAGGTGATTTTATTTAGGGGTGGGCAATGAGAGACGGACATTTGGGTATACTTACACTCGTTTCATTTTTTTAGGGTTACAGGTATTCAAATATCTATAATATTTATTACGGGATGGAACTTGGGATTGAAAATGTCAACATTAGGTACCCGCGAGTTACCCGCGAATACCCACCAATTCAAGGGTAATTATAACTATCATAGCCTTCTTTTGTGTTGTGTTAAACGTGATATTCTCCTCTACGTGACTATGTGACGACTTTTTGTTAATGAAGATGATCCTCTTTTGACTTTTGTTCCCTGTTAAGTTAAATGATCTACTGTCTGTGGTTTATGATCAGAGGGAAGAGGAGATGATCCTCTTATGTAATGGTCCTTGTTAAATGAAAGTGGTGGGCATATTTTCATGGTGGCGGCAACATCTCTTGCTGCTGTAGGTGGCGGCTGATTAGTTATTTTCACAGTGCTGGTTTTTTAAGTTTATCTAATTTTTGTTACTCTTCGTCGGGTATATACGGGTAGTTTGGGTACCCATTATCTAGAGTTACTATCAGAATTTGACAAGTTGAAACAAATCCTAAAGCTCTACAAGGCAGGGTAGGGAACACCAAGTGAATTTATTAAAACTTTAAGCTATCTTTTACCCCCAATTTCGCAACTAGCATAAATTCGGAAGAATGATCATGCAATAATCAAGTTATAAATTCTAGGAGTGCATAGGATCATATTCCACAGGAGCTTTCAATAGTAGCTACTCAATAGCAACCTATTATGCTCGAATTTTTTTATGCAAAGAAAAGTAAATGCAATGGGTTGAGGTTCCTTTTGGTGAAATCAAAATACTACTCTACTACTAATGCAAGCCACAAAAATGCAAACAAGAAAGTATGTTTAGGTAGTGATTCTAGATGATCATGCATTCATTCTCATTAAGAAGATACTTTAATGCTTCTTCTATTAGATGTCATATCCTTCCACTATGGTCATTCTCTATCCGTTGCATGCGCCTCTTGCGATAGAGATTTAACTAGCTAATGCATGATTTCACTTAATATTATCGCCTAATTAATGAGAAGGAAGTTAGGATAAGAACATTATATATAGATATAGTTTGTAATGGAAATAATTAGATTTGTCAAACAACCCTCCAAAATTCGAACTATTTGTATATTTATCTGTTGATGTGACTTGAATCGGACTATCAGCCGCTACGACTGGTAATCGGGGGTCTCAATGTTATTTGGGTTTGGGTTCTGGGCCTGGTCTGTAACCGTTTCCTTTGCCAGATTGGATTAGGTTTAGACCCACATGGAGAAGTACTATAAATACTTCTCATACTCCTATGTAATCTATAATCTCCTCGATATAGTGAATCTGGCTCTCTCTCGCCCGTGGACGTAGCTAACACACATCGTGTTAGTGAACCACGTAAATCGTGTGTCGTGTTTTCGATTCTCACTTACGTATTCTTGCTTTGTCGATTCTGGCGATTTCCCGATCAGTAGCAGCGCATTTATAACAAGTGGTATCAGAGCCGCGGTTGGAAATCAGGCTAGGGTTTTCGATTCAGAAGAATGACGTCGGTGAACATGAAGATCGAAAAGTTCACGGGGAAGAACAGCTTCGCTATATGGCAGATCAAGATGCAGGCTTTATTAAAACAGCAAGGGCTGTGGGGGCCGCTATCTGCGAAACAGAAGAAGGCAGCGGTCGATGACGATGAGTGGAATACCCTGGAGGAGAAGGCCCACTCGACCATCATGCTATCGTTGTCTGATGACATCATCATTGAAGTCGCTGCTGAGAAGACTGCCGCGGGCTTGTGGTTAAAGTTGGAGAGTCTGTATATGACGAAGTCCTTAACCAACAAGCTGCATCTCAAGCAACGGTTGTTCAGCTTGAGGATGCAAGAAGGTACGCCTTTGAGGGAACATCTCGAACAGCTTAACTCTATTTTGCTGGATCTGTGTAATATAGATGTTCAAGTTGATGACGAGGATGCTGCCCTAATTCTACTGGTTTCTTTGCCGAGTTCATATGAGAATTTCGTTGATTCTTTTATTGCTGGTAAAGAAAGCGTGTCGTTGGAAGATGTCAGGTCTGCTCTTCATACGAGAGAGATCAGACATAAGGCGTCCGGATCTGGTACAGGTGGTGAGGCATCGGTTTGGCTGTTACAGGTGGAAAGGGAAAGAAGAAATCTGGAAAAGGGAATTCGAACAAGAATTCCAAGGGTCCTGGTCCACAACCAAGTGATGCTTGTCACAAATGTGAGGAAGTTGGGCATTGGAAGTACAACTGTCCCAAGAGAAGAGGGCAACAGAAGAAACAAGGTTCAGTTGCCGTGGCAGAAGTGGAAAACAGTTCTGAAGACGATCTCGCCTTGGTTGTAGATGAGAAGGCACATCGTGGGGATGTGTGGTTTCTTGATACTGCAGCCTCATACCATATGTCTCCGAACAGGGATTGCTTCACAACCTACGAGCAGATAGATGGTGGTAACGTGGTCATTGCTAATGAAGCTGTCTGCAAGGTTGTTGGAATCGGGTCCATAAAGGTTCGGACACATGATGGTTTGTTTTGTACCGTGAATGATGTCAGGCATGTTCCACGAATGACAAAGAACCTGATCTCCTTGAGTCTACTCGACAACAAGGGTTTCAGTTTCTAAGGAAAAGGTGGAGTTGTGTATGTCTGCAAAGGTTCAAGGAAGGTGCTGAAGGGCGTGAAGCATGGGACCTTGTATGCATTACAAGGGTCTGTGTTGTCTGGTTCTGCTGCAATTGCATCGTCTCAGGTTCATCAGGAAGATATGACCACTCTCTGGCACATGAGATTGGGGCATATGAGTGAACGGGGGATGCAAGTTCTGTCGAAGAGGGATCTTCTTTGCGGGCACAAGATGCAGAATTTGGAATTCTGTGAGCATTGTGTGTTTGGGAAGCTACATCGCAGCAAGTTTCCCAAGAAGGGTATCCACCGGACGAAGGGGATACTGGATTACCTCCACTTCGACTGTTGGGGTCCTTCACGAGTTGAATCCATTGGAGGCAGCATGTATTTTCTGTTTATTATTGATGATTATTCGAGATTTACTTGGATTT